TCTTGGTATGTTGTCGAGGGGCATACAAATAAACAAACAAACACAGCTCAAGGTTCCTCACCTACTCACTTTTTTGCTTCCTTGTTCCGCCCTCAGGTTAGTTCGATACACTGGGGGCTCCAGAGGCTCATCGGCAGCAGCCGCCATGCTGGAAATGCTGTCTCAGCCTAACTTTCAGTCAACCTGATGACAGGCAGCGAGCTGGAACTGAGGCGGGTTTTAAGCCTCTTGACAAACCGTTGCATCGCGTCCACCTGTCAATCATAATATCAAAATGGAGAAGTTAAAAAAAAAAGTGTCCCCCCGTGCAGTGTGTGCTCATGATGACAATAACTAATCAGACCTGTTTTTTTTTTTTTCTACCAGTCTCTGTAAACATGTTTATTTGCGCTGTAAAAAAAGGCTCTTTCGCCTTTTGTGTTTATGTGACTCCCGGGGCTCCTGCAGCCAGCCCCAAGCAGACACTCGACAAACTGCGGAATTGTGCACTTCCGCAATGGCTTCATTTTTCAAGACCGGAGGTTGCTGCTTCGTTGGTTCAATCACATACAAAAGTCAGATTTTCTGTTTGACAAGTCTGCAGTTGCAGCTAGATACTGTTTTGAAGCTAATTTCCCTGAAATTGTCCACCAGGCTCTGTTTGTTTAGACACGTCAGTGGTGTGAGTATGTTGCCATGTATTGAAGCTCTGATCTGTGCTGTGTGTGTGTAGGTGTATGCACAGTACAGTGTCATCTAAGGTAACAGTTCTCTGTAAGACCAGGCTTTCCTTTCAGCAGTGCACCTCTCCTCCCCTGCAGATCCTGAATCCCTCTGCAGCCCTGCAGAATACCACACAGATCACCATCAGGCTCAGTATAAAGATTACACTGCAGGGGTCATACCATAGATAACTCTGCTCTTTGCATTTCATTACACTCTGCTATATTTCATATCCTTACGTATGATTGTCATCTTTTATTTATACTGTGTCATCTGAGACAAAAAGCCATGTCTGGGTTTCTCTCAATATTACACTTTCAGCAACAGTATGACAATGATTATTGAAATATTTTCAAAGGCTATTATAAGATCATGACTTCATATAAGAGTACATTATTATAGCCGCTGTGAAATATGTGATCTTGTTATGTAAGCTATCATTTCAAAATCTTACATTCACATTAAAGCTTCACTGAATTCATACACTTGTAAAGCTTTATATTTAATAAAGCAGAGTATCTTATATAAAAACCTCATCACTGAATACTGTATAATCCCTCATAGGTTTAATATCTTCTTATAAACTTTGATAAACTATCCAACAAGAAAATTCCACATCTTCAAAGCTCATAATGAGCTACATAATTTTGGTGTGTTATTATAAACTGTTTAACTGAGATGAGATTGGTTTTTACAACATAGTATTCACTAAAGCTCAGGACTCATTTTAAAGTAAGAGACTAATGAGCATGAATGTGTATGAATGAGCTATTTTCAATAAAGCAATACCTCACTTGCTGTGGGAGTCTTAAATGTGAAGTTATAGAGCAGGCAAAGACTTCAACAGTTATTGTGTAGATAATGAAAGGGGCAAGTTGAAAACAAAACAAACAGCCCAGTACACATAATTCACCCGTGCACATTAGAACTTGTTTGCGCACCAATTTGCATGATGTATTCCTTTTGCATGCAGCTTCTTAGCAATTTCTTACCCCAACATTGGGAGTGAAGAATGCCGTTCAATATTTCAGCGGTCTGCTGGGAAATAATGTAGAGGGTGGTTTGACAAGAGGAACACAAGACGAGGCCAAAGGAGCCAAAACTTAGCCGATATATTTGGTTTGATTCAGGCACCACCATGACAGTAGAGACATTTTAGAAGAGATTTGAGATGGATGTTGTTTGTGTCACTCTATGTAATCAGTGTTTGAATTTACAAAACCGTTGTAGACTTCTGGTATCAAGTCAACAGAATGGGTTGACATATATCAGGGAAATAAGATAGTGCCTTTTTTTAACAACTGTGGTTCAGTTGGTGGAGTCGCCCGTTTCTCAACCAGAAGGTCGGGTGTTTGATCCCCAGCTCCTGCAGCCAAATGTCTTAACACAAAGTATCTCCTGCTGCTTCATAAACAGCGTATTAATGTGTATGAATGGGATTAGTTAATTAGTTAATTAGTTAGTTAACATCTTTACATAAATCATTATTTGTATAGCGCCAATTCATAACAATTGTCATCTCGAGATGCTTTACAAATAGCAATCCTTTGTATTCCTCGCGTTCCTGTTGTTCTTACTTACTTGCCGCTGAGGTCGAGGTCGGAGCAGACCGTGCGTGAACGAGGACGACGGTGGTTGTGGGGACGATGGTCGGGGTTGAGCGTCGGGTGTTGGTTGGGATGACACAGTGCAATGGTGGAGGCTGGGCGTCGTGCGGTGATTGAGGGACGACACGATCCTTCTACTTGAGAGCCTGGCTTCTGCTGCCGGGATAAGGCCTACTGGGCTTCTGGCACGGAAGGGGGGAAGGGGTCCATAGCAGACAGCCTGCTGCTAAGTAGCTCCTGTTGATAACTGCATAGTGACGATAACTAATAATTAACTAATAATTCATGCTTGTATGATATAAGATAAGATACACTTGACTGATATTTCACTTGTCAAGGCAGCTCACAAAAAGAAAAGGGTAATAATTATAGCTAACATGCTCAGACTTACATTTATTTGACTTCTTTTTTTCAGATTCAAATAAAAAAAGGCATATTGGTCAACTGACTTAAGGGGTTACTTTTTCTTAACTTAAAATCTTGAGGTTGTTGTAACTTACAAAATAAATGATGTAAAACCAGTTTTGGATGGCGGGGCAGGAGCAAATTGCTCATGACAGCGGATGCTATTGAAGTCGTTTTACCATCTGTCTCCGCACACCATAAAGTATTAAACTTGTTAATATTGTATTATTATATAGATTCTGAAGTGGACTCTGCCCTTCCTTATGGCAGACGGCCAGTAGGCTTTTATGTGTCTTTGAATGAGAGAGGGTGACAATGTAACAGCAGATGGCGGGTCAGACTGAATTTTCAGACTTTCTGCGAACATCTCAGACATATTGAAGGCTTTGTGCTTTTTGAGCTTCTCTGTCCTTAAGTTGGTACTTTGTCCCTGAACATTGCATTTTTTTTGTAAAAAGATACAAAGGCTTAAGTCATCATTCTGCTACAACCATCAGGCTAAGGCTGTTAAAAAATGTTTTAGCTCATTTGACTGATACTTGTTTAAGAGCAAAGATAGAGCCAGAAAACAAAAACAAAAAGCTTGAATCTTGGAGTCTTGTTGTCACTATGGAGACTCCAGGAAGTCATTGCACATGCCAAGAGGGAGCTGCAGCTAACTGGTCTATGTTAGACCACAACTTGTGGATTTAAAAAATATGAAAGATTAACATTAATTAGAAGCTATAGAAGGGCTGGTTGGCTCGTTTATTTATAACCATAAGGCAAGCTGCTTCCAATTCCTTCCAGTTTTTATGCTAAGCTAGGCTAATTGTATCTAACTATATAATGAATTGTAAGGCGTAAGAGTGATATCAATCTACTTTTTTAACTATACTCAGGTTTAAGGTTTGTCTCAGGTCAGCCTCTTTGCCTGTTGCCAGGTTGACCAAAAGTTAGCGTGAGACAGTCTTTCCAATATGGCGACCACCATAGTTGCGCTTCAAAACCCTGCCTTTATACAGTATCCTGCTGTACATGGTCTCATGTTCTTACTCATATTAAAGGCAGAGCAGATGAAGCCTAAGAGACTATAATGTATTCTGGTACATCGTGATGTATGTTGCATCAGTTACTCGTACAAAATGTACACCAGCAGAGCAAAAATGTTGCATATCTTGCATCAAAATTTCACATTTACATTTTTTTCCCCGAGTTGTTCCAAAGACCTCTCAGAATATTTGTGCAGTCTAGGATGTATAGGATGTTTCTGTCTATGTAAAGCACTGTGCATTAGAGTCTGCATGAGGCGGTTATGGAAGTAGTCATGTAAGCTTTGACCCAGCGTGGGCGCCTCCTGGAATTGTATTTCAATGACAGCTATTTCACATATTATAAAAATACCGAAGAAGCTAAAAGGGTCAGAAAAGTTCACACAGCATGAAATATTGTATGTGCTGTTTAAAAGGCTGGTACAGGCAGTTGAAAGGGTTTTGTCAATGCTGGAATTCTGTGCAAAGTAATGCTGTTTTTTGTTTTTACTATTTCTTTCATGTGGATGCTTAAATAATCCAAGTGTGAAAATAAAACATATGTATCTGCCTCTCTCTGTTCTGGGTTAGACTCTGAGTTTATATTTAGCCGCCGCGCTGTGTGGTAGTTTTGCTTCAGCTGTCTCCAAAGCGATGAACTTCTCACATCCCACTCTGCTGACGCAAAGAAAAAAAGCATCTGTGCAGCGAGTGGGTGTCAACAATCAAAGTCAACAGTCAATCAAACTCTAATCCTATTACCACAAGTATTAAGAGTTAAACAGACAATGTGTTTTATTTATATGTATACATTTGTGTTAAACAGTTAACTGCTTATCCTTATCCAATACGTATATGAGATGAATTCCTGTGACTCTGTAGATTTCCTCATCCTGGAAACTTTAATTTTTTATGGTTGTTTTATGAAGAACAAAAATCAACTCTGAGCAGTGGTGTGTCCAGACTTTTTGGACTGGGGTGGCCCAACCTTTTTTTTAATTTAAGTTTGTTAAAAAAGGGATACAAATGATGCACTATTTCAGGCAACGTATTTGATTTGCATCATGGCAAAAATAAAATGCAGAAAATGTAGAAAATCACAATATAAGACCAATGATGTAATGGTTCACTAATGTGCTACATAAAGAGCTTTTAATCAATCCTTAAGTTTAATTACCTCTTATGAATGATATTTAAGTTTCCACCTAACTGTTTTTTCTTTTCCCCGTCTGTCTCTGTCCTTCTTCTGGTCCCCTCTTCCTCTCTTCTTCTGCAGATTGAAGACATTGTCACTCTAATCCAGGATGAGGCGGAGGGTGTGCCCATCAGAACTGTCAAAAGTTTTATGACCAAAATCCCCAGTGTTGTGACGGGTAAGGAAAGAGATGTCCAAAATGTCCTGTAAGATGGGATAACTGGAAGTCTGTTTATAGAGTATGTGAAAAAAGGAGGGGGAATAATATGAGTTGGGGGCCAAAACAAGGTTAGAGTATTTATGTTCTTCTATGAAATTCCTTTTCATGTGTAATTATGGCACAAGGAATAGTTGTGTGGTCTTCACAGGGGTTTGATAGCACAAAGAAGTTCAATGGGTGGGTATGATGGGCGGTGAGAGCTGACATGGAGGGGGTTGGTCCCGGGACACAGGAGCTAACTTTTGAGCCTTCCTGAGGTGTTGTGGGCCTAACTCATTGAAACACAGGTGAAGGGAGGTTCCACATAAAAAAAACCTGGTGATCATATTTTGGCTCTCGCTGCCCATCTTGTTTCAAGGTTCGGGGGGTCTTTCAGGCAACACGGTAAAGTAGATAGTATCAGCGTTGTGAATGCCAGAAGCTTGCATAAACATATCCTGGTTCTGTTGAAGGTGGGAATGCTGTGATGCCCACTAAGGGCCGTGTGGTGGGTTATGTAATTTATGAGTTGGGCAAAGGATTGACATAAGGTCACAATGAGTTTCTTGTGAGTTTCTTGTGTTTATTTAAAATGTGAGGGTGTTTTTATTACATGAAAGATTATGTAACTATATTGATTCTTGCATTTTTAACTTGTATTGGTTGATTTTGTTGGCCCACTTGGGAACACAGAACACCATGCTGATATATTATCTCCTAATAAAGTATTATGGTGGACATTTCAGGCAAATTCATTAAGCAAATTCACACCAAACCTTTGATGCAAACCAAAACAATGGGCTGAACGATGCTTGAATGCTACTATTCTGTTAGAGCAGATATAAATGTGATTTTTAGTGAAGACAGTCCAATGCAAAAATGTATTTTTTTCCATTTATATTCAAACATGAAAAGCTTTGTTTTTTTAGTTGGATATTCCCAAATAATATCCAAAGAAGTTTCCTATAAAGAACTACATTTTTGAACCAACTATTAGAAAACCTGAGACAGAATTATTTAGATAGAAATGATCAGCTGAACATAGAATGTACACTTGGGTGATTTAATGAACACAATACATTGATACCACATTGTTAAACACAGAGTTAAATGTGTCATTTTCAAACAACCTCCTCAAAATAAGTGTAAGTAATAATAACTTTCAGCATTGGGTTGTTATTTTTAAGCAAAGAGCCCTTTAGTAAGGAATACAAACAGTGAGAACTCCAGCTGTCTCATCCTACATCATGTGTTGTAGCTGCTTTTTATTCTGGTCCTGTAGAGGCTGCTGCTCTGTTTCTCCAGAGGTTGATCACTGGAGGATTCCTGAAAAGCTAGAGGGGGAAATGGGACGACAACATATGATTAAGTGTTTGAAAAAGGAAAATGTGAGCGTGGAAACAGAAGGAGTGATGCTGCCCTGCTCCTACTGTCAAGATGCCCTAAAGCGAGGCAATCTACTTCCTACTGCTGCAGTAAAGCTCGTCCTGTTTGAAGTGCAATGTATAGCAGCGGGTAAACACACACTGTCAAGACTCGAACAGAAACATTTGAATTGGAAAAATTAAAACAATCGTACCTGACAGGTGAGGATGGAAGTCGGCCATCTTGCCTGCTGGCTGTAGTCTAGGCTGTAGATAGATAATCTAGATCTCTTTCACAGGCTGGCGCCACAGTGGGAGGGCTCTGACACTCCCCAAACAAATGATGGCAACAAAGACAACCCATTAACATTCTTCTCTCTTCTCTCATTCCCTGCACTTATGGAAAATGCATTACCTCCAATACGCCATAAGCAGAGCGTGTCAATAAACACAAATTACTACAACGGCGGGTGGATGTGCAGAACAGCAACTCAAATGTTTGCTGCTGAGTGCCGAGGGGCCAGGAAACTAATGAATGATGAAGGATTTAACGCTGCCCCCCTTGGGACTCAGAGAAAGCATGAGGGGAAGAACAAAGGAGATGATACTCGATCTCCATTGGAAAGAACAACTATCTCTTTAGCATGTTATCATCAATGTCACTGTATCGCTGTACTAAAGGAATGCTATTAGTTTGTTTTAAAGACATCTGCATGAGAGCAAGTAATCAAAAATAATTACTTCTTCATTAGAACTATTATTTAAAAAGTATCTTTGTCTTAAACATACCAGCAAGCTAAAATAGTTTTCAACCTTCAATAATTACACATCATTTGAGACCAGTGTCTCATCCACCTTCTTGCTATGTTTGTTCATCTTGTGTTATTTTCCTGAGTGTGAAAGGGGATAACAATGGCAAAGAGTATAAATTCATGTCCTAAGTGTGGATCCAAAAAGGTGTCATATTAAACCTCACTTTTATTTTTGTTGTACTGCTTTAACAGCTTTTCTTTTTTTTACTGTTCTAATCTATTTTTAACATCAATAACCCAAGTGTTTCTTGATTTTACTGTATCATAATGATGTCTGTCTGTCTGACTCTCTCTCTTGATCCAGGTTCAGATATCGTACAGTGGCTGATGAAGAACCTTGCCATCGAGGATCCAGGTAAGTGTTGTACTGCATATGATCACTACGGAAGCCTGAAGCAGACATATGCATCCCTATATTTTATTTACAAATTTTTCCTGCGATAACAAGTAGGTTCTGGTTCCTTTTTTGAGATTTCCTCGTTTCAAATCTCATATCTCCTGAATGGGAAAAGGGCAACAACAAACTTATTACATTAGTTTGGGCAATGGAAGCATGACATATCATGATCTGGGAGGTAAATGTTCTCCAAAGCTGGAATTGTGAATATAACAAAAACATGGCCTTATTTGTTTCAATGTTGAGTGAATTTACTTAAAATTAGCAACTCAATTGCAGTCCTTTTATTATCGAACAACAGCCCAGTTTATGAAAGGTTAGGTACGATGTGTGGAAGGCACACACGGTTAGAGTATTCATGTTCATTTGGTATTTTTTTAAATGAATAGAAGATCTTTGCATGTTGCTTTAGGGTTGATTTCTATCATTGTTTAACAGAGGAATCAAACATTATCAACAGAAACAAAATGATGTTATAAGAAAATAAAAGGCTAGAGTTTTTACAAAAAAACTGGCTAGTTTTTGCTTTCTATGTGTTGTTTAATCGACCTGACCTGCAGCATGATGGTGGGAGAGTCTTGTTTATTGTTGGTACAGGAGCCCACAACTTGGACACTGAGTCAGACATTGACTCATCCAGCTACATCCACAGTATAACTTTTCAAACTTTTTCAGGGCCAATACAGCTGGCTATCTAAGTATATGGAACAGTCTAACCTTACCTTTATTTATAGAGCCCTTTGCTAAGATACGAGTTGCAAAGTGGTCATGATATCATCAGGTTTGAGACGTAAATAGATATCAGTACTGTTTAGGCAAAGAATAAATCAAAGTAATAAAATCAGGGAAAGAAACACAGTAAAAATGTGATAAAACCTTTAAATGCAGCTAATGTGTGACCTTAATGAGAGAAATGTGGTAAAATCATCATGTTCTGAGGAGTTCTGTTTTAGACACCTGTTTTATTGCATGACTTTAACATCTTGTTCTAAAAAGTCTTTTCATGAGTGTCTACTTTATCGGGATATTGCTGCTTCAGACTTAATTCCATCCACATATAATGCCTCACAGATAATATGTGGAGTGCAGAGGATCCCACTGTGATCTGTACTCCTCGTTCTGTTCCTTTCGCAGCTGAGGCCATGCACATCGGGAGTCTCATCGCAGCTCAAGGGTACTTCTTCCCCATCTCCGATCACGTCCTCTCCCTCAAAGATGACGGCACTTTCTACCGCTTTCAGGTGAGCGGGGGCTTTAAGGGATAAATTGGATACAGAGAAGGCTATAGGAGAAGTGGCTACATTTGCAGAGTTTGATGGTCTGGTTTTTAAAGTGAGGTCATCCTCAGGTATAGTGTTACAGAATATATTCAATATCCTTCAGTAGGTGTCTGACGCTTTTTTGAGCCTCTTTTGTTACTTGATACTGAGATGAAAGCCAAGTACTGCAAAGAAAGCCCACAGATTGTTTTTGAAAACATGATTATAGTCTCAGTTAGACACGTGAGGTCACTGCTGAGAGAGCTGAGAAGTATCAAGTTCTGTGTTTTTGACGCAGATTACATTTGCTGAGACCCCCTTTGCTGAGGTGGATTGTTTAACATCACATGAGCAAATGGCCTCCTTGTCCAACCATCCATCCATCCATGCATCCATCATTTTCTTCCCCTTATCCCAGGTTGGGTCGCGGTGGCAGCAGTAAGTAAGTCAACCTGGACTTCACTTTCCCAGGCAACGTTTCCCAGCTCCTCCTGAGGGATCAGGAGGAAAACCCTCCAAAGGGAAGCATCAGATCCGCGAACCAACTCAACTGGCTTCTTTTGATGCAAAGGACTAGCGGCTCTACTCCGAGCTCCCCCTGAATGTCTCAGCTTCTCACTCTATCTCTTAAGCCCAGCCACCCTCCGGAGGAAGCTCATTTTGGCAGCTTGTATCTGCAATCTACTTCTTTTGGTCTCTATCCATGACCATAGCTTATGACCATACATGAGGGTTTGAACCAAGATCAACCGGTAAAGCTTTGCCTTCAGGCTCCCTCTTCAGCACAACTGTTTGGTACAACGCCCTAAACTTCTGCCTAAGCTGATCCTATCCGTCTGTCAATCTCACGGCTCATCTTACCCTCACATGTGAACAAAACCTGAAGATACTTAAAGTCCTTCAATTTCTCCCAATGCACGTGTTTTTGATTCCCCAACCACTGAAGCCACAGCCCTCTGAGCCACCCAATACCTGTCGGCTGTTTCCAGAGATCCCTGGACTAACCAAACCTGACGGCCTTCCACTAGGCTGAGCATGCACACGACCCCCATGCCTCTCCCTGCGGATGGTTGGCCTACAACTAATCAAACTCAGAATGGAGCCCAACTTCTGATGCCAACGTTGTCAACAACAAAGGCGAAGGAGGAGAATCTGATCTGATACCTCTTTTCAAGGGTACAACGTCTATATCGAAAGCTGCTGCTGATGCAAGGACACAATTCCTTTACATTGTATTCATGTTTCAAGGTGATATTGCGAGCAATTGACGAAAATAATAAGCATATGTAGCAATTAAAAAGATATCTGCTTGTCAATACCAAGGGACAGAGGGCTGCAAGACAATTTGTGTTACCTAGCAACAGTAAGCACTGGTGAGAAGCACCCTGACACTGAGGTCGAGGGTGCTGCCAGCGCAGAAAAAAAAACAAAAAACACAGGCCCTAACCGAATTTAAGTATTATCATTGCTAAACTATGGAACTTATAGTCATGGGAAAGGTTGTTCATGGTGACCCATAGATGTGCCACAGGGTTGAACATTTCCTCTGGCCAATCATTGGTCTGCAGTGCTTCCTCTTCAACTTTTAATCACAGCTTAGATCACTTAAAACTTCAGCTGTGGTGACAAGAAAGTAACAGGTACTAGATACTGTTCCAAACTCAAATGCTGGTGTTTCAATGGGTGGAAATGAGGCAATATACGATATTTTCTAATAATAATGTCTCTTTAATATAAATGGATTACATAGTTTTTTTCTCTCCCATAAATCAAATTGCCCCATGCCTATTGTAACCAACCTAGGTTACACTAATCCCCTCTTCATCCTGCATTAGTGTGAGAGATACTGAAAAAAATCCAGAGAGGTTCACCTGATTGTGGAGGCGTTTATACCCTCATAAAGACCCCAATCAGCCGCTGATGATTAACTTGCTCTTTTATGGAATAACAACCCACCAACCCTGATCTTGGTGACAAAAGGGGGCCTGTTCACTCTCGACGGCATCTCAGTACTACGCTGTGATCCTGTGACCCTATTAAAAATGAATGGTGATGTGTTAAAATATTCATCAAGCGAGCGAGGGACGCTGGTCTGAGTGGGCGGCGACCAAAAGAGAGACACAGTGTTGTGGAGTAGTACACTCATCAAAGGGAAGAAAAGGAGGGAAATCATGCTGACATGCTCCTCATTCAGTGCTCAGAGATAAGACGGTAGCATCAGAGTCACACGTTAATTACGCTAGGTTGCTTTATCCTGAATGTCGTAATTAAAATATGAAACAATGTTTGAGATTCCTCTGTGGGGAACAGCAGGAAAAGATTAGGAGGATCTTTGTGTCGCATCTTCTTCTTTGCTTCCCCTTCACTGAGGCTTGTCAGAGTCTCCACCCGAGCAGGAGGAGCAGTTTAATTAAACCAGACGGCTGCGCACATTACTGTGATCTGACCTTGGTCCTCCTCCTTCAGAGTGAAGTGGAGGGAGACAAGAGGAAGAGGGCTAGCAGAGAGAGAAAGAGGAAAAAAAACCTTCATGGAGACAATCACCATTCATTAGCGACTCATTTCTCAGGCATGAGAAAGAAAAGCGAGGAAATAAAATCAAAACAATTACAAGAAAACTGGAGAAAAAAATAAATCTCTATACTGAGATTTGAACTTTTGTTTTCTTTTTAAAGATGTCATTCAAAACTCAGCGAGTCATATCAAATACCGCTCCTGTCTGTGTCTCCTCTCTCTGCCTGCTGGCTTTTTGGCTCTGCCTTCCCCCGATTGTTTGTTTTGCAGCTTTCATTGCCTCTTGTTTATTGTGTTGCTGCAGCACTCCCACGCCTCTGCAGCACCCCAGGATACCTCTCACTGCTGGAAAAGTTTGAGGAGTCAGCTGTTCTGAATCTGTTCTGTCCTGATAATGAAAATATTTTGATTGCTTACGTTGTGGTTGGAGGCAATCATGTGCACCACTGCGTCTCAGAGGGAAAACAACTGTTTAGCAAAGGGCATCGTCGTCACTCGACTTCTGTCAGAAAGATTTTTTAAAAGGACATATTTGTGTACAGTATTTGTGACTGTGGATTATGTTGTTTAAAACTTGATTCATTATTCAGCCCTCACCGTTTTTTACTTTCTTTTCCTGCCAGGCACCGTACTTTTGGCCGTCCAACTGTTGGGAGCCGGAGAACACAGACTACGGTAAGAGTCTTACAGGTACACAATGAAAAATGTTGTGATGGATCATCCTTAAAAGCGTTTCCTCTCCAAAGATGTGTGTATGTCTTCTTCTTTTATATCACAGTGTATAACAGTTTTTGAATGGCTCAAATGAAACCTGGGCAGGGCAGATAACAGGGGCGCATCCAGATGGGTGGCATGGGATCCTCTTGAAATTTTATTGGCCACCCAAAAATAGATTGAATATTGAGTTCAACATAAACTGTCAACTTGTACAAAAGGTCCTGTATAATCATTTTGTCTGCATTTAACCTTATAGACTGGTGGTGTTGGCTTTACATCTGATTTTTTTTTTTTTTACATTTGAGGTTATTTATCTAGAAATTGTTTAACTACACATTTATTTTTGTGAAACATATTATCTAAAGGTTGTATGTTCTAATTGAGTCTTGTGGTTCATCTCACTGGAGAAAACAGTAAATCTTGCAACATATGAGTTAGATGTAGCGTCCCATCAATACCCAAATTCAATTTTTTAAGTTTTTGTTTTTTTAGATATTTAAAGAAATACATGTACAAGAAACAAGTAGATGTCATTTTAAATCACATGTTGAATGGTGAACTTCACCACTTACAATAGAAGCCAGGTTCTAGGTATTTAAAAAAAATGAAAAATAAAGTAAAAATAGAATACATATCCTCTAAAATAAGAGCCCTAATTAGTTTTAAAAATGGGAAAACACTTCATGAAAATCTAAAGCGTTGCACTTTGAATAAATGAACTCAGTCACCATGAAATTGATGACAATAATGCTTCAAACATAGTATAAGCCCTACCTGTAACCTGTTGATATCTTGATATACGTATGTAGTTGATATTATAATTTTATGGTTGGAAGTTGGTCCGGTGGTGCCAGGTTACTTCCTGAGTACTGCTGTGGTGCCTTTGAGCAAGGCACCAAACCCTAACTGCTCTGGTGCGCTCCAGGTGTAGCGGTGTGTAGCAGCCCCACTCTGACATCTCTCCACTAATGCATGTCCACAGGTCCTGTGTGTGCATGTGCGTGTGCATGTGTGTGATGTATGTGAGAAGCATGTCTCTCAATAAAAAAGTGGAAACCAGAATTTCCCTTCGGGATTAATAAAGCATGTCAAAATTCAAAAATATTTTGTGTCAATGGGTCTTCAAAACCACTTAATAATGAAAGCCTGACCTGGCACCTGACACAATATGTATCTGAGGTTATACCTGAATAAAGACCACATGTAACTTCCTCTGAGCTGTGGACTGTAGCACTACATGTTCTCTGGGCTGAGAAGAGGACCCCCGACAGGATTAGTCAGTCACCGTTCCACTCCCTGCCCTTCATCCTGTCACAGAGGCAGAACTTTAGAGCCACTTCACACTTCACCTCATAATCAAAACCCATCAGAGAGGTGGAGAGGCCGATTTGACTCTCATGCTAGAGGAGCTTTGGAGGTCTGAGGCAGGTACACGGGGGAAGAGAGATGCACGGATGAATGGATGAATAGAGGAAGAAGCAAAGTGTGTCTACTGATAAATCCTCTCTGTCTGTTGCTCTCTCTCGCTCTCTATCTCTCTCTCTCTCTCTCTCTCTCTCTCTCTCTCAGCTATCTACCTGTGCAAGCGGACCATGCAGAATAAGACCAGACTGGAGCTGGCAGATTATGAGGCGGTGAGTTCTGGACTCTTCCTCTGAGCTATATAACTTCTTAGTATTGATCTTTGCGTCAAGCTGCAGGGCAGTAAAAACACAACCTCTTAAAGGTCAGATTTGTGTGTCTCTGATAGTGTGATATCTAAATTGCATCTGAGAGCCAAACTGCTTTAGGGTTTAATTTGTTTTTTGTTTTTCTATTATTTTTTGTCTTTGATAACGTCGTGTCTCTATGTCTCTATCTTCTCGCTCTAAAAAGGAGAACCTCGCCAGGCTGCAGAGAGCCTTTGCTAGGAAGTGGGAGTTTATCTACATGCAGGCTGAGGCCCAGGTCAAGTAAGTGCACACTCGGTTACCACACCGACACGTGAAACTACAATGCGTGCAGCGCTGACGTTGACACCTGAGGTACATGATAAAACAATGGAGTGTAATTTCAATGTGACCCTCTGTATCATGAGCTGTGTTTCTGACAGGCTCCATTTACTCCCGCTGTAATTGAATTTCCTACTACATCACATATCAGGTGTTGTCAGGCTTTGTAGGTCTGGATTATTTAAGTGGTAGATGATATGATAAATATTTTTTGTTTCATACCAGCAATAACAGACAGAATGCATTTGGAACATAAGAGGATAGAAAACAGAGATAAACGAGGAACAAACTGAGTTAACGCCTTTACCAAAGCCCTGTTTGACATATTTATGAATATAAACTGATTCGAAGGAGCGGCAAGATGAAGTAAGAACACTTTCAGTATTTTAAACAAGATATTTTTTACGATGAACACGTGACATCTGGGCCCCTGCATTCCCGTCACATTCCACAGAATCAACCTGCAACCTTCAATTTTAACCACCGTTCAAAAACATATACTCTGAAAATCTGGAGGTCGCACAGATTTTGTAGGGAGGAAAACATGACCTTGATATCGCCTTATGTATTTTCACTGGCTTACAACCATCAATTCCAATTTCCAATTCTATGTGCTTATTTAAGCATCAGTGCTACAAACATTTAGTTTAAGAGATTTTCATCATTTAATTGCTGAATATTTTGACATGGATTTGTAAACAGGGGAGTTTTTCAACATTGCTTCACTATCAGCATTGCTGAAAAGAACGATGTACCTGCTCACAGTGTTGTAAAGCAGCTGTATGAACACATCAGTGTCTGTCAATAGTGCACATTCAGTAATAGAAGCGGTGCATGGGCCATGCCGAATCTTTGGGCATATTGACTTCAACAATGTGAAAATGAATGTACATCATCACCCTCTTATCCTTCTATCCTGATTCACCTGACACATCTAATGCTGATGCTATGTGCTGTGTTTCTCACACTGGCTGATCTGATCTGATCTGATCTGCAGAATTGACAGGAAAAAGGATAAAACTGAGAGGAAGATCCTCGACAGTCAGGAGAGAGCCTTCTGGGACGTCCACAGACCCGTGGTAAGCCTCGATCAGAGAGCAGCTTACCTCGTCTGTCATCCACATACTGTGTCTTTTTCCCTTTCCTTCTCTTTCTCTCTCGGATTTACTGTAAAAGAAACGATGAATTACGTGAAATCTAAGACCTTCAACTGTAAGTAAAGACCGTCGCGATCTTTTTGTGCTGTGTTTTCAGCCTGGATGTGTTAACACGACAGAGATGGACATCAGGAAATGTAGACGCATGAAGAACCCTCATAGAGTTAAAAAGGTAAAGGTTCCAGTATACAGGAAGTAATGCTAAGCCTGTGATGTGATATTAGTGTTACCTTTAAGCTAAAAGTCCTGAATGTTAGTTAACATACGTTTTAAAGTAGTCTTATGAAACCTCAGCTTCAAAGTTTACAACACAAGTCCACAGAAAAAGCTGGTAATGTTGACAAATTTTATTGAAAATACACATGAATCATTCCTTTAGAAATGTTGACATTGTGAACAAATGGACATTCATTTTTAAATAGCCTCATATCAGCATTTTTTATGAGTCTTATTTACATCTTTGTAACTATTTTTTAATCAGTAAAACCAGTTAAACTTGAGGTATTCTTTGTGCTGTCTTAATGATTTACTTTTCTGCAAAATAACAAAAAACCAAGAATCGATTTGTTCCTTTATTACCTCCCTCACTCTTCCTTTCTCTTATCATGTTGAAATGATCCAGTCAGTGTACGGTGTGACGGAGGAGGGAACACAGTCTCAGAGTCCCATACACACTCCCTCGCACCACTGCAGGAAAGGGACCAAGGAGGACGTGGAAAAAGAGGTAAAACATCCTCATCGAATGTTGAACAATTCGCCAAGACAGCTTTAATCCTTCTGGGTTACTTTTGAACATCAGGGAGCAGATGATTTGATCACATGAGAAAAAGACTCTGCTTGTTATTTCCAGCACATAGAGAGATGCATTTTCAAAAACAACAAAAATGGAAGAAAGGTTACAAGATACTGATGGATGTAACTGTCCTGTGGGAAATTAAATTCTGAATTATAAGACTATTTAGTACATCTGACTTGAACATGGTCTTTATTGTTACTTTTGCCAACACTGAGGTCCTCGTTTGCCGCATTAATATACACTATGTTGAAGCTATTCTCTCACAAATCCAGCTTCTTCCAACTCTGACTCCTGTGATTTCCTCTTCCAGATCGTATTCCTGAACACACAGCTAGATCGTCACTGTATGAAGATGTCCAAAGTTGCTGATAGGTATGCGATACTCACTTCCCTTCTGCTTAATCAATACAACGCTTGATATTTTCAGTCTGCACATGTTTGTTTAGGTGGAGGAAACACACCAGCTTGTCTTGTCTGCTTTCCCATCTGCTGCTCTCCCTCGCTCTGACCATCTATACTCAGACAAACCTTCACTCTTTAGACTTCCCTGTCACTATTTCTGTCGTAGAGGGAAGCAATTTGGTTTTGACAGCCTGTCTAAACCTTAGGTGGCTTCAGTTAGACATTTGGAGATAGAGTGCTCGTATAAAGCAAACAGCTTGTGTTTGTGCTGCTGTTGTTTTGGTATGGGGATAAATCAGGATAGGGTTACAGGTTTAAGCAGATTTTGGTCGCTGCCTGGATTTCTCTGCTTCCCGTCCTTTAGTTTAGGGGATTTAGATTAGGGATCTGAGGGCAAGACAAAGGCCTGTGAATGTCACTCCACATGCAACTCACTACCATCTATCCTGGCTGGCAAACGATATGAGAAAAAACGAGGGCCAAAACCTTCAGCCACCACAATTAAGTAAAATATATTCTCTGTTGCTACTGCAAAAATAAACACTTTATCAAGTATCAGCTGTTTAGAGTCCTTAAAAAATCTAAAACTGCAGCTTGTATATTTGAATCTATCTGTATAAAGATATATGTCTGACAAAAAAAATGTAATAATTTGTTGTGTTGCTGCTCTGCAATTAAGAAAACAACACTTGAAGTTTTGAAAATGCATGCATATACTTGATCTGCTAGAAAAAGTAAAAAATACATACTGTGCTGGCAGATTTTTTAGAAAAGTTGGATCAAAGACAAAAATGACCTGATACAGAGAGGTCAGGAATTTAAGTAGGAGTCATCAAAGTCAGAGCTACAGAGTTAGTGAATAGAAATATATGAAAAGGTGCAGCGAGGGGGGGGGGGGGGGTCCAGAACATCGCCTTTAAGCTTCACAACTGTAAGAGTCATCGTTGGGTTATAACCTAAAATTACATTACGTTAAAAAGGCATTTGGGTTGTTTTGTTAACCTTCTTTTTAAGAGACAAAAAGCCTGATTATGAAGACGTGTCTGGTCCTTATCCCTCCTGTGTGGCAGACTCACTCCTGTGTGAGGCAGCCTGATAGTCCCATCCTCTGCTCAGTCACTCAGGACAGCCATTACTCCCCAGCAGAGCAGAAACTGTGATTACTGCAGGCTGCTGCTCTGCCCGGGCCCCCATTACCGACCCTTTAACCTCCTCACTTCACACACACAGCTGAGCTTAATTGATGCTCCACAGAGCGGAGAGTTTAGGTCTGCTTATACAGACACTGTAAAGAAACAACCTGAAGGACTGAATCAATCGTGTTGGATGATAACATTCAAGACTATTTGTTTGGTCTTATGAGGAATCATTTATCAAATTGAATTGCTGTAGAAGGCATATATATATCCGTAAAGGCTGGAATGATTTCTGTAAACTATGATTAAACTTCTTTTAAAACAGCTGATCACAAAATATGAAAATGTTTTTACAACAGGTGAAACTGTGAAACTGAACATTTGGGTGTACAGCAGCTTGTGCTGCTTGGTTTACCTTTACCTTAGAGCCTGAATTGATCTGATTAGTCTTAAATGTGTGCACCAAAACAACTCTGTGCATATGTAAGTATAGAAAAAAATCAAAAAATACTTGTTTTATGAGTATAGACAAATACTTTTGAATATTATTGTTTTTTGATGATGTCCTCCTGCAGTTCTAATCACATTTTAATACTTTAGAATTATTAAATACAATTAAAGAGCTGATGGGAAATCAGCCAGGCTTGTAATTTTTGTGATTACTAGGGGAAAATAAACAGAATAAACAGTTTTAATATCGTAAAAGATTATTTGTGGTCTAAATGTAGTGACAATTTCCTCTTCAGGGCTAAAAAAAAAATAGATTTAGCCCATAATGTATTCATTGTTGGTGCTTGATCTGTTTCTTGCTGCTCTGACCTCTTGGTAGATATTTATTCGAAGCGATCAAAAGACTTTCTTGCAGCTACACTTGATCACAATCCAAAAGGAAATGCTCATGACCAAGCAAAGGAAGACCAAGAGCTACAGCTACTGTAGCTGACTCTGTCCATGAGGTCGCTGTCCATGGTCCTGAATCTCTGCACGCCTGCAGCATGGCTGATGTACACTCTCCCTGCATACATATGAGTCAACTGGTTCATGCTTGAACACAATCCATTTCACTGGAAAATACAGATACAAAACATCTGCTAAAGGCTTTACACCCAAAAAGAGGCTCAACTGATTGATAATTTATGTTTTATATTCATACTCCCTAGTCCAGTCACATGTGATACAAATCATGTCTACACAGTATCCAGTAATAAATTAATACACAACACGACTATATTATACACTTCCCCCCTGCTCTCAGTCTCAGAGGAAATGTTGAGCAGAATTACTTTTTTCTCTTCTGAAATAAAAGCAGTTGACTGATAATACTCTTTCTTGGTAAAAAGCTGCAGTGCAGATACTGTATGTTGTATTTATTATTAAGTGTTTCCATCCACAGCGGCTCTCGTGGTGTGAAAAACAAACTGATTGAATACATTCTCGAGTTATTGTGGAAACTGTGAGCAGCAGACTGCTGCTGTTGTTGATGCAATTTTTGCCTCAGCGCACCTTTCAGTTCTTATTTATCTCAGACTATCACAGAGAAGTTGGTGAGCTTTGTTGATTTTGATCAAAACAGATGTTGCCTCTAAACCATTTTTCGGTACTTTTGTCTCACAATTATCCATCGGACAGAAGAAAGTTTGATCCCATTGAACAAAGGCTTAAGATTTCACTTTATCTGTTTACTTTTGATCAGTTTTTTCCTCAGCAGCTTCTGTCCTCTGTCCCTGTGTCTGTGTGTCAGTCTGATAAGCTACACAGAGCAGTTCATGGAGTACGACCCATTTGTGACAGCAATGGAACCTTCCAACCCATGGACCAGTGATGATCCATCCCTCTGGGATCTGGAGACCAGGTACAAAACTAGAGACCCGCGCAGTTTCTCTTTCACAGCCAGTGAATATCTCCTTCCATTTTAAAGTTCAACATACAAGCTCTGTGAACAAGTCAACCTAAAAAAACAAATGTTTAGCGATGTGATACAGAGTGACTGTTTTCTACTCTGCTGTTTTTTGACTTTCAAGTTTGTGTTACAACTTCCAGACCAGAATTCCTTCCATGGTTTTAATGTTTGCCACCACTGACAAAGACTTCGGTATCACGGCTCATTTTGTTATCGATGCATGCACTGGGAAAATTAAAAACCTTTTTTTCACTTGGGACAAAATACTTGAGCGATACTTGAATATTTATATTTATTTTCTAGGCATTGAGATTATGTGTAATTGTAAACATTGTTACAAATGATATCTCCTCCTTTTGGTGTGTCATGGGTAGGAAATCAAAGTTTCTGGTGAGCATGAGAAAGTTTCTGGAGAAACATTTGTGAGAGCATGTCAAAGTTTTCATGCTCAAGAGAAGATACTACCTGTGCATGTTCTCAAGCACGTGCGTACACACAAGATGGTTTCTGGTGTGCACATGACACTTTATTTTTCTGCCAATGTTCCCATAGGGGCCCATCGTAGATTCTGATTTATTTCCTTTCTGACATTCCAACAGCTCTGACCTTTTTGGGTAAATGTACTGTCTTAACAGATTCAAAAGTTTTAGGGATTACTGGTGTACATGTGAACAAGTTGCATAAAGGCTATTGAGATATAAACCTGATACTGAACTGTCAGTGATCAAGTTGCATTGTGGGTAATTATAGGTAGGTTCAGACAAAGAAGAAGAATGGATGGGGCATGATAAAAACAATATTGCTCCCTCTTCTACTAGGATTTCTTTTTCATGTCCATACTTCGCCTGCTAGCTTTATCATCAGAGTTTATTTTTAAACAAGAACAGAGGAGAATGATGAAATAAGCGCTGCATGCCACCGAGAGAGGAAAAATCTTTCAAGCCAATAACGTTTGTAGAATCAATAGTGATTTAACAGCAGTACTGAATCCAACACTGGATATTTGCGGGTAATTACTTTGAGTGATGGGCCATTTTCTGAAGCAGTGAAGGAAATTCAGAGGTCACTCAGTTTACACGATCAATCCAAAGCAAATAATCCCCCTCAGTTTATGTGTTACAATCAAATATTAGACAATCTCAAATTTCCGATGGTCCATTAAAGCTTAATATGTGAAATGAAGGTAATTACCGAAAGTGTTACAGAGAGTGGTCAAAGCTCTCAACACACTGCATTGCTCTCTTCATCCTGTCCCCCCTGAGTGATACAGGAAATAATCACAGTAGATGTATAATGATTGGGTCTAATGTAGCGATGTAAATCAGATGAATTGATTGATTGCAGGATTCAAGAGAATGCATTCACAGTGGGGATTAAAGGGATTGGATTTTAGATGAACGTTGACATCAAAATCAGCCCGTTTGGATGTTACACAGACCGATCCAAATGTGTGTTTGAATGTTTTGTCCCCTCATCTGTATTCATCCGTCAGCCCCCTCCACACTGGTCATTCCTCCATCATTTCCCTGTATTTGAATCTTTTCTTATTCCTTTTGAATCCTGACCTCCCTATAAAGGCTTCAGATAGATGTTCACACTGCCTCTCTCTCTCTCTTCGTCTTCTCCCATCTCTCCCAGTAAGGAGCCCAGTCAGCAGCGGGTGAAGAAGTGGGGTTTCTCTCTGGACGAGGCTTTGAAGGACCCGGCAGGACAGGATCTCTTCCTCAAGTTCCTCGAGTCAGAGTTCAGCTCAGAAAACTTGCGGTGAGCACAACACACATCGAAGCGTTGGTTAATTTAACACTTTTTGGCTTTGAATTAATAAATAAAAGTGGGATGGCTGAAGGAAAGGTTCTTGTGCGTCACAGAAATAATGCAACTTGCTGACATGTGGTTAAAAGTGAAGAGCGGCAATTTCTGTGCGTTTCTGACAACGTGAGGAGTGTCAGTTATTCAGAAAGCTTTCACTGCTCTGGAAATAGAAAGCACAAATTGCTCTCTGGCATGCCGATTGTTCAAACCCACCATTTCAGCCCACTTACACTCTGTAAACATGGGAAGAAACAAATCACGAGAGAAAGATTCTCCGTTTGAAGATCTGCACTGAGAACACAACACGGAAAAAATCACCTCTGACAGAAATCCAGCATAAATACAAAACAGGAAGAAAAAAAGGATCCGACTGAGCTGCATCATTATAATCGAACATAATTACTTATATATATAACTGTTACTTGATCCTAAGAAATATTTAACCCCAAAGAACATCATTGTGGGCTACATGGTGGAAGCATTAGACAAAAGTAGTTTGCGTGTTCATAGCGGATAAAATAAATTTAAAAAAAAAAAGAAATGTAGTTTAAACAACTAATAAATGTAGTTTTTGTTGGTTTGTCGCTATCGCTACATTGGGGTGGTCTAGTTATAGACAAAAACTATGGTTGAAGCTCATAAGCAACATGTGAGTAAATATATTATACGCTTCAGGAAACAACAAGTCACATTCAGTGTTAGCTGTTGCTAGGCACGTGTAGCTATGAGGGCATTTTAAGAGGAGAGAGAGAGAGAGAGAGAGAGAGAGAGAGAGAGAGAGAGTGGAGAAAGACATGCGGGAAAGGAGCCACAGGTCATATGAACCTGGGCCGCCCGCCTAGAGAACCACAGCCTCCGGACGCACACACTCACCACTAGGCTACTGATGCCCAAGAGTTCCTATCTCAATTACATTACATTACATTCCTACGATCATGAAAACGAGATTCAACGATCAATGTGCTGACTGTTGCGCTCGTTTTGACTAATACTTTGTCACGTGTGGTGAACGTTTCAAAGAGTCCATCACCACGACCATAAGTACAGTTATTTTACTTGTATTTATCTATTTATTTATCTCATATATTATTATATATGTATTGCTTGTTCTTCAAAGTGTTCAGAATTCTAAAGTGTAACAAAGTGTTTCAGTTTGATAAATGCTCCAGATGTTGTAAAATCAACGAGTAATCATGTTTAGTAATTGTGATCTCATTATCCATCAAAGTCGAGCAGCCCAAGTAGCTGCAGTCATAAAATTAAATTAAACAATAAACAAAGTAAAGTTAAATAAAACTGCTCTGGACTTCGTCTCAGATTTGACCTGGAGTCATCCGTCCATACAGCCTTCAGTAAGAGTTTTTTTTTTTTTTGTACAGCTGAAAATCATTTCCTCCATGTGAGATACAATCCCAACACAACACATGGACTATACACTCCCACACAATGATTCACATCCAGGCCCCAAGCGTCCAAAGACAAGACACAGCTAGCCAACAGTAACATTACAGCTAATCGCTCATATGATTTATATGAATGAACAGTGGGAGCAGTCAGAGCCAGCACGTCTGTTGTCTTGATATTAAATGAGGCTGTTTATTTCACAGAATTACTTATTGATTCACAGAACAAGTATTGAATTCATCCTTCATTTGGACACTGTATCAGGTTTAGACCGTAACGCAGCAGAAGCAGCATTAAGTAGATGTGTTTGTGAAAGTGTGCGAGGAAGAGTGAGCGTCTCCCGAAGCTAAAGAGGAGCAGAGTAAGGAATCATAGAGTGTGGGAATAAACTGTGAGAGGAAGCATGGAGGTTGTTGATACCGCTGAGATACAGAGAGCGCACACACACACACACACACACACACACACATACACACATACAGTATGAGAGCGAGAGAGAGAGAGAGAGAGAGAGCACACACCCTTATCTTCACTCACCTCTGGGACGACTGTACTCTCACCCGTCTCTCTCTGCTGCTTCCTCTTGTTTCCCTTTTTGGACTTTTAATTGCGTTTGCTTTTATGAGGGAGCTTTGGGGGGAGAGCGTCAGAGAGTGAGAATAAGATAGATAAACAGTGAGAGAGAGAGAGAGAGAGAGAAGAAGAAGGCCCCAGAGGTGTTCCTCTGTATTGCTGAAACAGATCAATATAGATACAAACTATAATTGAAGGCAGTCAGCCTGTGGCTCTCTGCTGCCTCTGGTGGTTGTTAGCACAGATCATGACCTGCCTCACTGCACAGCTACTATCGTATATTAAGTTATTATTTACCGTCAAAGGCCACAGTGAACGATCTTAAAAAAAATGTATTTGGTATTGGTAATTCTTTTCATCAATTTATTTTATATTTAGTTTTTTCTACTGCCGCATGTTGTTTCAGATGTCTTGCTGTAAGCCATGTAACATCTTATGCATGTTTTTAAACACAGCCTTATCTGCCTTTTTGCCTTTAGGAAATCCTAGAAACACAATAGTTTCTTGGTCCCTGCAGACTAAACTGTGTGTGTTATTCTGCTAAAATTAAGCATCCAAGTACTTCCTATACAATCACACTTTAATTTCATGTGCATCCAAATTCACTTAAGATAATATAAAGTCAATTATTTGGGTTTTTCAAAGGATTTACATGTTTTTAAGACACTGTCAATGATTATTATTGGAGCATAAGCTTTCTGCACACACATACCAAAACACTTCACACCCCCTCTTGGTTTTGTAAAGAACAGAACTTATACCTCCTATACTCCTATACCTTATTCTCAGAGTTGCATTTACTCACCCAAAAAATATATATTATTGATTTTTGTTTCCTGAGAGAAACGTAACTATCTGGATAAATACCAGAGACAAATTCATTCTGTGCGTGTAAATTGTAAAACATGACATTCATGTTGTTTTGACAATCCTAGCGTTAGGATTTATTGAGGGTGAACTTGGTTTGTGTTCCAGGTTCTGGTTGGCGGTGCAGGACCTGAAGAGGATGCCTCAGCAGGACGTGGCTCAGAGGGCGCAGGACATTTGGACGGAGTTCCTGGCAGAGGGAGCACCCAGCTCCATCAACCTGGACTCCCATAGCTACGAACGCACGAGCCAGAACCTGAAAGACCCCGGACGATACAGTTATGAGGACGCACAGGTGAGAACATGAGAGTTTATTGTAGTGGGGGTTTGGTGCTATTTGGTTTGGGCACAGACCTCAGTAAACTGTTAACAGTTATTCAAGGAAAGAGTGACTAAACCCATGTCGACCCTCATGAACGCCCTCATCCATATACATAAAGATAAGATGTACAATATCTACAGCTGACTCAAATGAATAGATTACATTCAAAAGATAATCCATGTACTTAAAATGCAACGCAGGGACTCTCTTGACAATACACAACCTGTCAGCTAAAGGTTAAACTGTCAGACTAAAGTGAAATTCAATAACACTCATAAATAAATAACACTCCTACTGCCTTTTAATATACAGCTTACACGGGCTCTAGAGTGAGCCTCTGCACACCTCATACCAGCCTATCACATTATAGTGTTACACTTATTTAAAATGTGTGAGAAAGAAGGCGGAGAAGATTAGTTCAAAGAGGAAAAGAAAGTGAGATACAACCATCTGACCTCACTCCAATGAGAATCAGTTTCGTCCTTTGTGGGATAATGAGTAATGACTAGTTGGCTATCTACCCACTTTACTGTCCTCACCTCATATCCATCCATCCATCCATCTATCCATACTCATCCCTGAGGGCCGTGCTGCAGGTGGATGGAGTGTATATCCAAGCTTACAACGAGCAAAAAGGCGGCGAGTTACTCGTGCAATCTGCATACAAAATACAAACATAATTTTAGCTAACAGTCTGTTGTTGTTACCATGAAACTGCACGGTACAATTAAAGTAAGTTAACTTCTCTGTGTAATCAAACATGTGTGTAGTCAGGGAAAGAACAGAAGATCACAAACCAAAAGTAGCTCCCTCTATCTAACATACTTTTTACACTGAGGTTTCTCAAAGAACTTTTAATAATGCACACATTTATACAAGAAAAGAGAGTCATTTTTATGATTAAAAAAAAAAATGTCTTCTTCTTTTTCCAAACCAAACCCTGAGGGACAGACGATGTGAGGGCCAAAGAGAAGTCTTCTTTTGGTTTGATAGAGTGGTGTTTATTTTACCTTTAATCCAATAGGCTGCTAGCTGTAGTACACACTTGGCTTATAGGCTTTAAGTGGCATCAAAATGATCTTCTAACTCTCAAAACTAACATACATCCTCCCCAAAATGTGAAACTTGCCCTTTCTAGTTATTTGTCGTTTTCAGCTTTTTTTTTTCATGCACATTTTTCCCGGTGAACTTCATATCAGTCTAAGATCAGTGTTTAGGAATGAGTACGTACAACAAAGCTAATCACACTCAGCTTCTCTCACCCTGCAGGTATTTATTCATAACTCTGCAGGTCATCAGAAATGTCATCCCACCCTGTTTTCTGCCCCATCTGTCTCTCTTACACGCTTCACCAATATCAACTAATGGGTTTATAAGGTGGAGGGATGTCTAGAGAATGCGCCCCCCCCCTCAGGGAGATAGATAAGGCTGCTGGTAAGAAGTATGGAGGGTTGGATGGTGTGTGTCAGATATTCTCTGTTGCAGCAACCTTAAAAAAGGAGCGGTGAGAAGAAGAGATTGCCTCTGTCAGTGCTACAAACATCTTCCTCCCTCAGAGACTGCCATGCTTAGTTTACCCCGACTGAATTTGCAAGTTTTGTACATCATTAGCACAGAACCATGTTTAAATAGAGATAAATGACTCTCCTCCTCCTTCCGGCGTCAACATTTAGACCCATGAGTCTGCTCTTTTTTTTATTTCTTCTTCAGGACCACATCTACAAGCTGATGAAAAGTGACAGCTACGCTCGCTTCCTGCGCTCCAACATCTACCAAGACCTGCTGATGGCCAGGAAGAAAGTAAGTGTGTGTCTTTGTTTGTGATCAACCCTAGACCTAAACAGATGTGTTCATATTTTATAGATATGTATTTATATCGTATAAAATAAATGTAGGGTTGCACTTATATGTTACAAGAACAGCAAAAAAGGAACAAACTCGACAGTAAAACACAGTTTCAGGTGCTCGACTGCAACAAGACTAAAAGGAGACAGAAAAGTCAGCACACTGTGTGTCCTTTAAGTTTCCTTTATCTAGGTAAGAGCACATGCCGATGAAGGCCTAGTGCTGAAACGCGCCCGTTGTTGTTTTGCTGCTCTTACCCAGATAAAGGAAACTTGAAGGTCATATAGCGCGCTGACTTTTCTGTCTCTTTTTTTGCGCTTACATGTTGACAACAAAGAAAGAAAAGTGTATTAGTTATTTGATTTTTAAAAAATCACTTATTTAGATTAGACTCTAACTCAGATGAAATAGGAGCAATGGACTTCATACAGGAACAAGAAGTGGGCGTGGTCAATATGATGTCACTCATTGGTTGGTTGACTACAGATTTGAAGCTTCAAGATTTAGTATTTTGTCCTTTGCCATCTTTGGTTTTTCCAATCAGAAGTGACCATATGGGGCAAAAGGGTGGATATGCATGCTTTGTCTCCATCCTGATGACTACCTGTGTCTGCTAACCTGTCAACCACAGGTAGCCAAGTACTCAAGAAACCCTGTTTGATCAAAGATTTTAATCTAAGTGGGACCATCATTACATGTAAATGAACATCATGAAGACTGCAGTCGTAAAACTTGAAATTACGACCTCAGAGGAAGGGTTGTTTTCCACTCTGGTTTCATACATCAGACTTCATTTTGCACACAGTGCAGTCGCCCTCTGCTGGCCATTAGATAGAATGTAGAGTAAAGGCTGTGGCAGGAAAATGGATAACAAAGATAATCAAAGGTGAGTGTTGTGCACAGCAGTTATGACTTATGCATAAAATTAAACTGTTCTGGTGGCTGCTTAAAAGCATTCAAAATGTGAAGATACAGTGTAATGTTTTTTTTAACAGTAGTCTTGAAAAATCATGGTTGTAATCAGTAACATGACGTGAGCTTTAATGTGCACAGTTTGCGTGACAGATGCATCAGCTTTGAACACTGACATGTTGAACTTCTGCCCCATTATACTGTTTTTCACTTCTGTCTTTGACTCTCCAGCCTGAAACGGAGCAGGGCAGACGCACCTCCCTGGAGAAGTTCACTCGCAGTGTGGTGAGTGTCCCCGTTTCTCGGCTTTTAACTCTGCATTCATTAAAGTATAAGGAGGTTTTGGTGCACATCACCACTGTTTCATATCCCAGCAGAGAGGAAGACACATTACAGCATCTCTACTTTTACTGAGCAAAACTGGAGCGACGTAGGAGAAACTGTAACAACAACTTAGTCCCTCTTTTTTGTCTTTTTGCTTTGTTATAATCATTAAAGCTACAAGATCAATTTGTTCTTGCAAAGGTTTAATTCTAACCATCGCTTGTGCTGGGTAATTTAAACATTTTATTGAGATCCAAGCATTCATATGTATTGCTGTTGCACTTTGTCTCATTCCCTGAGGATACACTTCCCTTTTTTCTTATTGAACCCCCTAAAAATAGAGTAGTGATTAGTTTATCAAGGGGAACAAGCTGTTTATTGCTGTAATTAATCTTTCCAGCTTATTGATCATGAATAGCTTGGAGGAGTATTGAACTGGAGGGCTTTACAATGTTTAATAGATGTAAAATAAGGAGATCAAGGTTTCTGTGTGACCATGAATCAAAACAAATGTTTCGTAAGTCTCACTGGACTTGACTAGACTCGGGTCCACAATTGCACTTTACTCGTTGTATCAATGCTCTGTTTATTGAATTAAAGACAGCCATATATCAATAATGCTGACTTCACTTTTATAGCACTTGTAAAACATTGTTTTCCTCTGGCAGGCTGTCCCAGAGTCACCTTTAGTCTGTGGAGTTGACAAAGGTGTCTTAAAGTGTATCTCCTAAACAGTTGAAAGGCTGGTAATATAGCCAGTGGATAGACCTCTCCATGCCTTAAAATAAATCATTTAAGAACTAAAAAAAAATTAATTCTATTTGAAAATGTAGCTGTGCTTAAGACAGGGAAGATTTGCTCTCTACATTAAGTGCATGGTAAAATTCTCGCCGTAGCATTGTAGACAAGTTAGAGACATGTGGAAGACTTTTGTCTGAGTCGAGTGAACAGGGACTTTTAAACTGGATCAAATAAAAGCAGAATTCAAATCAACAAGAAGGACGTGGAGTTACAATCCCGGGGGGGTTTTCTGCACTGCAGTTGACTTGCATGGTATTGTTCTTGGAGATACCCTAACCCTAACCCGAGAGGGTGCTGACCATGTCAGTTCATGGTCAGGTTACTATCAAAAATAAGTCCTACATTTCTGGCAGATGGCACCACGTTAATGTGTACTAACTATCTGTCACCACTTTGATAGATTTGTTTGCTCGGACGAATCATTCTTCTCCTTTGTGTTCCCTCTAACACTGATCATTCACAATCCTCAACAGAGGTTCAATATGAAGATACATTGTTTGCAAAACTGTTTGTGAATGCATTAATCAATCCCCAATGAGTGAAACAAAAAGATGCACTGATGCGTACACAGATCTGCAAAAAATGAAGAGCAATTTGTAGAGGTGTACAGACTTTTTGGTGAGCATTTGTGAATCATTGTATGGATCTGTCAATCTGTATATGCATTCTTTGGATCTACAGTATTTATGCATTTATATATTGATAGATACTTTATGGATCTCTTGGGAAATTCAGGGGAAATTCTCTCTGCTTCCTCTCAGGGAAAGTCACTGACGGGCAAAAGGCTGACGGGGCTCATGCAGTCGTCCTGACAAGGCCTGGATCCAGAGTAGGAGGAACCATACCCCCGCCCCCCCCGGCCCCCCCTCCCCAGGAGCAGAAGACAAGTGACCCTGGGGTGTTTTGGGAGTGGCTGTGGGAGGCGGGTGATAGGACTGTTGGGATTGGGCCGCCACCACGTTTGAAAATCAACCTCAGATCAGTTTGAGAGGTCGGACATCATGCAATAAGTCACCACATCTGACACCAGGACAAAGCTGTCACCGTGTAGAGGACAACCTATGTAAACGCCTGTAACATGCCGGCCTTTGTTTTTCTCTGTTTTTCTCTACTATCTCCACTCACGTTATTCTGGTAGCTGAAGAGGCTACCGCTTTACCTTCTGTGATATAAACATGGAATGCTTGAATGCTGTCAAAATGAGACTTAGATTATCGCTGTAGCTATAGCCGTTTTATCTCACCGCACTCACCTGGACGAGGAGGGTTCACGGTAAACATCTGCACTTTTCATTTTTCCGAACTTGAATCTTCACACTGATGGCGGTCAGACTTCCTGCTTTAACGGTGGAACAGGTGGACGAGTACAACAACTTTTTAGGAAAAGAGCTTTTTTTTTTTTTTCTTTTTCGATCAATCTGTTTATGTTGGAAGACACAAGATGAACAACCTCTGTGTGTCCTGAAGTGGTTTGAGTAGTTACAATGTGTGTTTACATTTCATGCAACTATTCCAGTGTTTAGCTGGTTGAAAACAAAACTAAAAGAATACTGATGCCTCCATATAAACTACAAAAGCAAAAGAGACCATGAGAATCAAGATTATTTCTACATCGTTATTCTTCATGCCTCTAGCTGCTGCAACCAGGTACAGTAGGTGTCCTATAAGGCGATAAAACAGCAACCCTCGACCCTCCCCCCCAAAAAACAAAACAAAAACGCTGTTACATTTTCCATGACAAAGACTCATGGGGAATTGTTTGTTTTTATATTCATCACAGGCTCATTAAAGCTGCAGATGACAACTTTAACATGTCCTGATACAGGGGGGCTGTTCTTTAAATATGCAGAACAGGAACAGATCCATTTTTTAAACTTCTTGTAGCAACATCTGTTTGTAGAGTGGTTTTTCTTTTTCCCCCCTAAAGCACCGTCAGCAAAATCATCGTCAGAAATACTGAAGAATAAGAATAACTGGTTGCAGCACGGACCAAATCTGTACTTTGCTTTCCATTATCTAATATCCTCGATTAACACTGCCAATGTAATGATTTGTATCTACTGCATGGACAGACAGAGGTGTGGTCTTGTCGTCGTACACAAGGTAAGGACAGGTTGATCATTTTACAAGGTGTATGACTTTAAATGAGAGTCGGTCTGTTGTTAGGCTTTATTCTATTCTTCTAAACATTCCACGTCAGGCGGCCCCCCGGGCTGCTCTCGGACCATTCTTCACCTTATGTAAAGAGGAACACAATAATAAAAGAGGAATGCACAACAAAGACGTGGGGTGGGGGGGGGGGACGTGTCCCATCATTTCATGTTTGTTCATTCATCCCTCCTCTGGGGGATTTTTGATTCTAGATAATGGAACCAAACACCGGCTCCATCTAACAGGTATGTCTTTGCTTTTATAGTCACATATCGCCCCCCTGGTGGATCTGTAATGTAAGTGCTGGTAAATGTAAAAGGATGCAGTATAGAAGAGAAATGTTGAATAAAGTCAGGATGGTGACAAATGATTAATTATTAAATGAACTGTGATAGCACCTGTAGTCATTAGCAACTTAAATATGTAGTAATAGGTCACAAAAATAAAGCTAATAGTCATTCACAGTTACTTTCTTTTGACATCAATGGGTAGATGCTCTCTCTCTGTTGTAGAGTCTGTTAAGTGTAAGAGCACCACCTGGTGGAGAGTCAGTAAAAAGCAACCTAAAGGTTCTTCATCTGAATTAATAAATAATCCATTTGACTTCTTAAAGCGAACATGTTCATTTAAAGAAGTATCTGAATGTAACTAACTGAATTGTCAGGATCTCTTTTTATCCTGCCGATAAAACGATTCTACTTTAAGCCCTGATTGGTCCCCAAGATTAGAAATAATCTATTTAAACATCTTTTGTAAAATCATAGTGCTCTATTTAAAATAAGGACAGGACAATCGGTGTGATGCTATCAGGAATATATTTCAGAAACAGCGGCTTATGTTTTGTAAGACACACCATGCACTAAACACCGGCATTCTGCAGAAACCCCGTCGTCAGGTGCTCAACCCAAAACTATCTGAACATTTCTGCCACTATCATATTTTCTTAATATTATCAGTTCAGCAAGCATATCAAAATTACAATCTTTATATCTTTATAATTATCATTGTATACAAAGACACAACGAAACTTCCTTAATTCCTTAACTAGAAACAGACGTAGATTTACTGTTTTCAGCTTTGTAGGAGGAGTGTAACATTGTTCTCTGCTTGTATAAAAACACAACTTCATGGTTTTTGTTCAGGGGGTTTAAATGAAGTCTAGCTTCATCAGTTGAGTGATAAAACAATAACTATAGATATAGTTATTTCATTAAAGGACTAACCTGTTCTAGTGAAAACAAAACAGATGTTATGTTCATTAAATATATCTTTAAATCTTATTAGCATTAATACTGTTAACACCTGTGACCAAAGCACATCTTAATACTCAAATCCTCACTCGTGTAAACTCGATACAACTTCAGAATGAAATAGTTTGAAACACTGTGAGGCCTCGATTTGTTGCCGTATACATTTATTGACCAGAGACGTACATTGTTCATGAAATCAGGGTCTTAAATTATAACGGTGAAGTAAGTGCCAACATGTTTTTTGAGAGTGTTGATTCCAAAGCTGCACCGGGATACTCTTTATTTAAAACAACCCCAAACAGGAGCAGGACACAGAAGCTTCCATTCTTTTATCTCTGCTTGGATATTTTCATTTTATCACAGGTAGGAGGAGCATGCTATTTGGTAAACTGGTTTTAATCTGTGAATCCAGCACAAAGAAACTGGTTATTGTTATTAAAACACACTCCCAGTGCAGCTTCAAAGATCAGATGTGTTCCTATGTAGCTAATTGGAGGAGAACTACATTATGGCAACAGCATAGTGGAAGCTCTTTGGTACGAGTTAGGCAGCTACAGCCGGACAGGACAGAGGCTGCACTCCTTTAATCTCTAGAGCCTTGTTGAACTGAACATCCAAAGTCTTGGAGCCTTTAGTGATCTTCAGGTTCTTCATACAACCTTTGAAGGAAGTGCTGGTAGAGAGCGCTGCCTGACGAACTCCATCTAAGAGAAAGAAAACATCCACGTACAAGAGTTAGAGTTGGGACTTCACAGTTATGTGTTTAAGGTAGATGTGAATATGTACATGAAAGTATTTTTTAAGGATCTGTGCACGGCGACATACCAGGATATCCTCCGACATAGATGGGGTCGTTGGTGTCACACGTGTTGGAGCGTGCGTTTGGACTCTCTGCTTGGCTCGTCGCCCCGTCGACCACCAGCTCCGCCCTGTGGCGAAGCTTCTTAGCCGTGACCGAGTGCCACTGGCCGTCGCAGAAGCCCTCCCCTTCAGGCATGTGCTCGGCCGTGAATCGACCGTCTCCGTTGTCGACATGGAAGAGAAGCTGGAGGGAGGTGAAGGAACGTGAAAACAATCATTTAAAAGAAATGGAATTAAATCTCTGTTTACTTTGTTTTCCTCTGCCATACTGCAGTCAGATAGACTAAAGGAAATGTCTGGCATTTAAGAAAGTATGAGTTTATTTTCCTTGCAAAGAGGTCAAGACAGTACTATTAATACAGAAAGGAAAGAGGTTAGCCTGGTTCTTTTCAACCTAAATTAACACTGTTTATATGTCCCTCTAAAATTCACCGGTTTACACATTTTACTGTTTTTTTTATCCATCCTGAACGTTAAGAGTGAAAAAGACAATTAACAGTTGATGATCCACAAAGCTTCATCTTCACTGGGAACTTCTCAGTATCCAGAAATAGTAAAATTCAGTTTTTACATTAAGCATCAACCACAGTCAGGCTAGCTGTTTTTCCCTTTCCAGTTTTCTATTTCTCATTTTAAACACAGACATGAGTGTGGTATTAAGAGTTTTAAAATCCATCTCCCTGCAAAATAGAAAAACAACAACAGCTTGGGGCGCTGATGGCCCAGCAGTTAGGTCATGGCAAATGTATGGCGGCTCTGGCCCGAGTTTGGGTCCGACCTGCAGCCCCCTTTTCCTGCATGTAATGATTTTCTACTCTATCCACTGTCGTATCTAATTGAAGGCAAAAAACCTCAAAATTAATCTATAGACGGACACATTTTAAATCACTGTTACACACCTTGCCCTGGACAATCTCCAGTCCCAGTCCGTCGTGGGCTTGGTTGCTGACGGCCAGAAGGACTCCACTGGTTCTGCTGGTTCTGAACTCTAACGCTATGGACACGTCTAGACCGATTCTGTAAGAAGAGACTAAAAAGAGATGAAGAGAGAGATTATTCTCCATGATTCTATCAAGAAAGCGATCAGTTAAGAAAATATAAAAGAGCTGATTCGACTGGGTTTGTGATGTGGTTACACTACATTGTTTGTATGTAAGTGTAAAAGATTCTAGGCTGGTACTAAACACCTACAATCACATTCAGTTAACACCACAGCAGTCTGACAAGATTTCAAAGACAGTCTACTGAAAGCAAGCAGCTCGTCAGTGTCTCTCTCACCTGCTTTCAGGTAGCCAGTGCCGTCAAAAAAGGTTCCTGTCTCAGTGGCGACGAAGCATCTTCCTACCATGTGGCTGGAGAAGGGACTGGCCATGTTCATTTTAAAGTCTTCAGTCGTCTCAGGGCGACCTAAGCCAAGAGAGGGGAGCCTTCTTTACAAACTAATACAAGGAATACAAAAAAAACTAGCCAATGACAATGCAAACAAAAGTTAACACAACACCAAAACAATTACCTGTAGCAGGGGCTTTAGTGCTCACAGGACCTCCCACCATCTTAAAGTTACGTATACACCCGTTGATACTGTAGAGGATCTAGAAACAGAACAAAAAGAACATTGGATTCAACCTAAAAGACCATTAAAAACACCTGTTAATTATCAGTCCCTTCATTTTAAAATACCGTCTTGACATTTCAGAGAATGGTCCCAATGCCCCTGTGTTCAAGTCATTCATGGTGTGTCCTTTGAAACTGCAAAGACTTAATAAAAGCAGTGGACGGACGTAGAACTGTGACATCATTCTCTAGGTTTAAGTCTGTAGTTCAGCATTTTGCCAGTAGAAATGGTCTGTTTGTCTCTGGAGTTTGAAATCAGGTAACGTAAAGAGACTAAACACTGTTACCGTTTGTAAGTGAAACAGCTGTTAGAGCCGACTGACATCTCATGTCTCTTAAAACATATTTTCTCATTCTCTCTCTGATGGGAGGGACTGAGACACAAGTGAGGGATGCAAGTGAAGGAAACGTGGATGTAATTTAAGTGACATGAGAAGTACCCTATATTGTCGTCAGATGATTGCCAATTGGTTTCAAGATTAGACTTCCCCTCGCATTAAGTGCAGTACCCCCTGCTGGCCATTAGAAAGAATGCAGGTTTGAGGCCCGTCAACTTTAATGGTTGAATTGAGGTACTAATGCGTAATCAAATTCTGTTTTTAAAGATGGAGGCTTCGTGTGTGTCTGCACAGATTCATTTTTTACCGGTCCTATCCTCTTGGTGGTGTAGTTTTGTGGTAATCCACCGACATAGACCATCCCCACCACGTCCAACAGGTCGGCCTGGTGAAAAGAAGACACTTAATGTAACATTAAACTTCACTTTTGTCATTTCAAAATATGATCAAAGACTTGATTTAATACCAGAGTTAAAAAGTAAAGATCTAATTTAGCATGAGTGCGGTTGTTAGAATAGACAAAATGACAAACCTTCTTTGGGCTCATCATATGTTTAGCGTATTTCCCATCAACAAGTAGGGTAGCTCTCTGCTTGGTACGAGTCACGCGGATCTGAAAGTTATAAAACAGAAAGAAAGGCATGAGTAGAAAGACACTGAGATCAGCTGATACGCCTTGGACAGTCAGCATGTATCAAATCATTTCACATTATCGACAGAGACTGCATGTTGGCCTGGATTAGAAGAAAGACAAATGCTGCTGTCATGTTCTGTCACTTGACTTTTATATTGTGTTTTCTTTAAAGGAAGAATGTGTGCCTTTTTGATCCAGTAGATGTCGCCCTTGAGCACCAGCGTTAAACCAAAACACACACTGCTGTTTGGGCGACACCTCCGCTCTCCTCCATCTGCACACCTCCAACACATCTCCACTCACGTACACATGAAGGAGTTATCAATTAGAACGCAGCATAATTAAACACCATTAAGAGCAAGCGGTGGACAATATTTTCCTTTGCTCGAGCTGCAATTGCCTGTGTCCTGCAGTGTTGTGTTAGCATGCTAATGTTGGCACACTTCGGTTAACTCATAGCTTCATGTTGCACATTAATTAAGAGATGACCGTAATCTAAAGATCTTGTTTTCTCTAGTCCTTGACTAAAACAGATTTTATACACAAGGCCGTCCCGTCCATGTAAACATGATGTAAACACAGCTCTGACAACAACACAGCTGGTGGGACTCATGCTTCCCACTCATTGTAGACAGTCACGACTCAGAGAGACATTTACAGAGGCTATACTTGAGCTCTTCTACATTTATGTGTAAAATGTCGAACATCCTTCCTTCAACAATGTCACAAAGTGGTCTCACATCAGGACAGAATTTGAGTCCGAAAAATGGATTTAAAGGAGTCAGTGTCTTTGATTTCAGAATACAAAGAAGCCATGAATGATTTAAAAGAAAACTAGAAGGTGAAAATTAAGTTTATGAAGCAAAATCATATTTGATGTATGTTTGTAATAGATTGCCCCAAATGCAGAAAAAGAGCCATTATATCTTTTACATGTCAGTCCTTCACAACTTCTCTAAAGCTTCTCTTAACAAACGCTTTTAGAAAATGAGATATTCAAAGAAACATGCGACAAAACACCCGATATAGGTCAGTGAAGAAGGGACTTCTTTTATTGTACTGAACGTGTTCAAAATTCAATCAGTCGGACACTATTCCCTTTATTTTCAAGAGAAGTATTTTCTATACAAAGTGTATGACAAGGACAGAACTTCATTAACCTATTTTGAATGTTAACAAATGAATCATCCTTCAAATAAGTACATGCATAAATGAAAGGTCGACATGCTCTCCTACCTTGTGCCAGTTTCCATCGTTAATGGAGAAGGGGACGCAGGCGGATGTGTTTCCATGCCCCAGATCGTAACCCAGGCAGACCTGTCCGTTCTTAATCTACAGAGGGGAGAGAGAGAGAGAGAGGAAGGGTTATGATGTCATGACAGAGGGATTACAAGTGGACAGAGTCAATATATCAGCCTGGTTCAACACACAACACAGACAGCGTCAGTAGAGTCTCAGCCCACACACAGAAAACAGAGGAATGATGTGGAGGGAAAATGGGACTCTAATAATTCTCCGATAGTTTCCGCTGAAGTTGTGATAACTTCTGTGATTCTGGTCCAAACTAAGCTGGAGATAACTTTAATGAGCGGTGGTGTAATAGCACATAGTAAGAGGTACAGAACCAAATTCAATGAATCGTTTGCGGATAACGTCATATACTGTTAGAAACATACATTTACATAAGGTCAGAAGAGAAATACCTGTATGGCCACAAAGTCAGCATGGTTGATTCTCGCCATGTAGAGAACAAGACCAGAGTCCTCCTTTGTCCTCAGTTCAAACTCCAATATGAGCCTGAGACACACAAGAAACATTCATACATTAACACTACATATGATTACGACACTGAAACAAATGCACAGTAAACCAAAGACATCTGGCCTCTTGGATCACTTCAACAATTAAACAGTTCCTATCAAAGAATGCAGGTATTTTTACATTACATCATTTTGAGTTGGTTTAAATGACTGAACATTTATTTTCAATTAAGGAAAAGTGTAATGAACTTGGGGGGGGGGGCTCCGACAATCAAACACTCCCTATCTATATCCTTTATGGTCGTCTATCCAGTATTTGCATCACTTGTTTTCACAGGTTGTTGCTTTTGTTTCTGTTAGTTTCTTGGTTTTCAGGGTCGGTACACTGATTGAATATTTATCGAGGACGTGTCCCTGGATCTCCACCTTCTGCACAACTGTGTAGGTAGAAACCTCATCCTGTCCAAACTATCACTCACTCCTTTTATTTATTTACAGCCGCTGTGCTGCAGAGTGTCGGATCTGTGATCAAAAAGCTGTCAAGATGCACACAAGCCCACCCACACATGGGTCAGAGTGTGCTGTGTTGAGGGTGTAACATGTCAGAGGCATATAGATACAAACACAGAGGTAGAACTTAACCACATATACTTCCTCAAGTTTACTGTTGTGGAGTTGATGCCACATAGTTTTTACTACACAACATTTTAGAGGTTATTATTTAATCTCCTCTGGTTTCACTTTACAGCGTCTCCGTGTTACTTCACAGATCAAGATGTCTCATAATCACAACAGTGTTCAGATGATCTCATGAAATAGGATCCAGTTTTACAGATGTGACGTCTCAACAGTGTATGAAGAAGTTCAAAGTTAGCCACACTGAAGCCCATTAAAACCTATTTAACCGTTTGTATAGCTCACATATTTCAGAGTCAATCCCAGATCATGGGGCGTTGCAACTTTTCGGACTAATAACTACATTTGGTCATTATTAAAAATATTTCTGCTGTTGTTAGGAATGAAGGCTCATCACTATTACAGAGGCTAATAATCAAATGTCATTTTCTATTTTGCACTTTAGCGCCCAGATACACAATAATTGATCACTATTTATTGACATCGATGAAACTCCATCACATTTAATGAATTCTGTCTGGTGGCTATCTGATGGCGAGATTGTTTACTCGTTGCCATCTACACACTTCACACTAACTCCATTCTTTGTTTCAGTAAGAACATAAACTACCATCAGAAACGTCTCAATCACTGGCTGGAAGGGAACTGCATTGGGTATAGTGGTACATACACGAGTATGCATCAGCAACAACATCAGTTGAGGTTAAACATACAGTAGATAGCCGACTAAGCTTTCAGAGAAATCACTGATCTGTGCCCACGTTGATTATTGTTTAAGCAGTTCATTGATTTTTGGAAGTTTTGCACTCTATCTATTACGTTGCCCAGCCCATGACTGAAAAAGTGTCAGTGATTTCACAGAAAGCTCAGTCTGCTATCTACTGTATGTATAACTTTAACCATGTACCTGCCTAAACATGTGTAGGTGTCCTCACAAGCAGCATTGTGCCCCTTAATAAAACCAGAAGAAGATCATTGTTTCAGAGTACAAACCTCTCTCTGACTTTGGTGTCGTCGAAAGCGAAGCTCATGTGGCTGTTCTTGGTCAGTCCGAACTGATAGGCCTTCTCCAGCGCTGTCGGGGCCACGGCTGACGCACACAAATCCTGCAGATTAGACATGATATGTCAGATACACCGACTGGGGCTCACTGCTCACATTGCCTGTCTCGATTCTGCAGGGACCTAAAGCACTGGTGGGTCACTTAGGTTCATCTTTAAAGTCTAACTGATGAGAAAAGTTTGGAGGAGATTCAATGAAATAAGATTTATACATGATGTCATTGATTTACAGTGAGAAGAAATGTATTATTGAATTTCAAACATATTTTTTTTAAGTCAATATAAACTGAATCATAGTGATTTTTTTTTCTAGAATGATCTGGTAAGTAACACTACTGTACATTATGTTATTAGTTCAATGATATCCCCTTTTTTATCAACTGAAATCAGGTCCCAGCAAAGTGGGTTTGGGAGACACTTTTTAATCACACAGTTTGATTCTTGTTTATCTTTTGTATGTTCTTTAAATATATTAACCAAACATCAGACTCTGCCGTCTGCTCTCTATTTGATTTTTGACAGCTGGTTAAACTTAGATGAGCATTACCTTCTCATTTGACCAGATGCAGTACATTCAGTGACCAGAGGGTGTCAGTGTTGTAATACAAGTGAAGGCATCTTAATATTTAAACTTCTGAAGTTTTTTTTTTGCTCATTTTCTCCTGTAGATATATTCTCCTTTCTTCCACTCGCCTCTCCTTAATTCTTTTCCTCTCTTATCTCATGTTTCTCCTTTATCCAAGCCTTCCTGGCTTTTATCACTTCATGTCTTCCTCCCATCTGTTCCGACTTTCTTTTCCTCTCCACCCCTTCACTCGCAGATCTCCTTTCATCTCACTTTTCCTCTCCTCTCCTCTCCTCTCCTCTCCTTCTTCTTATTTCTAAGTCACAACTTGATTCTTCTTTTTGGCTTCCTCCTTCTTCTATCCTTTGCCATCTTCTTATATCAGCTCATTCTCAACAAACCATGACTCCACCTGATTGTCTTCTTATTTTCTACTTCTTTCCTCCAGCTCCTTTGCTCTAACTTTATACTAATCTTCTTCTAATCAATCGTAATTCCCTTCTTTGCTTATCCTTTCTCCTTCTATCCAGCTCCACCTTCTCTTTACTTCCACTATGGCGTCCCTTCTCCTTTCACTCTCTCTCCTCCTTCCTATGTTTGCCTCCCCTCCCTTTTCTTTCCAGTTTTTTTTACCTTTCATGTTTTCTTCTCCTGCTGCATCCTCCCTACTCCTCCTCCACCTCTGATGAACTACTTATTGTGTTCTCTCCTCCCATTTCTGTCATTTTTTCTTTATTTAAGTTCTCCTACAACCTTTGTTTAGCACCTCCTCATCCTTACTTCCCTCCTTTAGTTTTACCCAGTTGATTGTTTCTTTGCATACTTTTCTTATTTGCTCTTCTGAATCTTTCAAACTTGCCATATCTCTGTCTACCGATCCTCTAAACATCTTCCCTTCTCTCAACACCTCTCTTTTCCTTTCTCTGTTCAAATCTTATGTCCCTCCCTCCCTTTCTCCTCCTTTGTCCGTTTCTCCACCTGTTTCTGTCTTGTTTTCTGCCAAAGTCTAGCACTCATCATTTCACCTTTTTTGACCTCCTCCCCTACATCTTCTCTACTTTTCCTCTCCAGTTTCATCCTGGAGCCTTCTTTCCCTTTCCTCTCTTCTTTCTTTCTTCCTCCATTCCTCCAAACACATTTTCATTTCTCCTTCCTTGGCCTCGCCTTTTCCTCACTTGATCCCTCTCATCTTATATAAGGTATCAGAGCTGCCTTCCAATACCTTACATTTAGAAAGGGAGAGCATCTCAGACAATCAAGCGTCGGTGTGTGTGTGTGTGTGTGTGTGTGTGTGTGTGTGTGTGTGTGTGTGTGTGTGTGTGTGTGTGTGTGTGTGTGTGTGTGTGTGTGTGTGTGTGTGTGTGTGTGTGTGTCTTAATCTCCCCTCTTCTCTTGTTCTCTTTCAAGTGAAGACATTCCCTGCACCGTGACCTTGCTTTGTTACAGCTGACACTCACCTCTTATCGCTCTCTGTCCTCATATCCGCTCCTCCTCCTCCTCAACCTCCTTCTTTTTTTTCCCCCCTCCTCTTTTTTCTTATTCTCTTCCTAACCTAACAAAGGGGAGATGTCACCCGCTCTGACGCTCCTTCCTTCCCTCTCCTTTCATTCTTCTACCCGCTTCCTCTCCTCCGTCTTTCCATTAAACGAACAAAAGGCCGCCATCGCTCGGCTCGGAAAGACTCACTCCCTCTCTTTCCTCTTTCTCCCTTTTTCCTCTTCCTCCATGGCTGCACCTTTTCTCTCTCCACTCACATCTCTGCCCTTTTCTGTCTTCTGACTCTTTCATCCTCCTCTTATTCAGTGCCTCCCTCTCACTCTCCCTCTCTCATCCGCTCTGCGTCTTTCCATTAAGCTAACAAAAGGAAGTCTGCCTTCCATTTGGAGTGGCTGGTCTTCGGTTGGAGGTCACAGCAATAAAATCAGAAGTCATTTATTTGGGATTTTGAATAAGTGTGTGTGAGTACAAGGGGAGACGTGCCTTTGTGTTCATCTGCGTCTATGTGTGTGTGTGTGTGTGTGTGTGTGTGTGTGTGTGTGTTAGGAGTTGCTGCCACTTTTAGGGGAACAAAAGTCTTCACTTTGCTCTTCTTCTGATTTCTTTTACATGTTTTGACCCAGTGCAGCACTCGCTTCATTCAACCTTTTTTCTTCACTTTGCTTATGGATGGTTTCAAAAGGTTAATGTTTCCGTCCATAGAAGACTTTTTAACAGATGCCAATATATGTATCAAAGAAGATCAAACGTTGGTCTTTCACATGTCAAAGCTGCCGTGTTATTGTGCCTTAACATTTCAACACATTTATAGTTCTGATTGAGGTTTCCGCCTTTAAAAGATAGTTTTCACTGTTTCAACTTTGCTAAATGTTGCTTAGTACTGTGCTCATGATGGATTCATGTTGGGTTTTTGTAAACAACATAACAAAGAGAAAGTTATTTGTTATGTTCGTCTCTTAAGTGTCATGACACGTTATTTTATCGATTGGCGCTATACAAAAAAAAAAAAGAAGACAATGAAAATTTAAGTAATTCTGGAAAACTTCCTGGCCGCTATAAAGCACCGGATGTCTCTCAGTTTTCTTCATCTGTATTTGAACAAAACAGAACTTCTTATATTCTGCGCTGAACTTTCCACTCACAACATGCTCCAGCATATTGGTTCTCTCTCCATGTTTGTCAAACCCCTTCCAGAAATCTTGGCATTTTCTTCTGAACTTTGACCTTAATGTAAAAGGTTGGTCAAATCCTGCTTTTCCAACTGTGAAACATATAAAATGTTCAAAGAAATGTTTTAATCAGCGTCTCCCGGCTCGATTTTTGCAATTCACGTTTGACCTGCCGTCGTCAATCCGCCTTGTCACGACTTCAACTTGCAAAAAATTCAGCAGCCGGGATTTTCACAAATACTAATCACACATTACACTGATTTAAACCTTACAACACTGAATGCGAATGTAATCTAATATAGATTTTAAGATCATTGTAATTACTTTTAAAGCATTTCATAGTTTAGTCTGTGTTTACATTTCAGAACTTTTAACCTCCTACACCTCGGCAAGACCTCTGAGGTCACCTGAATCTCCTGGCTTTACCGTCCGCAAAACTTAAAACAACTTCTGTGTTTCAGCTCCAAGACTCTGGAATGCTCTTTATCTTGATTTTGTTGTAAAAGAAAAGTGCTGTATGAATTCAGTTTTTATTATTATTATCATCTAGGTAGGTTTACCTATTTTTACTGAACCAAAACTCTGTGTAAAACACTTCAAAGGGTTAAGTATGACACCACACTTAATAACCATAATGTAAGTCAGCAGCTGGGTGACCTCATACTCCACTTCAACCTGAGAGGGTTCAACGAGTTAGGCTCTTCCTTCTGTCAAGAGCTGAAGTCAAGGGCTCTAACGTGAAGCTCTTAGCAGTTCAAGCTTCTTGAGTTAAAACATAGTTAGTTAGTGACCAACAGTTCAAGGCCGTAGTTTCACACAGCAGCTCAGTGTAAGTGAGAGGAGGGTAGATGTTGAAAAGCAATAAAGAAATATGTCCTAAATGAGAAAACTGGAAAAAGCTAGTGAAGTTTGTATCTTATATTGTTCTTTGTGGTTTTTATTTAGTGTGTGTATTTCTCATTTGTTTTTCATGTATTTTAGGTCATTGCAATTTTAGGTAGGCCATGGTTCTATATTGTGTGGCATTGGTAAGGTATCTCAAGCTTTTACAAATAAAAATGTTATCATTAAAATGGATTCCCCATAAACGATGAAGTGAGTGTGTGTAGGTAATTATTTTCTGAAGACCTGGATTATGAGGAGCTAAAGGTCTGCCTTGTAAAAAAAAAGAAATGACAAAGCATTACTATGAATGAATATAACTCCAGGGGAAACTAAGGTAAAGGGAATTATAATATTCTAGATAGATTGAAATAAAACAATCAAGGTAAACAAGAGAGAACATGGCAAAACACATTTAGTTTTAGTGTGTGTGTGTGTGTGTGTGTGTGTGTGTGTGTGTGTGTGTGTATATACCACGTCAATGCCAGGCTCCTGAGTAGTAGGTGGGGCAGCAGCAGTAGGTTGAGCAACAGGGGCAGCAGGGGGCGTGGCCTCCTGCAGGTGAGCAGTCAGGAAGTGAGAAGGGAAGGGGATTGTTGGCAGCTACAAAGCCAGAAAGTGTGACAGTGCCCCAAACAAGCACTCAGCCCTCCAATCAGCTTTTATCAGGAAATGATGTCATTAACTTGAGGAGGAAAAAGACCAGTGTGCGCACATAAAAGCAAAATACATACAGGTGCAGGACAAAAAAGGTATGAACTGCAGAAAAAAAGGAAAATCCAACGTATCAAAACACTGCCCATAATAAAGTTGCTCATTGGGAGCTGAACATCGTGCGGACCTTTCTTTTTTTCAGCAATGAACTTGAGGAAGAAAATAAATAAAGAAGAAAAACCTGTAGAATCGGTCTCCTTTTATAATGACTTGAAACAGTTGGTAAAGAATAAGAAAGGCATATTTCTACTTTAAGTTTTTGTATATGAATACATCTCGTTTTGGAGTCAAAAAAACACCGTTCTTATACTTTGTAAAAAATGAATTTCAGTGACACTGAGGGGAATTTACAGAGCTTTGATTTAAAGGCTAATTAGAGGCAGCTGTCATGCTGTCATTAATCAGAAGCGCGCATAAAAATGAATGAGTCTCTTAAAAAATCTCAAGTCTGAATCTTGTTTCTCGGAGGTTAGCTGGAGTCTGTAAGTCGCCCCTTATGGAGCCTCTTCAGCCTCTAAACTGGTGCTCAGAACGATCTCAAGAATCAGAAGTACGGAATATGTTGTGACACAAAAGTGGGAGATAAAGAAGCCTCTTTATACCAGCATACGTGCTGAGACTGTTGTTTGCTGTCAGCTGTGATTCAACTCCAGATTACCTCTGCCTCTGACAATACCCATTTTACTGCTGATGTAACCCGAGTCTGTCTGTTGGAGCTCATAACATCTTTAAAAATCCAAATATTTGAATGTGCAAAAACACAACATAAGATTAAAAAAAAAAACTGGCATTATTAGAAGACGATTGTTGATGACATTTGTTTCTACATATCAGTATATTTAAATACCTGACTTCTCTTTCCTGGAAACAAAAGGATTCTAATTTATTTCATGTCCAACTATTACTGTATCAGGCAATAAATGTGTAATTATAAGTGACAATTTGAAAGAAAAGATTGTTGATAACCATAGAACTGCTTTTTGTTTTTGTGAACTCTTGTTTTCAGAGCATTCTTGTGCATGGCGCAACGAAGGAGAAGCAGCACATTGGGCTGTCAACGAAACAAACTGAGTCTGAAAACCTTCCTTCAGGAATGAGGTTCAGGATAAAAATCAGCGTCTGTTCTAAACTCTTTGGAGGAGGTAGCTTGGTTGCCAGATGCTACACTTTGGTAAACTAGCTTAATGAAATACTAAACCTTCTTAAATGATATAGATTTAAAAAGAAGCTAACTTGGAAAAAAACTAATAAAATGAACAGCTGTAACTGTTTTACAGATGTTGACAGTTCAGGTAAGCTTCATAAAGGAGTCAGTTGCGGCTTTGAACTTAAAGGAACAAAGGGTTGTAGCCCAGCTTCTTATTTATCGGCCATATTAGATTACGTTGGAGAAAAAATATGTCAGATACAGCTAATCACCAAGTAGCTTGGATTTAAACCAGAGTAACTCTGGGTCATAAGACAGACACACTCAATACAAACATACACACTCTTGAGTGGAGCAGAGGCTCTCTCAGAAACGACTTTCTTTCTCCAGTCCTATTTGATTGTTTATTCTTATTTTTGTAGTAAAAATTCAGAGCTGAGATGCCAAAACAAATCGGGAGGGCTGATCTATTAAACAAAGCTCGAGTTTAGAGCACATGTACAGCAAAAGAAAACCTGAACAATGGAGAGAAGCCTTCCTTCAACCTCAGAGAGTGAATAGATGGGTGCTCGAGAGCTGCAGCTTCTCGCAGGCTGCAGTGTAGATCATAAAGAAGATGAACTTACAGCCCATAAAGCAGCAAACTGCAGAGTTATAGCTTAGCTGGCAATCGCTCTTTTGCTCCCTGCGTCATGATCAATGCTCTTTGAGAGGTGTAGTTTAGCAGGTAACTGGGTAACTGATAACCTATGACCACTCTAAGACGTATATGAAATGTATCTCTCCTATCTACGGCTAACATGAATAACTCACCGCCTAACAGCCTCTTAGCATAGCAGCTTAACGTTCGCTGAGTGTTTTGGCTCCTGTGGGCTCATAAAGCATAAATGGCGTGCACAGTTAGCCTAGCGTGGCGCTGTAGCTCCGCACTGCATGACAGGCTGCCAGAGGTGGAGTTTAGTGGCTCAAGGCTAAAGGGACTATAAAGAAGAGTTAATGGGCTGTACAAGTGCTATGTGATGAAGCGCTAAGCTAACACGGCGAGGCCAAGGCTGCTTTTCATCAGGGAGAAATAGGTGTGTGTTTGTGAATGTGTGAGTAAAGGATGATTGCAGTTTCTGTTAACATGTGTGCATAATGATCTACGCCCTCTTTTACTGAGCTGTTCCTCTTTATGTGTGTCTTCTATTTCCTCTCTGTTCATGCGCCAAAAAGTTTCAAAAGGGCTTCGTATATTTAATCTATGTACCTACTTTTGTATGTTCACAATAGCTAAAGTTTGAAAAAAGTGTCTGTTTTCATGAACTGCTCCTCCTTGCTCCCTCTACGCTCTGAGTCCGTCAGCTACACTCTGTTGAGCCCACACTGTTAGACCCCACGTGGGCCAAGTCTGCTCTGATTGGTCTGCCGATCCGCTCTGTCGTTATTGGTCAGTTGCTCAGCACGCGTCTCGGAAATTTCAACAAGAGCTGCAGGGCTTGCCACAACGAGCCAACGGGCTTAGATCAGTGATCTCACACTGACAATGACGTCGGACTGACACATTTTTATTGAGGGGGGCTAGAACCGAGCGTTACATGCAGCTAATGCTACAGCTAACAGGAGGACGTAGGAGAAGCCGCGTTTCCGCTGACTTTTAATTTTTGCACATAGATGTGCCTAAACATGCACAGGACACTTGGAAAACATATAAAACCAGAAAAAGCAGAATATGGGACCTTTAAACTACAATTTTTACCTCAAACTTTAGTTGTTCAATCGTTCATCTGTCGTGTTTCTGAATACTGATAAAGGAAGTTTTTTCCGATGTGTGTTTAGTAAAAATGTATGTGCGTTCCCTTGTTAGTTTTAGTGACTTACAGCAGGAGGAACGGTAGGCGGTGCACCAGGGGCTTGGGTTGGTGGAGGCCTGAGAGGCTTGGACTCCTCCTTTTCCTTCTCGGGCTCCTCCTCTTCATCCGGCAGTGGGAGAGGAGGCTGTGGTGGGGCGAGGTTGGGGCACTGGCCGATTTCAGCATTCTCGAAGGAAACAGGCTGGGAGAAATCTGAGAGACTGAGAGACGGACATGAGATTAAATTAAAAATAATCATGAAACACTCACATGAGGGAATGAGCTAAAGTAACCTGTTAGTTGAGTTCAGACTAAATTCTACTTTAAGTACATTTAGCTTCTGAAGGACAAATTTAAATGGTTGACTTTATTTTGCTGCACTCAGTAGATGTGCTTTGCTCATTTCCAGTCAGAACTGTAAGATTGAATCAGAGCTAACCATCATCATTGTCACTTACACTATTATTGGCTTTGTGCAGCTGAGGCCTTCACAGTGACTCAACAACAATCATAATGTGATGACACCCTAACAAATAAAAGGCTGATGAGCTTTTTAACCTTGACCTGATGATAGGCATCTACGCATGAAGTGATTCACTCTATATGCTCCATTGGACTTAATGTGTTCAATTATTATTTAAATGAATGGCAGAGGTTGGAAGTATCAACGTGGATATCATTTTTGGTTTTACTTAGAAGGGGTTTCCATGTATCACTTTTAATCAGTCCACAAACACAGGGAAAAAAACAATCCAAAGTGAGAGGAACAAATCAAGAAGTCGCAACCTAAAGCAAACCACAACCACGAGAAGGTTTGTCAATACAGATGATTTCTTCAGAAGCCCTTTTGAAGACATCCAGAGATTGGGCGGCTCTGATAGACCGTGAAACATGATCCCAGAGGGTAGGGGGCAACAAAAAAAAAAACCTTATTAAGTGATTTGAGCAAGGAAGGGATGAGATATTTGATGGACATTATTGAGGAAAACAGAAGTATGAAACATGGAGGTAGAAAATGTAACTGGGAGTGAGGTCATGCAGTGATGCATCTTTTAATTTAAAGGATCTTCCAGTTTATTACTAATTCTACAGGAAGCTAAACGAGTGGTCTAAAACAGAAGATATATCGGACTGAAAGCTCTTCTTCTTCTAGCCAAGTGGTAACCGTTGCTTTTGAAAAAAAAGAAAGAATTAAAAGCGTCTAGGTGTTTGGGTTTTAGAGGTGAAATGAGGTGAGTCACAAACAAACAGAAACACACAGAGGAGAGAGGGGTCTAAGCTGAGTTATGAGCATGTATATGATATTGGACAGTGTCTATTACTGCTGTGCAGGCACAAACAGACACAGGCTTTATCATCATCATTATCAACACCATCAACATGACCTCCGGCAATCACATTAACTACGCTTTAACCTAACAGTGTATGAGGTCAAAATTAGCTCTGTCGTCCAGTGCTTGAAAAACAGCATGAGTTTAAATCTGGTGTGGTCAGTTTTGTCGGTGTTTTTACATGGGGAAACACAGGGAACGAGAATGTTACAAAATCCAAAAGTGACTGTTTTTTCACTCTTTATTTATCTTGTGATGTCAGAACCCTGTTATGTTTGGATGTCTGTCAGGTGCAACAAACAGCTGAAGACATGTAGGAAAGAAGAGTGAGTCTTTACGGTTTGTTGGAAATAAAAGTCTTTTGAAAAACCCCAATGTTACACTTACTTTATCACCGTTTTTTTTTTTTTTTTTACAGCCTGCAATGCTAAATGACGTGCGACGACATCATTACAGATCCAATCATCGTGTGCAGAAACTTAGCAGCTGTCATTAGACTGGAGCTAAACCCTAGCAGCCAAAAAATCAAGAAGAACGGCGATGCTGGGTGTAGAAGACCTTTTCCTCTTGATTGGTGTCTGGAATGAATTGTGTCATTAATATAATAAATACCTGAGTGTAAGCAAACCCGATCCAAACCTCAAATAAGGGAATTGTATTGAAACTTAAGTACCGTATTTTCCGCACTATAAGGCGCACTTAAAAGCCTTTAATTTTCTCAAAAAACGACAGTGCGCCTTATAATCCGGAGCGCCTTATATATGGATCAATTGGTTAATTGGTTGATCCATACTGGTTGTACACGGCGCTCAGCGACACTGACTCGGATAATGACGAGAGGGAGCCGGGCATGTTGGATGCCGTACTCGCCCAACTGTTCAATTCGGACACTGAAGAAGAAGAATTCGAGGGATTCATGGACGGGGAATGAACTGAAAAAGTGAGCTTTACATGTTATACATAACTGAACAATGTTGAGTTATGCACTAACGTTTGAATTAGCGGTATCAGACTGTGTTTCTTTTACGTGTTTACAACTGAACAAGGCTGGGAGATATTGTGAATATGCACATTAACGTTTGAACAACGTTGAGTTATTGTGAATGCACTACGTATAAAACATAGTTTTATACGTATTTATATTTATATATTCACAATATCTCCCAGCCTTGTTCAGTTGTAAACACGTTCTATTCTATGCGCCTTATAATCCGGTGCGCCCTATATATGAAAACAGTTCTAAAATAGGCCATTCATTGAAGGTGCGCCTTATAATCCGGTGCGCCTGAAAATACGGTAGCTATATTTTAGTATCTGTACTTAAACTTTTGATATTCTTACTATTATGTAGAGAAACCTGAAATGCAAATTGAAAAGGCTAGTGTGGACTCTGCTTCTAAGGGGGCTTGTGAGGAAAATAAGTCAAATGTTCATCATAAAAACATTAGACGAGATATGACTTACACTGCATTGACCATGAGGTTCCATATACATCCCTGGAACGGGATGTTGGCTCTGTTGGACGTCAGCTCCACTTCTGCAGGAATACCACCGAGGAAGATCCTCTGCAGGCTGACGGGCTGGTCGTTTGGAAGCGCTGCCTCCCTCTTGGCCTCCTCGTCCACCTGAACTGCAAAAGATCTAGAGGAGAATACCCAGAGAAAAACATATAACATAATAATAATAATATTCATGTGATTGTAAAGAGTCAAATCTACCACAGCGCTAAAAAACAGAGAGTGAACAGAGAGACAAACACCGACCTGCCAGGCATCCTCTCTATGCGCAGTGAGTGCTCTCTCCCATCATGCAGTATGCCTTGCTCAGGTCGTCTGATGATCCGACGCGGGCTGTGGCTGCCCGTAAACACGAGGACCTCCAGAGAGCCTTTGTTCAGCATGACGGAGAGGTACGGCTGCAGGAGGTGGAGATAAACTTTATTATCTGTATATTGAACACGTTGATGCACAGGAAAAAAAAAACTTTTCACAATGAACATCCTACACTGATCATAAACAGTACATACCACGAAAAAGCTTTTCTGCAAAGCTGTTTAAAAAAAAAACTAGGAGATCCAAGACTCAAAAATGTAAGAAGCAAACTTTGAAGTTAAGAAGAAGCAGATAAAAGAAGAATCTGCGATAATGTAAGAGTCTACTGTACTGTAAGTGTAGGTGTATCTTTTTAAGTATCATTTCAATACCATTAATAACAAAAACCCTGTTGCGATAAAGAAGCTGGTTTCCTGTTCATGGTACACAGCAGCCTATTGAGTGTGTTACTGACTAACAACATTCAATTATAACAAAAATGATGATGTCACATCCACCAAATGCAATCATGAACTCATGAATAGAAGTGCTTCTATTTCTAATAACCTGAATGGAGACTTTAATAACAACCTGAAAGGTGAAAGTCAAAGTTCTTTGAGCATATTGTTCAAGAGTGAACTATATCTTGTTACTGGATATATTATTCCAGAGCTTCATTGTCTTTAATATGAAGTCAGTGTCCAGAAATAGCCAGAAAGTGACCTTTAAAAATCTCTTCTAGTAGAGAGATCTGGCCAAGATAGCAGCTACAAACACGTTAAAAAACAACCTAAACAACAGAACATGGGAAATTCCAAGATTAAAAAAAGGGATTCAAACACTCATTGGCCTCTCAAGACAAACAACCACATCCCTCTGTCACCACATTCTTTATCACACGCTTACATTTTGTTGAAGGATTAAATATGTTAATATTAAAGCTTCCAAACCTCCACAGTTAACCCACCAACCGTGTTTGAAATAGATTTTTTTTTTACAAAGCTGTTTAATATAAACTATAAATATAAATCTCATCTTGGATTAAATCTTTTCTCCTACTGAAAGCATTTTTTAAAAACTGTTTTTTTTATTTATTTTTTTTCGAGAAGAGGAGACTACAAGGACGAGAGGGGAAAAAAAAACACACAGATGAGAATTAAAGGAAGGAGAAAAGACAAACAGGAGGGAGGAGAGGCCGGGGATTAAAGAGCAGAGTCAGAGTCAAAGGGGAAAGGGGAGATGAGTGGGAGGGGAGGGGTTATGAAGAGAAATTGGGGGGAAATAAGAGAGGTACGAGAGAGGAGCGAGGAGGAAAGGATAACAAGAGATGAGAGGAACAGAGAGGAGAGGATAATAGGGGGAAGAGATGAGAGGGCAGAGAGCAAAACAGTGAGCGAGATAGAGGCGGGGAGGAGGAGAGAGAGGGAGCGAGGCAGACGGAGAGGTGCTAGAGAGCAGCGGTGCAGGGTCAGGCTAATTTGAATTTTAATTCACTGTGTGCCAGAGGGCGAAGTGGGAGACAATTTACCACCTGAAAATGGAATTTCAATTTGAGGTCGGGGACAAATTGAACTGAGATGTAGCTACAACATGCCTCGCGCTTCACCGTCTTTCTCTCTCTCTCTCACACACACACACACACACACACACACACACACACACACTTACAGAGATACAAAGGCATGCACACACACACATACAAAGACATACAGACAAAGGCAGAGTCTCACAGATGAACTCACACGTGCACATGACTTCATACACTGAAGGAGAGACACACACATACAGATACAGACATGTGGACTTACAACCATGATGACAAATACGCTGCAGACTGTGTAGCTAACATGCACGCAAAGAACCTGCAATCAAAGGCAACATTCACACAAACACACACACACACACACACACACGTCTCCTCTCTTTAATCTTTTGGCTTTTGAAGATTTTGCATGTATGATCATATTTTGGTGAAAATGTGACAGAACTCAATGCTACTCTTATATTCACTCTTTTTAAATGCGTGTGTTTGTTTTATTCATGAACCAATTTAATCTCTTAACTGTGGAGCTGTTTTTTTTTTATTTATTTATTTGGAAACACACCTTGGAGCAAACAGAGAGTCTTTTAATCTTTTATGTGTACTTTTGTTTTTGAATTACCTTTTTTTTTTCTCTGCAGACAAAAAAAAAACGAGCAGATTTTATACAGGAGTTTGCAGCCTGTAACTTTTTACAATCCAATAAGAACGAGCACTTGACATTAGTAGGTATACGAATGAGGGATGTTGACTTGATAATAATGAACCTCTATTTACAGATTAAAAAAATCTGAGAATAACTGTCTGCTAGAGTTTCACCAGATTCCGGCTGTATGCATGTAAAGAGTCCTGTAGAAAGCAAAAGGGACAGAATGTATCAACTGTAAGGCAATCTATGAAGCCATACATGTATGCATGAAAATGAAGATAACTTGTCCTGGATGTTGCCTCTCGGCTCCGACTCGGTTCTCCCTTTTCAAGTTGCTATTCTAACTGTAAACAAGAGCAACACATGGAAAAGGTTTCTTGGCTGAAAATTCTTCATCCCTAACCACTGGCTGCACCAGAAGCCCTGAAAAGTTGACCGCCATTTCCTGAGGCATATATCGATTGAACAAAAGTCGATGGGTCATTTGGGGGAATAATAATTAACACTGGTATCAGTTTTGGTCATTATCAGGCATTGTTAGGATTCCTCAGTTCTAAACTATCTAGCTCCGTCCACCAGATAAGGTGAAATGTCCTCAAGATTTTCCAACCTGTCCAGTTTCCTTTTGGATCAAACTTTGAATTGATCATGACCTGCATGTTTGAGAACCTACACAGATATCTGGAGAGAGGTTCAGAGGCCAGATTGTTGATACAATTAAAAACTAGTTGAAATGCATAAAGTACAAGGTTTGTACTCCAAACTAAGAACTATAAAGTCCTGCTTTCAGAGTAGAAAACTCTTGATATCAGAGTTGAAATGGTCAGAAATTCAGCAGAAATCTTCGGTTTCAGCCGGAGGAGTGAGCAGCTTTCACACTGAACCTCATGGTCGCCCCTCCATCTCACTGATCGTCCTTCTTAGACATCAAACACTTTTGCTGTGTATATCTTACATTTTGTGAATGGTCAAGTAGAACCGTTTGTCCCCCCCCCCCCGCCCTCTCCTCTTGCCTGCATCTTTCCCTCTTCCTCTCCTCACGATACTCTTTCATCTCAGGTTCCCTCATTCTGCTCCGAGCTTCTTCTTCCTCCTTCTTCTTTTCATCTCTCCTCTCCGTGACCATTTCCTGTTTCTGTCTATCAACTCACCGCATCTTTCCATTTTGTCCTCTCCTCTCTTCTGGTTTCCGATCCTTGTAGCATTTCTCTGACTTTTTTCCCCTCTATCCTTCCTTTCACCTCTAAATCTCCCTTCTTGTTCCCTCCATCCTTTGTCTCCTGTCCCTCTCTCTCTCTCTCTCTGTCCATCTCTCTAAAACATCCATTAGTCAGGGCCAAGTTGAGTTGATGGTATTTTTAACCTCGCTTAACCTTTCTCCACACACACACACACACACAAGTACACTAACACACATACACACACACACACACGCACAAACATCCTGCCAGAGTAGTTAGTGAAAATAGATTTATGCTCCTAACAACCAGTGATGATGGATAAGCTGGAGGTAACCCTCTGTCCTCTCTCTCTCTCTCTCTCTCTCTCACACACACACACACACACACACACAAACATGGAAACAGACACCCACACACACACATATGTATGCACCTGCAAACACAATACTTACACATAAAACATGGTGTTTCTAGACAGGATTATCAATGGATGTATTTATTTATGAGAGTTTGGACTAAAAAAAAAGACTTATCACTACAGTATAAGTGTGTGTCCGTGTCTGTGTGTGTGTGTGTGTGTGTGTTCCAATTGTGTAAATGGGTGTTTACCAAGTGTTTTTTTTTTTGCCATAAGTCGATCTAGTGTAATCAGTTTAGTTGCTCAAACTCAAATCTCATTAATATGCACTCATGGAAACTTCATTCACTTAGAGAGAATGTGCTTGTGTGCGCAAACATGTGTGTGTGTGAGTGTGTGTGTGTGTGTGTTTGCATGGTCAGCTAAACTTGAGATACCTTCTATGTGATGTGATCAAAATGTGTGTATGTGTGTGTGTGTGTGTGTGTGTGTGTGTGTGTTTCTTAGTGTATTTTGTGTATTTTGTGTTGGACAAAAGGCTATCCAATTAGCTTGTTGCTTATAAATGCAAATCTTATTAATACGCACTCTTTTCACTGAAAGAAGGGGGGGCAGTGTTTGAGTGTGTATGAGTGTGTCCATGTGTTGAACCTACCTCTCCAGATTGTCTGCGTTTACGCTTGGAGCTCAGGACGTTTGTGTTTCGGGCCTGCTGTGGAAAGATTTCAGAAAAAAGGGAGACTACACAAATCAGTGCTTTGTTTTAAGAGTTTCCTAGGAAGGAAATTCTGTGGAGAATTCCCCCTCGAGCCAACGGGAAGGGGGAGTGACATTTATAAACTGTGATGTTAGTCCTTCGGAAATTATCTAGATATTTTCAGCAGTGTAAATTTGAAAACGGCTTCGGTCAATTTGGTTATTGAGTGATTATAGAAGGTATACTGACATGTTGTAATATCTCTGCTGCTGTTATATTCAGGTACATAGAGCAGGTAAGAGTGGAGGAACACTCACCGGCGTTTACTACAACTGCTAGGATTTCATTACACATATCAGTATATAGGCTACAGGAGTAAAGGATGTTATGAAATACAGTTTTTGCAGTTCCTTTATACTCATTCTGAGCAGTGCATGCCAAAATACATGCAACATTTGAATCGAATCTTGATTACAGTCCTGAAAAGGGAAAGATTGCTGTTTTACAAGGTAGATTATTTATTTTTGAGTGCATTTATTTAATTATTAGTGGTCCACACATTTTATTCTATTTTTTTTATATTTCAGTTCTACAATGTTTCCTGAAATTTTTTAAATTTTGCATTAGTCATAATGAAAATACATTCAGTCTTGATGTTGCACACTTCCAGTTGACCAGCTTCAACTCCTTCTACTGTACATGGACCGAGAGTCTCTAGTACACAGCAGTGTATATTTATCATTGTAAATATTGTTTATATGTTCAAGTCACTGTGCTTTGTACAAAGCTTATTATTCTAGTCTTACTTGTTACTTATTACTTATTCTATTATCTCTATTCTATTTTATTTTTACATTTATTTCTATATTTCCTACTGCTATGTTGTTTTTAAGAGCAATGGTAACAACTGAATTTCCCCCTGGGATTAATAAATTATTTCTGATTCTGATAGTTAATAAACATCATGCAAAACATCTGTTATATTAAAGAATAGGATTATATTAGGAAAAAGATTCAATTACTTTTGTATGTAATGTTATTTTCTTTTCTTCTACTTCTCTTTAAAGGACCTTCCCAACTCCCTTCAAATACAAATCCACTAAAAACATTCCTATTGTTAAAATAGTTCACTACTATTGTAGTTGTTTTAACATAAATAAAGATATTAAATCAAAGTGAACCTGCTGGCTGATTGCTGAAGCCCCGCCCACTGCCAGCAGTATAGTTCCAGTGTCGGTGAGAGTGCTGAATGACAGGCTGATCTCTGTGCCGACGGCCAGCGACAATCCACCCAGCTCCATGAAGCCAGGCTTTGAGAAACTCACTGTGTGAAGGTTCTGGGAAACACAGATGACAAGAAAACATTTAAAAAAACAAAACAAATCAGAGTGAAATGGAAAAGTAAAACAGAAACAGTTTCGAGACTTAGTTCCCTGGGAGGTTTTATTCACATCAAGGCTTTACTCTTACTGGAGAAACTCCTGCAGGCTTCATGTTTTACAACTTTCTCTATTAAATGTGCCATCGTCCACTTCTCCTTACTTTTACTTTTGCTGCAAAGAGGAAATATTCACATTCACACACACACACACACACACACACACACACACACACACACACACACACACACACACACAGGAACTCTCGTCCTTGTTAGAGGAACATAAAGACCCTCAGTCTCATACAATGACTGAATCTATGAATGGGAAGAAACCAAGGTGAATGAAACTCCTGAAAAATCAAATGTGAATTGAATACATGTGTATGTGTATTGTAAGAAACAAAGTTTACATTGAAATGATGTCTATTCAAATAAAACTCCAAATAAAAATTCCACTAAGTGGAACTCTAAAGGAACAAGAAGTGACATGAAACTGACCCTAAGGTCTTTAGTTCTTCACACTACACTAACACTGTAAGTTACTGTTGAATCATTGTTTCATGAAAATTAAAGGGTAGTTGTATTTTTAAAATGTTAAAATGTAAAAGGAAGGGTTACCAAAACACACTTCTTACATCATTAAAAAACAAACTTAAAGAATCAGACATCGTTTGAGCAGGTTGACAAATGCAAGCTGACAGTCATATCTCTGTAACATAATCTGAGCATCTAAAGACATTTTAATATGCTGCAGAGATATAAAGCTACAGCTAAGCGGACACTCCTACCTCTACATTACATCCTTTAGTGACCCCGGTATAATCTGAACTGCTGAGGAGATTATACGGAGTCCTGGAGATTTCAATGTCTCGCAGACAGCCAGCGTATCGCTTCAGAGTGACCTCCGGCCTGTAAAGACATTAGAATCGTTTCAGTAAAGAGGAGATTAAGATGAAGATGTTTTAAAACTCAATGGCATTTGCAGTCTCTCAGCAGTGTAGAGTAATTTGAGAAAAAAAAAAACTGGATTACTGCAGCAGTGAAGCTATTGCATCATGTAACCAGAAGCAGAGTGACGAGCGGACGTCAACAACGAGAGGAAAATGTGAATATGCCGTTTGTCCACGTTGTCCATTTTTAATGAATTCGCTTTCATTTTCAAAATTGTTTCGTTTTTTTTGTAAAGGAGGGAAACATATTCCACCCTCAGTTTAAACCAGGCTGACATCACACTGAACATTTCATTAGCAGTGTAATGGACTTTTGTAATTGTTTTTCAGTAAATCACGACTTCATTTTTTCAGCTCAGCAGAAACTGTCGCTTGCAGTGAAACAGAAATTGGTGGAGACACAAAGATCTGCATCGGAAACATAATTTGAATATACTTATGGCAATGGTGCCTGTAAGGCAGAGTCATAAATGTGGGAAATTCTACCCCAAATGTTGTTGCTGAACAGACAAACGCCAAATTCAGATTAATAAAGGAAAGAGGAAGTGATTTTCAGCCGCTGTGTGGAGGAGCCGGAGCCTTCGGGGGCCAACAGAGATAAACACACAAACAAACACTGACTGTGGGCTGTGCAGCATCATCAGCAATGCTAGCCTCATGCATCAAGCGAAACACACAATAAAAGTGAATGTCTCGTAATGGAATGTGTTTGTTCATTATTTACCTGGCTGTCATGCTGTTAAAACAAAACATGACATTAACACATTAGCACACCTCACAAACACTTTCAACTGATGACATCTAAACTAGTCATCATCCTACTCAACCTTTTAGCACAGGGACGGTTTAATGGTTGACTTCATGATGTGAAAACTGTTACAATTGGCTGTGAAGAGACTACAATGTACTTTGTGAAAAGGTGAAGCTGAAAAAAAAAAAAACTACCACTGCAATTTTCACGTCACCTTAGTGTCAAAACATGACAACACGTTAATTAGACTTTCATTTTTAGCATCCAGATCCTAAAAAATAACTGTGATAAATAACACAAGATGGCATATCTCAATAATATCATACATGTATACACAATAGAGAAACACATATGCATCATTTCAGTGTGTATAAAGGTGTGTGTGAGTGTGTGTGTGTTTCTGTCTGCACCTGTAGTTTCCAATAGTAGGCAGCCCTCCAAAGTAAATCTTCTGATTTTCTCGGAGGTTCAGACCGGTAGCTGAACCCTGAGACGTGGTGATGATCTTCTCCTCAGCACTGCTGTCAATGTCCACTACGCTCACCGTGGCTTTATAACAAGTTAGAGAGACATCAGTACCAACAACCAAAGCAAAAGGAGGAGAGATTCTTTGCATTTTTCATTTTTTGTCTGTCGGGTTTTTTTTTGTATATTGTATCATTTGTCATTTCCTTACGGATGGGTTTTGTTGCTTTTTGGGGCGATTGTGTAGTGTATGTTTGCTCATGTGAATTTGTCTTAATGGAAAATACATCTTGAAAATCTATGTGTTAAACCATAAATTAAATAAATAGTTGTATATGGACCCTTTCAATATGGAGGTGGGTGGAAGTCTCAGGAGGCAGAGCGTGATGTAAAAAAAGAACACAGCAGACATCACACTAATGTTTACAAAAGATCCATGATGAAGCTATGGTGACAGCTTCTCCTTTATATCAGTGCTAATTGAATGTATGAGTGAAAACAGCAAAAAGAACAAACTGATGAGCAGATGTTATGCGCATGACCAAACCACCAGTTTAACACCAACACATAATATAAATCTCATCATAACCCTGACCCTCACCCTAACTCCAGGAGTACATTTCACTTTGAGGCTGGCAGGAAAAAGTCGGGATAAAGTCGGGATGAAAAATGTGGCTGTTTGTGTTTACACATGCAACATTTCCCAATGTCAGTTTTGAGAAATTTCAGGAGGGCATTGCATGTGTGAAAGAAGCTTATGTTTAACATGTGTAGTGCAAACTGATACAACTGGTTAGCAGGGTTTTCTTTGTCAACCAGAAGGTCCAGTCTCATTGTATGTATTTTACACTGAAGTGTGAACTACTGCAGTGCAGTGTCCTTGTTGATATGCGTACCTTGTTTCTTGTTCCGGGACATGGTGAGCGATTTCCAGTGTCCATCATTGTGGCGATTAACTGATATGGCGCTGCCGACTCCTGACCCCAGATCAAAGTTGACCTTTACCTTACCCTCTGACAGCTCCAGGGACATAAAGTCCTTCTGCAGGGACAGCCACACAGAGACACTCAAACATTCAGGTTTGAATTACTTTTTTGTTTCTTTAAATATGACTCATATACATTAAAGTATACATCTTAAAATTGGCTCTACATTGGTCTGTGTAAGAATCATACCTATGTATTCACAATGTACATAAAGCAAGTTTTTTTTTTTTTCTGTCAATCAGTCGTGTTGACATTATTCGTTTGCACACGTACCATATCTTCAGTCGCCAAATACATGAGCAGGGCCTCGGAGGAGAACGTGCGGAACTTAAAGGTCACCGTGGAAATGTTGGGGTTCCATCTTGTGGGTCGTCCCACTGCAGCGTAGCCTTCGCCATCCAGCTGAACTGTTCCCTCGTGGTCTGTACGCTGCGGGCTGAAAAGAAAAATCACAGACCGCTGAAGAAAAGTCAAGATCTGCAAGAACACTGAGAGAGCGGGGTTGTTCTTCATTCCATTACTTTTTCTTATTTAAAACGATATAAAGATGTTGGAGATCAGACAACAGTATAAGCTTATTGCATCTTGTAAAAATGACGAGGCATTGTGATTGTTTGTATACCTGACCACACATCCTTTACAGTCTCCCTGTCTCTCTCTGTAGTTCCACAGTCCGATAGGTTTCCCATCCAAGAAGGTCTCCCCCATGCAGCCTGTGAACGTGTTTGCTCTTACTGCATCCGCTTTCTACAACCAGGAGGAGAAAAAAAAGTTAGGAGGAGAAAAAAACACATAAAGAAGACGGACAGGTTGTTGATGTTTCGCCATGCAGGCAAAGACAGAGAAAATACCTTGACAGTGCCAAGTATCCCTCCCACAAACAGGTAGGCGTTCTGGTCCACGTCCAGGATGGTGAAGGCTGTGGGCGAGTTAGCACTGGCTGGAGTTGGCATCATACCCGCCATGGGTCCTTCCAGAGGATACACTGATATGGTGCCATTCAACCCATTACTGGAGACAGCAGGGAGGGAGAGAAAAAGAGCATGGGTTTGATGTCATCTTCTTTCTTTCTGTAACTCCTGGAAGACACTTCCAACTGAAGATGTTGGAATCCGTTTTTATTAAGTCGAGGTGCTAAAAATGAAGGATCGTTAAGGCATAGTGGAACCAGTTTGCAGCTGTGGAACCTCTGTGCTGTGCTGTGAAATTAATCTCCCACCTCGGAGTTTGTTTTCAGAGCAGAAACAGTGTTTCTGTGTCGTGTAGAGGAACATTTATAAGACTTACAGCCAGTGTGATCCAATTGGAGAACACATTGGGGAAATCTCTTGGATGGTAATACATGGTGCATGCGGGACGTCTGCTAGGTGTGAATGGGTCTGGTGTTGGACGGTCTGTATTCAGCCTGTACACTTCAGCTGGATCTGCTAGATTACACTGAATCTTAGTAATGATGTGCCACAGGCTGTCAGGGCTGCAAACTCTTGATTTCCCGAGAGAAACGTGTTTTCCTGCACAGCATGAATGAAATGATGTCCTCTGGTTGTTAGTTTGGTTTGTTTTTTGTTTTTGGTTGTTGGTGACATTATTAGATAAAGTTACAGGAAGGGTAAGATGAAAACAGTCCTTTTATTACATATTGGATGTTGGACATGACTTTCTAACTCCCCAACGTGATGATATGTGATGATTTGTTTTACAGAAATACAATTATATTGCGAAAATGTGTAACAATTCTCTATGTAAAGCCAATTGTTCTGTATCTCTTTCTGTGGTCTTCAAGCTAAATGTGTTGTTTCAAGTCAATATGGTGGCCTATAACGGCCAAAAGAGCTTAAAAATTAGCTGCAACTTCACAAACAATGGAAATTCACAAACACCATATATTTGTTTTGCAGAGAGCTAAAGCTAAACAATGTCTTTATCAGATCAGAAAACACTAGACAACACAAGAGTCTAAGGTAACTGTAGGCAGCTCAATTAACTAACAGGACAAGCTGTCTCTGTTCAGTGTGCAATGCATCTTAAGATCGTCTGTGTTTTACCTCTGTAACTATTTCTAGACTTTCAGTCTGCCTGAAGGTTGAGGTTATTAATAAAATATGTCAAATATCTTTGTCAAAATCCAGTGCCATTAAGCACCGCCCCACTCAAAGTAAAAATGTAATGAAAGCAGTAGTTTCTTGTCATCTGTCTTTATGCAATTAATATCTCCCTTATTTTTGTCTTTGCAGCGCTTTTTTTTAGTTTTTGTTTCCTGCAGCATTTTTTTTTTTTTTTTAATTTTGCAGCATGTTTGTGTTGCTGCATTTGCATTGGATTTCAGTATGTGTTTTGAAATTGGCTTTGCATCATCGTCCTCTCATCCTTTTTATCCCCAACTGAAAATCCATGCAGCCGTTTTAGCATGTTTGACTTTTTAGACCACCATGAGTAATAGAAAACACAAAGGACAAAGAGGGAAGATTGTACAAAAGCTACTTTAAAGTATAACGAATATAATCAAAGATAAACTGTCACTTCATTTGTCAGGTTTGGAATTCTTAAAATGCCTTTTTATTCAATCATTTTTTCATTCCAATAGATCATTTTGTCTCGACTAAAAAGTTCACACAGATCAATGAGAAGGTTTTTAAATACTGTGTGTGATCTTGCTACTGAGCTGCTGATGTTCATCATACAGTGAGACACAGATATACAAAGAGTGCTTTTCATTTCCATGCAAGGTAACTATCCATTTACTCTACAATGAATCGTTTCTGTGACGCTGTCTCTCACTTTGGAAGTTCAATCTGTGGGTTGATGTTTGTGTATTCATATGAATGAATACCTCATTATATTGTAAATGCATCAGCCATGCTTCTTCATTATGCTTCTCCACATCCCTGATTTTCCAAGGTGAAATGTACATTGTGTCAATTTGTTGTATTGTAGCCTCAAAAATACAGCATGTTCTGTATATGAGAGAGAGAGAGAGAGGGAAACAAAGCATGTGCATGTGTGTGTGTGTGTGTGTGTGTGTGTGTGTGTATAAGGTCCTTACCGAGACGCCTCTATTCTGTGCCAGCTTCCATCATGGATGGTGTGATGGGGATATTCGACCCTCCCAACACCCGAGCCCACATCCCAAAGGAAATTCACCTTCCCCTTACGCATCTCCAGTGCCAGGAAATCAACCTGAGACACACAAAAGACGTATGCTGAATAGATTGTATAGAACGTGTTTTTTTTCAAATACGACAGTGTGTGTCAAAATGTGAATATTTGTGAATGTCACATAGGCGCGGGGAAAGAGAAAAATAAAGAAAAGAAAAAACATCCTATTGATATGATTTATAATTGCTGTGCTATATATAAGCAGCTTTAATCCAGAATATTGTATTTGAAGTAACGAGAAGAGAGAGGCACTGCTTAAATATGTAGGGTATGTTTCCTGTGTAAATGTATAAAAATGGATACTCCACCTTTTCTCCTTATGATAGAGGAAAAAGGACGTTTTGCAACACATTCTGTGATACTACAAAGGATGATTCATAATTTAAAGAAACATTCACCCACATTCATTTAGCTTATAGAGAGTTTATCATGTGAATGGTGAACAGTGGAGAAACATCCCACCCAACTCTGGTCTATTGTGAGGACACACAGGCTGAACTTTTCTCCATCTGTCTCTACAAGTGGATATTCACAGGATCTCGCTGTATTTAGATTAATGGTCGTATTACTTATGTATGAGCCCAAAATCATTAATAAGAGAATTTTAAGCACATGCTCTTAGATCAGATGCTGTATCTGCACACACACACACACACACACACACACACACACACACACACACTCACACACACCCGAACACAGCATTATTATTCATATAGTATTATACACAATTAGAGATTATTAGGAAGTCACGTCTGAAAACACAAATGACACACTAGTACACGTAGGGACACACACACACTTATCTTTGTAGTGTCTCCAGGGTAATGGCGATTATTCATTAGCACAGATCACAAGGCAGCATCGTTATTATTCAACTAGCATTACACACTATTAGTGAAATGTGGATATGGAACACACACACACACACACACACATGAATAGAGAATAACTATTCACACGGAATTTCTCACTACTGGAGATTATCAGTGAGAAATACAGACGTAAACACACAGACACACACACAGACACACACACACACACACACAGACACACACGCACACACACACACATGCATGCATGCATGAGTGTTTTAGACTCTGCAGTCAGATGAAGCAGAGCTGTGATTTCTCCGGGGAAATCAGGCTGAAGCTGATAGCAACATGAACTTGTTGTTAATTGCTGCTGCTTCTTAAGACACAGACACACACACACACACACACATACCCACTCTGAGGGATTATCAGTGGTACCTTTAAACAGCACTGTGCTGTGTTTATAGGGGTGTTGGTGAGTAAGTGTCAAGAAGAATTAATTATTCTCCTATTAGACAAACCACTCGGGGAGTGTGTGTAGGCTGTGTGTGTGGATGAGGAACATAGCGGTGTGTTTCCCTCTGTACATGTATTCTTGTGTGTGTGTGTGTGTGTGTGTGTGTGTGTGTGTGTGTGTGTGTGTGTGGGTGTGTGTATCCGCTCTTTGAACATGGGCATTTTTAAGTATGATAAATGCCTAACAATATACAGTGACATTATATTCTATTAAATATGATGAATGCTTAAATATGAAACATTTAAGAAATATTAAAGTGTCGGCTGGATCATCAGTTCTGTTTGCAATAATTCCAGAACCATATATAGACAAAGTTTGACCATCCCACCCTAAACCCTATACACAGCAACGCATTCGTGTATTTAAAATGGAAATGCAGATAGGAAGATGTGTACAAGAATAAAGCTATTTAAATATTCTTCTGCATAAAGACATAAATCACACTTAAACATGTCAGTCTAAAGTCAACATGCACCTTGGTAGTTGGTGAAGTTGTGCCAGAAAAGATTGTAGGTCAACCAATGCAAAGAACCAGCCTATGATAAAAGCATGTTAAGGCTGGCCAACTGCATTGCCTCTGATCCTAACCACGCTCTCAACACAGACTATGAACTATTGTAACGGTTTGAAACTCTAGGTAAACATAATTAAAAAAGAGTTAATAAAAAGTATAATCATACAGCAGTCCACATTGTAGTTTATGCTAAAGTAATCCACTATATTAGACCCCTATATTACTTCATTATTTGTTGTTGAAAATGTTAAAAAGAGTGCAGTTTATACATGCATGCATTATGGGAAAGCTGCATGGTTTTCCCATTATTGTAAGAATTTGATGGAACTTGAGGGAAATCAGTTTGAATGTAAACTGGACCGGATCACCAAAGTGATGTCTCCTTAGGGATGAAATTGTTGTTGCACAGGAAATGTTCAGTCAGAGTATTTACAACTGGCTTAATAACGTGCTCCGTTAATTCTGAGATGTTGAAAAAGATCCACAAACCTCTTCACTGAAAATGTGGAAACAAGAAATGATGGCAGTAGTTGTGTCTGAAAAGATACTCGGAAAACTGAAGTGAAAAAAAGACATGTCGGAGGAGAAAATATACAGCAAGTAGATGTGGGAAGAGAGCAACCTGACCTCGACAGGATGTTGATTTGAGCGAATCTATTTTATGCCGTGTATTGATGATGTGCACTGCATTATTGTAACAACATTTTGTTATCCTATTATTCATGTTTGTTATGTTTCCTGCCTGTTTCTGTTGTTGAAACTTATCCTTTTGTTCCTCATCACTCATCAACAAAGACGTTTGTGATTTTTTTTAATTCATACAGTAGGTGGACAGTTGACTTACATATTTGGCTGATCCGAGGTAGAAGAGCAGGTTATCCGGTGTGGTGGTTTTTACATGAAGGATGATGGTGTTGTATCTGCCTTTCCTGATGTCGGGGCGGTAACTACGGAGACAGTCACCACCTGATGACACTGAAACTTTGATCTGAAAGAGAGAGTGACAAAATCAAAAGAGAGAAAAATAAATAGTTCATAGCGTCAAAGTGTTAGTTGGGTACTGTATATTGGATTATATTTTATTATCAAGTGGAACAGCACTGTCTGTTACATAATAATAATAATTATACATTTGATTTAAAGGCTCCTTTCAAAGCTCTCAAGGTCACCTTACAAAGCAGAGATAAAAACAACAAAGTAACAACATATAGATAGAATTAACATAAAAAATACAAATTTTCAGGATGTAGAGGATTTATGACGGAGTATGCCAGTTTAAAAAGATGTGTTTTGAGATGAGATTTAAAAATGGAGAGAGAGTCAATATTACAGATGTGTGGTGGGAGGAGGTTCCACATGTGTTAGTTCACCGTCTGCAGTTGACTTTTCTGTCTGCTCTACATTCTAGCTTTCAAAACTTGCACCACAATTTGTCTTACATCATGTCGACTGTTTCGTTTTAGGGAATTTGAAATGTCTTCTCTTGATGTTTGTTTTACCCTTTGTCTCGATGTCTGGTGTGAAGCACTTTGAATTGTTGCTGAAATATGCTGCTATGTAAATAAAACGTGCCCTTGCCTCAACCCTTGCTGTAACTTTCAAACATTCTCAAATTAACTTGTTCTATCAGTGAACAATTTTAATTCTTAAATTTATTGTGTTAGAAATATCACTGAAAACTTTCAAACCATATGAAAGTCATATATTCAAATCAAAAAGCCTCAAACTGATGTACTTAAATGGAAAAAAATAGAAACTTTTGAAAGATAAGAAGGAGAAGTTCACACTGTTAAAAAGTGGTGATCAATGTACCTGCAGGAGGGATGACGAAAAATAAAACAGCACATACAACCAGTCCTAGACATTAAACTAAAAGACTTCAGTGTTACAGTAGATAAATTCACAGATATCAATGAAATCAGAGTGAAAGATGTTGTTACTCAAACTCTCTGTAAACACGATCAGACAGGCAGAGTGTTGTGAACTCACTGAGTTGGCTTGTTTCCTGGCTTGGTTGATCAGTTCTTTTATTTGTGAGATGTTTCTCTTCAGGTTGTCCTGCAGCTTTTTGATTGGCTGCAGCTTCTCCAGCAGCCTGTCAGCTTCGTCCTCTAAATCTTTCACTTTAGCTCCTGCTGCATGGACTGAGGAGAGAGTCAGAGTACAGCGGTGATGAAGATCAGCACACCGCTTGTGATCACAAACACCATTCAGTAGCTGTCTAAAAGCTGGGAAAGCATGGCGAGCGTTTAAAGAGTGAGGAAAGGATGATCAATGATGGGAACTACAGAAATCAGCGATATTACTCAAAGCGAGAGGAGAAATACAGAGGTAGAACGATGAAGATGGAGGAGCCAGTGAGACGAACAATTAGGGTGTCTCTGCATTCAAAAGAAGCTTTTCTACACAACTTTCTACAATATGTTTTAAAGGAAGAGGGATGGAAATTAGAAAAAGAGCGCGCTCCATGCTTTGCAGTAAGCAGAGCGTTCATGCTCGGTCAGAGAGGAGCAGAAGGGAAAAAAGCTTTTTATTAGAAGCAACAACGCTGGAATGTAAAGCTATTAAAAAGAGCTGAGGAACTAACAGGTGGTGCTCCAATACTTTTGTTGAATTATGATTTTTTTTTGGCATAGGATTGACAGATGAAAACACCAAACACCAAATTGTCTGATGACACAATGTTAAAAGAAAGTATAAGATAAGATAAGTGTAAGTTTAAGGACGATTTTGATGCTAGCACAGCCAGCAAATGTGTTTAAGTTCGTGCTGCGGGGGGGGGGGGGTAGCATTACTATCAACATCAAATGGTAATAACAACATGGTATTGGTGCACCACTTCTAACAATAAGTGCTAATAATAAGGGAAGTGAAGTATACATACTGATGGCTGTGGGGATTGGAGAAAAGAGAAACAGGGAGAAACATATCAGTGTTAGCTTAAATTCACCATTTTACGTGACTTTAAGGTAATTACACGATATCACCAGGAAGTCACATGTTAAAATTGAGAATTAAATATTTTTGGATCTAAGTAAACGATCAAAAGATTCAAAGTTAAGTAATGACCTTGAATTTGATTCTTTAATCATTCGATGATTAGGTTAAGTAAGTACAGAAAAACAGGAAATAGACACAACATTTTTTACATGGTGCAGTAACAGTTCTTAGAAACTATTTTTTCAGAGTGAATATTTAATAAGCTCATCAAAAAATAACTGTCACTATGCTAATGGAGCATATAACCTTGACTAGAATATCCAAACTACAAGATGTTGCTGCTGCTTTGACTTTACTTTAATAGTCAATGTCAAGAGACGGATAACCAGTAAGGGTCTTTACTGTTTTTCTCGGGGTCCTGGATCATGGTATTGGCTGCGTTGACGGTGTCCTCCAGCTCGCTGTAGTTCCTCTGCAGACCGTGGAGCTGCAGGTTCAGATCCCCAAGACGCTCCAGGACGTCTATGGCCGTGGCATTGGCTTCTCCTGCTACAGCTTTTGTGGCTGCTAGCTTAGCTGCTGTGTCTGCCATAAAAAATTTAAACAAAGAAAAAAGGCTCACAGAAGGCTTAACACAAGGCCCAGTGTTGGTGAATTTGGACCAGTCCATGTATGTTTTTGATGTAGTTTATGACATACAGTGTGTTGATCAGGTGCGATGTTAGTTCTGTCATAGTGTTCTCGGACTCTGGAGCTTGTGGGGCATGTTTTCCTCCAGCTGCTTTGGCTCATATGAAGCTATTTTTTTCCTTATTTAGACCTAACATTTTTACCCATCTATACATCTGTCAATAAAAGATGCGATGAGAGCCTGTAGCGAGCCTCACTCATTTGGTGAGACAGAAATGTACAGTTTAGTATCATCAGCGTAAAAAACTATATAACTGCCATGGTAAAGTTAAATTAAGCTTAAAAGTGGTAAACTCCTGTTGTTCTTCATGTGCTAAATGAATAATCTACAGTCACTAGATCTTTTTGAAGGGTTGTTCTATTATTTGCATGTAAATAAATAATGCTATCGAGCTGACAAACATAGGAACTACTCACATCAGAACCTTGGACTGAGTCCTGCCTCTGGACTTTTTTCTCACCTCATATTACAGAATATATTCAGAGTCCTGCAGATGGCTGGCCAGGAACCAAACTTTATTTTCCACAGCGGATCACTCTGTCAGAAAATTGTTCAGTCTCCAAAAATCTGACCCGCACATGTTAGGTTATTTTGAACCCACTCACAGGGATCTGAATTGAAATTTAACATGCTGTGTTAACCTCTAGGTCACCCATTTAGAATTTGTAGTTCCTACATTTAACAGTTTCCCAAAGTGTTCATCCAAACACAACCATGTGGTTCAAAAGGCTCACTATCACAGCAGTGCTGTTTTCTCCACATCTGTGTGAATCTGTGAGTTCTGACATGTGTCAAGTTGAGTTTACCAGAGCTACTGACCTCTATCAGCACAGTGATATTGATCCGCTCTCTTTTTTTTTTATCTCTATCCCACGCACACGCACACACACAAGTTCATACACACTGTGTATATGCGCAGTCATACCACTGGGAATAGCGTTGAGCGTTGCCATGGTTCCATTGACGGCTTTCAGCAGGTCTTTGGTTTTGTCTCTCGCTGCTTTAACTCTGCCCTTCAGCCCGGCCACACTATCTGCGTTCTCTGCACACACAGAAAAAAAAAAAAAAAACACACACAAATAAAGATTAATACAACGATTGAATTATTTGAAGTCAAGGCTGTCCACCTAAAAAAACACTTTCTTCCCCTCCTGCACCTGGGGAAGAATGAGTGACAGGAAGTAATAGATTCGGACTAACATTGACAGAAATTAAAACGTTTTTTTTTATTTATTACTGCGATCTTTTTACAGACTAAACCCTTGTACAACAACACTTAGTCTAACTCTATAGTATAACTGTCCTTTGCATACTATGTAAAGCAGGTTCTCTTTGCCGTATATTGCACAAAGAGACACCTACCTTTGACATCATTTTCAAGTTTTTTCGCTTCGTTTAGCAGTTTGTGACTCTTCTGCAGGGCACCCTTAGCCGCCTCCTTTATTGGCACCTCTGGACCTAAAGCCTTAAAGTACATGTAAAAAGAAATGAACAGAGCAAAACCCATGAGTCGAAAAGATGAGGCTTCCAGAAGAACTTAGATCCTACACATGGACAGAAAAGAGACACGCTGAAGGTGCAGTCGTCTGCATATTACCTTTCTGTAAGATCAAAGTGCCTCCACTTAGCATTCCTTTATGATATTTTTAGAAAGGCACTCAGCAGACTTTAATCCTTCTCACATTCATTTTCCAAAAAGAACACTTTTTCTCTGTTTCTTGGACTCTCTCTTTTTATCATTTTCCTCTAACCTTGCTCTTTCCCAAAGAAAAAAAAAGACAGACAAAGACACAGAAACTGAAAATGCAAACAAGCTGAATGAGTCAAAAATAATTTCTGTTGGGGAGTGAAAGGCAAAAAAAAAAAAAATGTACTGGCTCAAAGGACTAAAACTGAAAAGGGAGAGGGAAGGAAACATACTAAGGAATTAAAGGTAAAAAGAAATCAAAGACAAGGGTTGTAAGTCGTAACACTGACAAAAGCAAAGAAATTGAGAATGTAAGGAGAAGAAAAAAGTGTGAAGCAAGTTCAAGAAAAGGGGAAAGAAAAAAAAGAATAAATTAAGAAATTAAAAAGGAGAGGGAGGAAAAGAGAGATTTCAGGTGTGTGTGGTCATGATAATGAAAAAAAGAGGAACAGACACTGCTTTGATCTCCCCACCATGACTAATGGAGAGCCCAGGCTTACATTACTGTTACTGCATGACAGACACACAAACACAAATAAATACACACACACACACACACACACACACACACACACACACACACACACACACACACATACACACACACAAACTCTCGCTTTGGTACACTTTGGGGGTCTGGATAGTTTAAATATTTGTGTTTGTTATTTACAGTATGTAGGCAGTAGGTGGAGGTGTATAAATATATCTATGGTTCAGCATGTGACTGTGGAGATTTGCTGTTTATCATCGTGCAAAATATTGGAAAACTTGCAAGAGTATGGTTAATGGATTTTTTTTCTGGAATTACTTTTACATATTACAACTGCTGGGAACTTTTATTAAACCCTTGAAGAAAACAGCTGCTCTGAATACAAGTCAGAAACTGATACTCTGAATTTTTGTCGTGGTTGTGCGTTTGTTAATTAGTTGACAGTTTATCATAAGGCACATTTTGCCTTGTGCCTCCAAGGGGCCTTAGTCGTAGGCGATATACTGTATCGTAGGTGTGCATAGAATGTGAGGTACAAGTGCATTTTGAATGTAAATAAGGTGCCCAGAGTGCAAAATCATCAAAATAGAGTTACATATCACACCAGAAGGGAGCATATGTTGTTTATTTTTCATAGTTTCACCTGGCCTAGAGACATGGTATGCTATCAGGATGTGGTGACTTTGAGTTTTTACTCTGAGAGGAGATGAGTCAGGTATGTGTATGTGTGTGTGAGTGTGTGTATCTTTATTTACTGTATAATTCACATGTGGTGAGTTCCTGTAGAGCTCTGTCTTTGTTAACTGAAAAGAAAGTCTTTAAAATGTTTAAGCTATGATTGCTTTGAGTAAAATGGGGAAGGGTCTCATATTGGTCTTTACCTGGGGCCTCAAAATGACCAAAACCGCCCTGTTACACAGCACATGTGTACGTACCAGTGCCAGAGCCTCACTTGCCCTCTGTTTGGCAGCCTTCGCCTCTTTCTCCGCTGCGTCCACATTGGCTTTAATATTGCTGTAGGCCTTGAAGGCAGCTGTTGCATTGAAGGAGAGATTTTTAGCTTCTGCCAAAATGCTGCAGGGAAAAAAAAAGGACAAAAGAAGGACAATTCTTTTTTTTTTTTTAAACTTTCCCTTTGTCATACACACATTCTCTTCAACAACATCCCAAAATAGGAGCAGTCAGTTTAACAGCCTGTTAAAGTAGGATTTCAATCAGAGAAAGTGGCTGTAAATTCAGTAACTATGCAAATATTTTAAAGCTGTTTAAAAATTCAAATTAATTACAACAATAGAAATGAGCCCATGTGGCTTAACCTGCTCTGTCCCTTTAACTTGAAAAAACAAAACAAAAAAACAACCACAGCCCTTAAATAACGGTTAAAGTAGTTTTAACTCAATAGTGGCAACACAGAGGATTTTCATGCATAAGTTTTTGTCTTTTATTTCACATTTTTTATTTTTAAATATTGACATAACGTGAAAATCAAGTTTCATAATACCGAAACAGTTACTAAAAGACAACAAGGCCAGGTTTATGTAAAACCATCTGATGTTCTTTGTTACATAATAAAGAAAACATGACAATCTCACATACACAACATATTCATTGCTTATACAGTAAACATCATTAATACTTTGCTAATTTCAGCCTCATGTGAACGTTTTAATATGTGACCAGATCCCTGTTTATATTTACCCATCCAAAATGGCAGCAGATTCATTGAGCTGCCGGGCGTGTTCCTCTGCATCGTGGACATGATTGGCCAGGCTGCCGTCACTTAAACCGTCGATGAGGTGACTGACTTTATCATCCAGCTGTTCGTGAAGAGGACCCAGCTCCTTTCCCATCCCCTCCAGGTCCTACACAGGGAACACAGAGGCGTCCGCTCAGTTTGTTTGGTGATGTGGAGCTCAGATTTGAAACATTCGGACCAACAAATTCCACAGGTGCAGCTCATACATAGAGAATAGAATAGAATAGAATAGAATTACTTTATTGATCCCAAACTAGGAAATTGTGGAAAAGAGAACCTATGGGGTATCTGTCTCTCATACAAGACACAGTGATGTGCACAATAACCTGAATGTCCTCATTAACAATAAGGAAGCTTACGTCGTCTAGACAACCCAATTGACCTTAGGCATTATTCCACAGCACAACAAAGTTTTACAGACTAACAAGGGTTCTGCAGGCCTCTGCTAGTCTGACTTCAGTACCTCTATCTCCTTGTTGATGTTGTCAGAAAGCTGGTTTGCTTCATCCAGCAGTCGTTCTCCTTCTGCAAGAACATCCTGTGCATCCTGTTTGACTGAGCTCACGGCAGAGCGCTTCCTCTGAAAACAAACAACAAACAGGATCAGTAACTGACAACTGTTTCCATTATATATTCACCTGCTGATTATTTGTTCCACCAATCGTTTCATCTTCAGGTCAATAAAATGTCACATACTAATTAAACATTCAATTCAAATCTCTTAAAGAGGACATATTACCTCCTTTTTCACCTTTTCAAACAATCCCCTGTGGTCTAAATTAAACGTCTGTGCTGTGCTTTGGTCAAAATATAACATGAATCAAGCACCAGAGGAGGTTTGTGACCCTGTATAAACCAGCTCTCTCAGAACGCTCCGTTTTGGTGTGTGTGTCTCTTTAAATGCAATGACCCCCCCTGAGTTTCCCCGACAGACATCACTCCTCTGTAGCGAGAATAAAAATGGCACACCTGCGCAAAAGTTTTGCTCTAGGCTGGGGGTGGAGTCCATGGGTGGAGATACCAGGGGAGGGGAGGGGATTTTTTTTTTTTTACCAGAATCCCACTGTGACATCACAAGTTGAGCAAATTTGAAACGGAGCATTTTTCTCTGTGTTGTAAGACTTATGCAGACCACAAGCAAAGGCCTGTATGGTTCATAAAATGTCTCCTTTAAAGATCAGAGTCCTGACTTGAAATTGATATTCAGTCTAAATAAAAATTAAGTATGATGACTTATTGGATGAAAAAAGTATTTTGAAAAAAAAAAAAAAAAAGATTAGAAAATAAAGAAGTTTTGAGTTTTCCTAAAGCCGCTCAGATGCACACCAGAAGTACAAGACAGAATGTGTCAGAATTGAGTGAATAATCTTTTTGGTCATTTCACACTGAAATCAAATATAAAGAAACACATTATGTTCCCATTTTAACCAGAGAACTATCATTTATGGTGCTTATTATATGAATGGACTAAAACCTCTTTCAAGTAAAGTCATTCAAAATAAAAAAAGGCTCTTATTGGAAAACTTCCAGCTTACATCACAGACCTGTTGGGTCGGGTTCAGGTACTGCTACATGACCCGTTCTACTGATTGGCTCGTTCTTCTCGTTCTTTCTTTTGACGCCCCAAATTCATGGAAGCCCTCCAGCAAACTCTAAAGATCGAAGTTCTTCTCTCTCTCGCAGAGTTTAGGATTTTTGATTTCTCGCCACTTTTTTCAAATTGTAAGTGTTTCAATTGATCTCAGTTGTTTTTGTAATTGATTATAAGTGTTTGTTTTTTGTTTTTTTTGCTTGTTTTAAATGTGCTTTTCACCTCGACGGCATTGGAAATGAGGGAAACCTCAATGTAAAAGCAGATAGAAGAGCATCAGGGAATACAACTAAAGATCTGATTAAAGAACGTGTGACCTTAGTGTAACCCCAGAGTGGTGAGTGTGTGAATGTTACTTTGTTCACTACATAAAGCTTTTTTTTCTTTACAGAAAGAAATAAGCTGCAGGGTCAGAGGAAGACAAAGTGAGATAGAGAGAAAGAAAGACAGACAGAGCGCTGCGTGTGATGTGTGTGTGATCACTGCAGAACGCTCCCTCTAGGACATGTAGAATAATAATAATCTTCCCGATAAACGCTTGTTGTTTTGCTCTGATACGAGCCGGTGCTGCCTTTAAGCATCTTCTTGATGATGAATTATGTGCATAAAACACTTCAGACGTGGATACATGGTTGGATGCTCGCTTCTTTGTTATTCTTTTTAATACTTATTTTTTTTAACCTCAGGACTGTTTCCTTTTTCGGAGGCAAAGCCCAAAAGATTACATATTGTATGCATATGATTAAATATAGACAGAGATCAAAATAGTTCTCCAATATACTATAATTTTCTAAGTTAATCAACTCATAACAGAAGAGAGAGTGTGTGTTTGGTTTGAGCTTGTTACTCCCTGCAACACACAGAGATTATTGCACAGCTGTTTTCTTAACACTACACATTTTCACTTTTTGTGTTCCACATCTGGCACACATCAACCAACCCCTCCCTGTGTCATGCAGGACCGCTGTACATTTACTGTATGTGTTTATCTATTTGACCAATGATGCATTAAACTCCTGCATAAGCACAAACTGACTGAGAGTTCATTTCCAACCTCCGTGTGAAGGCAAAGTGAAAGCGAGCCTGGTGAAACATTCTGAAACTAGCTGTCATTACAACAGCCCCAGGGACTAGACTACTGTTGAACATGACTCACTATGGCTTTTTTCTGAACATCTGTAAGTAGTTTTTCTTCTTGAGAGCCAATAACCAACACTTTCATAAACTCATCCTTGTCTATTAAAGAGCTACCTTCTTTTTTAATTGGGGACTTCTGTCTTAAAGGTGTGAAATTCATGCTCTAAAAACTATAACAAGAGAGAAAACTGACAAGGATGAGGTAAAAAGTTTACTTTTTTTTTGCTAAATCATTTCTTAATCCATGATAAATATGACCACTGAGTGCAAACACTTCAATAAGTGAGAGGTGAAGAAACAACGATTATGCTAATTAAGATACAAATGTTGAATCTGTACTCGAGGGTCTGGAAAGTTTTCTTGTTTCTGTTTGTAGTCCGAGCTGTATTGATCAATTACTTATCAGGAGGCGTTGGTGTATGCAGGAAAAACAGTCCATGTGGACAGGAAATAACAGGCAGAATGATGTCCATGCTAATGACAAACCAACTCTTATCGATGGTATTCTAACTATTTATTTGTCTTTATAAACACGTGTTGCCAAAGCCAATCAGCGTTTAGATTCATTGACTGTTGAAGGGTAACAGAGATTGTCTGCCCAACCTCCATTCAACAAACAAGTATTTTAAAAGTGTTTTTTCTCCTCTTTTTGACTGACCTGACAAAGCTCGACTTTGTACTTTATACTTTCATTCCTGTTGATTGCAAATAAACCACGAGATCATTTTCTATTTTCGTTCTTTTTTTGTTCTGTTTTTTGTTCTGTTTTTTGGGCTCATTCAGCTGAGGTAGGTCAGCGCGAGTCTCGACAGGTGAAGGGACGTTTCTCGGGGATCTAATAGACCAAGAAAGCGAGCACTGAAAAGGAAGTCTTGCCAGGAAGTCACCGTTCACCGGGATTACTGAGAAATTTGCTTCTGTTCCCAGAGGCAGATATACAACATCTATCAGAGCATGATACACAATGATTAAAGAAAGGTTCTGATACTGAGGCGGGGCTAAAGAGTTTAGGAAACAGCAAAGCTTAAATACCTTAAAGATTGAATTAAATAGAACTTGCAACGAGAGGTGTTTAAACACAGCGGTTATCTGCTTTAGTACCTTTGTTGTAACTACACGATTGTATTTATTTATCAATTTAATAAGAAACATAATTATGGTAGTTTTTATCCATTAGCTACTGAAGCTGGATGTTTTGCTATTCACCGAGCAAAGTGTCTAAAGTTGAAGGCTAACAAGTCATTATAAAGTTTGTAGGTTCATAAATGAATGTCATTTTATAATACTCTATTTCATCGCGACAGATAAACAGAGAATTTAACCAGGACGTCTCTTGTAGAAAAGTCAATGATACATAACATGAGCGTGACAAACGTGACCACGACCCTAGAAACTATTCAGCACTCAATCACTGACCACGTGTGTGTAGTTGTGTGTGTGTGTGTGTGTGTGTGTTTTTCTGTAGGTCTACCTCGAGGGTCGTGATGTTAGCCTGGTTTTGCTCGCCCAGTGAGCCAGCCTGTCTGGTCTTTCCCTTGGCAGTGTGGAGGAGATCCTGGGCCTCCTGGAGCTTCCCCTCGTGGTCTGACAGCTTCTCTTTTATCTGGGCAAACAGATGGAGAAGTGTTTGTTAAATATCAATAATTGAAGACAACAGAGAAAAGATTACAAGTTATATTTACCTCTGCTTTCAGGTCTTCTGTGGACTGATGGGGGTCTCCAAATAATCTCTTCACTTTCTGATACAACTCCTCTGCTAATCTGGAAGAAGAAAAACAGTGGTGTTTAGAATATTTACATCTATTTGTAGTCAGGGTGTCACTTATGGTTTACAGAAGTGGGAGTGTGGAGTTAATTTATGTCAATGAAGAGAAGAGGAGAGTTATTGTGATTCAGGACAGAGCCAGTGAAGACAATAATCACTCCATATGACTCAGTGTTTCTTCTATTGACCCCTCAGGCTAACATGGATTAAGCTGCGGCAGTGAAAACCGTTTCAAATATGGTCACACTAATGCGAGCTTGTTTGCATGTGACAGGGTGGGCGGGAGCAGCGGCGTGTGCTGATGTACGCTGCAGCACTTTGATTGAAAAACAGCAACAGATACAAATCGGAGAGGGAGTCTCCGCACAGCAGAACAGAGAAGTATCACTTTGTGTTTCTAATTAAGACATACGGCAACAAAAATGTTCACAACATCCAGCATGCATTCACTGTAATACAATACAATCTAATACACTGCAGACTTGGGGCGGCTGTAGCTCAGTTGGTAGAGTCGGTCGTCTCTCAAGGTCGGGGGTTCGATCCCCAGCTCCTGCAGCCACATGTCCGCTGTGTCCTTGGGCAAGACACTTCACCCTGAATTGCTCCCGCTGCTTCGTTGGCGGCGTATGAATGTGTATGAATGGGATCAGTTACTTCTGATGGTCACTTCACATCGCAGCCTCTGCCATCAGTGTGTGAATGTGTAGGTGTGACCTGCGGTGTTAAAGCGCTTAGCGTCGTCAGAAGATAAGAAAAGCTCTATACAAGCTCAAGTCTATTTACCATTTACCAGGCCGAGCTCTGTTAAGGGGTGATTTCCTCAAATCATCTCCATATGTCAGAGCATAGTTCTTCCATATACGCAACAAAGCCAAAATATACCAATGCTCCCCTTATCTTGAGCTATGTGATCATTCCCCCCCCCCCCCCGACTCGATTATGGTAACTCACTCCAGTGCTGTAACAAAAATCTCTCTCTCGCCTCTCATTAGTTCAGAACGCAGCTGCTCGGCTTCTTCCATCACATCAGCCTGATTTGAGCTTCCCTACACTGGCTTCCCGTTAGTTTAACAACTGCTGGTCGTTGCAAAGCTGACGCTTAAAACTAAAGGAGACGCTTTTGCCATCAGGAACCACCTGCCTGAGGAGTTAAGGCTCACAGAATCAGGGACGTCATCTCACTCACTTCCTCAAACACACTTTAATAGACTAGCTCGTACGTCTTAAAGCCTTTTTATATTCCTTTTTACCTTTCAGCCTGTCTTATTTCTTTTAACTATTCTAATTGCTTTATTTCCCGAACATCTTCAATCTCTCCATTGCTCATTCTCACTTTGGAAGTATTTAAAACAGTTTAATAATAACCATATGTTCACCATGGCTCCCCTTAATGAGCCTTATTTATTTTTTTAGTTTACCTTCAGTAATAATGAACACAACAAGGAGCCAGTGTCCTCCAGCTGACTTCACTCAGAGGACAGTTTCACACAGTTTTGAGGATAAATGTAAGGTAATGATTGGATTGGATGAAACTTTAATGAACCCTTTGGGGAAAAGCACAAAGACAACAAAGTGTAACCAGGTAAAGATAACGAGGAGGTGTGTTTAACCATTGCCTAAATGATAATTATAAAATGAAGTTGAATAGAGATCGAGTGAATGAAGCATGTTTGCAAACTTCCAGACAATGCACAGAAAAGACACTTCATGGGGAGAATATGAAATTGTTGACAGTGCCAGCTTTGTTCATTTTGCTTTGACATTAGTTGATGCTTGTGTTTTTCTCCGTTTCTCTGCTTGAAATCTCCCCTCAGGGTTCAGTCAAATAATCAGCCGCAAACTGACAGACGAGTCATTCGGTGGCAGCAGCCGCAATTTCTCTTTGTCTTTCTTATTCTCAGACTCTCTCTCTCTCTCTCCCCCTCTACAACTCCCCGTCCATCTGTCAGTGTTCTCCTCTCCCTCTGTGACTCTCACTCCACGTCCTTTGTACGCCTCGCTCTGTTTCTACCCCTACAGCCATGCTTTTAATTAACTCATCGACCTCGTCAACATCTACTGCTGAAAGAGACAGAGAGAGAGAGAGAGAGAGAGAGCGAGAGAGAGAGGAAGAGAGAGAGAGAGAGAGAGAGAGAAAGAGGGGAAGAAGGGAAGGTTGAAGAGAGTTGATTGCAAATTCCATCAAATGCCTTAACAGAGAAAATAAAAGTGAGAGTGAAAGACTTTGTTGAAAAATAAGCAGAAAGTCATGGCTTTAGGAAATGTGGCAACAAGATGTCTGCTCCATGTTAGGTATTTACTCTTGCTGTCTCAGGTGTTGACATAAAAACAAAAGAAGCAAAAGAAAGGAAAAAGACGTACCATAGTTCTTCAATCACAGCTAACAATTAATATGGTTGTTTACAAGACAGGCATTAATTCAGCTATATTCAATCTTGTATTATTTATATTTACTCAAAAGTTACAAGGATGCTTATGGTCTGTTGAAACATCTGTAACATCTGTAGTCTTCCTCAATTTGATCAAAGCTTCATGTGAGGTAGAAAAAGGATTATTTCTCAAAACATATTTTTTTCCTTCTTTTTAAAGATTTTTTTTTTTTTTTTTGTGTGTTTATTGTAGAGGGATAGTGGGTAGAGCAGGAAATCAGGGAGAGAGAGACAGAGAGAGAGAGAGAGTGGGGAATGACATGCGGGAAAGGAGCCACAGGTCGTATTCCCAAACCGTGCCGTCAGTTTAGAGGACAACAGCCTCCATACATGGAACGCACGCAGTAACAACTATGCCACTGGCGCCCTCACGTCAACAGATTTAAAAAGACTATCATAATAAAATAAATAAAAAAACAATGCAAGGGTGACGGTTTATCCATAAAACAACTTCAGTGTCAGCTTCCTTCCTTAATACAAAGTGAAACATGTTAGTAAGTGTGAGATGCTTACTGTGCTGCTGCCCCTCTTGGCACAGGACACTTTTCTAAATGAAATTCTTATTTTTAATACAAATAAATCAAATGTAGTAAATTGTATAAAAGATAATAACAAGATGATGTTGGAAAAAAGTGGTTTCCGTATGATAGCTGTTTTGATGGTTTCAAATTGACACACCCTCACAGTTAAAGGATTAACAGTGAATACTATACAAGTCAGATTTTTTTTTAAGTAATCTTTGTATATGGATTCATTGTAGAGATTTTTTTTTGTGCATATTTCAGTTAAGTTTTCCTTCCTCTTTGATTCTGCGAGTTCAGCCAAAGAGTCTATCTTGAAAACCCCCCCCGACGGCTAAAAAAGCAACGACCTGAAAAAACAGGACAGAATCCCAGCAGGGACGAAGGCAAACAAAAATTATTAAAACACATAGCAACGAATAGATTAACTATATGATTCTAAACACCCAACAATGGGGGGGGGGGGGAAATTGATTTTCTGGTCAATCGTTCAACAAGGCTCCAAAAGGAAACACAAAAAGAACAAAGTAAAAACTCTACAAAAAGTAAACAATAGCAAAGATGCTCAGTTTTTTCTTGTCCTCTCCAAATGTTATTCTTGGCTGATTTTCACTCTATTCATGAAGAAATTTACACCTATACTCCGCTCATCATGTGTGTTCATGCCCAGAGATGTGTGTGCATGCACTCCATTGTGTGCCTGAAACAAAGACTGTTCTGTTTGCAAAGTTTCTGAAATTCTGTGTTGTTTTGGTGTGTGGGAGAAGATGCATGACCCATGTGTGTAAGTGCGGTGTAAGAATGTGTGTGTGTGTGTGTGTGTGTGTGTGTGTGTGTGTGTGTGTGTGTGTTTGTTTGTGCGTGAGTGTGTCCATACTCCATCTCCTCCTCGGCGATGCTCTTCTTTCCTCCCAGCTGTCGTTTTCTCATCTCGGCGAGCATGGCCTGGATCTCCTCCTTCATCTCCTTCAGGCTTTTGTCTGGAGTTCCATCTCTGCGTGAGAGAGTCTGGTTCAGCTCGGCAGCCTTCAGCTGGAGGTCTGGACACACAGATGAGCAGAGAGAACACTATGAGAACACTAGTGATGGACAGATTGTGTTCATGTTGTTGCATTCATACGAGCGCTGAAAGAAATGAAAAAAAGAAAAAACGACTCCAGTTTCACGTACACCACAAGTATATCTGGAAATTATAAACAAACTTCATGAGGAGAATCTCCTTCACCAACATCATTATTTGTAAATAGAGAAAACTATGTAAAGTACAGCACAGTGTCTTCGATATATTTTTATTCTAATTTTAATTCCCACATTTGAAGATCAAACCTGCATTATGCAACTTTTGGCAACTTGTGATAGTAGCTTTATCTTTTCTTTGGGGTGAGTGCATAATGGGTTCAAGTTGTTTTTTTCAGTAAGATTCTCCAAACAGGTTTAAAGACAGGGGATAGTTTTTTTTTTATCATACAGTAACTTACAGGACCAAAACAACTGGCTAAAAGAGGTTAAAGGGCTGCATTGAGCTTCATAGTTGACACATTTCCATGGCTTCATCGCTACAACACACTGCTTTTACATTACAGAGGTATCTGATTCATTGGTAAAATAATCATGCTGACAATGTCATTTCTAACATGTTCATACTAAGCAGGTTGTGTATTGACCATTTCCTCCTCATCTTAAGATAACTGTACAGATTTGCACTCGCTTGCTTGTTGGTGATGGACACAAAGTACAAGTAAAGCTGACCAGACTGTATTTACGTTTGCAGGTATTGGGCTGTAAAGCATTATATATCTAACAAGGTACAATTTCTATATGATGATGGCAGGGGTCGCAAAATTGCACGCAAAATTAACGGACATGAATAAGTTGAGAAGCTGATTCAGAACCACAAATGTCAACCAAAAATCAGGGCATGATGTTGTTGTTGTGTATTGCTAGTAGTCGCATTACTCATCACCAAAACTATTCAGCTAGGCAAACTTTTTACTACTATGTTACAGTAAATAGTCAGTCAGGACAGAAGAAGTGGCTCAACTGACTAAATACGAACAATGATTCTTCAGTTGGGTCTTCAAGACAACATTCAGTTCATTGGGTGTCATTATCTCAGTCCGTTGGGACTTGGGAGGGTTGCTGGTTCGAGTCCTGGTTTGGACCAAAGTGTGGTCTGATTGCTGGAAAGGTGCCGGTTCATTTCCCCAGCACTGCTGAGATGTCCTTGAGCTAGGCACCGAAACCTAAAACTGCTTGAGTGCTGTTTCTGACATCTCTACGCGGCCGGAAGGGAGGGGGAGTGGGACGCAGGTGCCGACCCAGGGGTGTCTCAAAGTTATCCCAGAAGGATACTTATGATACTCTGGGATACTGGCAATGGAAATCTAATACACACTAAGTACTTTGTTGGTGTTTATATATACACACAGACAACTAGAGAAAACGCAGGATAAGAATGATGAGTCAGCACAGAGCACTGACTCAGAGTACAGAAAAGCTCCCCACACCTGGTCTTAAGCAAAGCCAATCAGAGACACACACACACACACACACACACACACACCTGACTGAGATGTGATGATACTCTCACCACTCTCACTGAGCAGAAAGAGTGAGTGCCCTCACACTCTCTCCATTATTGCATGTCCACAGGATCCGGTTTGTGCAGGTTTGTATTTCAGACTTACCAGGAATCAGAGAGTTAAAAAATCACATTTCCCCTCAGGGGTTAACAGAGTATGTCTTCTTCTTCTTCAAACAGACTTTAACGTGCAAAGTACTGGTTAGATGGAGCAGATACACTTGTATGGTTCTATTCTTCAAGTATACAATACGTGAAAAAATAACTGATTAGGTCGTAACCACTTAAGCTGTAAAAACTTACATGGAAATACAGAAAAAAAACAAAACAAACTTTTTTACAGTGAGGAATACCCAAGGAAAACACACAGGGTGTAGCAAAGTGTTAATTATGTACAAAGTTATGCTAACAGTGAACCAACAGCATGAAGCTGCGCTGTGGGCTTTCAAATAGAAATAAAAATCACTACATTTGATCTTTACTCGTACAAACACAGAGACATGCTGAGATTCAGACAGACAGACAGACACACACACACACACACACACACACACACACACACACATATATATATGTATAAACACAGAGTGGTTTGAAGCATTTAAAGCCAGTGATTTTGGCAGACTTCATGTTTGCCCTGCTTTTATCAAATTAAAGGCAGCGAAATCTCAAACCAATCAATGATGAAACTGCATTAAAACACTCCAGGGCTCATTTGAATAATACTCAAACTGCTAAATGAGGAGCCTGTGTGTGAGTCTGTGTGTGTGCGCGAGTGTGTGCATGTGTGTGCGTGTGAAAGAGCAAAACAGAAGCGGTTAAAAGAGTGAGTTGTGCATATCGGTAATGTGCAGCAAGCTGTTAGTGTGTGTGTTCCCCTCTCATTTGAAATGTAAACGTGGTATGATTAAAGAAAGTTAAAAGTTAAATTGTGTGTGTGTGTGTGTGTTTTTAGGTGTGTGGGTGGTCGTGTGTGTGTGTGTGTGTGTGTGTGTGTGTGTGGTTTTTGAACTGCAGCATTTCCTCTTATTTGAAATGTAAACATGATGTGATTAGAGCCAAGACAGAACCAAAGCCATCATGCTAATGAACAGCTGTACTCCGTGTGTGTGAGTGTGTGTGCATTTGCATTTGTGCATGTTTGCGTGTGTGTGTGTGTGAGTGTGTGTGTGTGTGTTTCACAGCCATATAATTACATAGTGGGATTTAAAAGCCAATTAAACACTTAAAACGTGGATGGAATCATATTATGGTTTCTAGTAAACACAAGCACACACTGGGAAAGTGCGTACTGTATTTTCTTGCCTCATTATGTGTGTGTGTGCGTGTGTGTGCGCGCACAGTTGAATGAAGGTGTGCACATCTGCTGTAGTGATTGTGTGTGTGGTGTTTATGTGTGTGCGTTTGTGATAGCCACTAATTAAGTCTCTAATTGCTACTCTCAATCATCCAGTGAGCCACAACACACTCGTTTCCTCACTCGCGGAAACACACACAGGCACACAAACACATGCACATAATCACACTGTGATTAGGCAGAGGGCCAGAGAGCTACGAGCTACAACAAGGAGAGGACCGTTTCATCACAGCACAGTCACAGCAAGTTGGGTTGGTAACTTTCTTTTCATCCCACCAGCCATACAAACTTCATAAATGTAATCAGAATAAATTATTCTTTCAACTGCAGAGTTTTAAATAGAGCACATACATGTATACATACTTTTTTAAACATCAGAGTGGGATAGAGAGAGTTCTACGTTGAATCAGACTTTTTAAATTCAATCTGGATTCCACTAGAAAAAAAGTCCAACGTGTGTTTAAAGTTGTAAAGAGCCCTAAAGATAATTGAATTCTTTACAGACCAGATTCCACATAAAGGGACTATACAAGGCTGTTCAAGAGAAGGATGTGTGTCTTTATTAGGTCGTGGCAAGGAAGAGCTCAACCAACCAGCCACGCTACCAGCGGTCAGAGTGACCTGCACACTCGTACTCCTGGCCTAACAAGATGAAAAGAGAGCTAAAAAAGGAAGTGCCAAACCCTTGTTCACTCGCAAAAATAAGGACACTGATGGTGAAGACTCGCTGCACAAAAAACGCTGCAACTGTTCTCAGACTCCGGTGATATCCTCTGTGGTGGTCGAGCATGTCTAAGTGACTGACGTGTGGCAGGAGAAAAACACATTACAGGCTGGTCAAACAAGCATTCATTCAGGTTCTCTGTACTGGCAAAAAGATACAACAACAACAACTACTTACACATGCATAGACCTCTGTATGAAGCCTCATCTGGACCTCCACACAAAGCTCAGACAGTGTAACCAAAAGTTTTACACTAAAAAGAACAAAATACCTAGCTGAAAGAAAATCTAAAAACCTAAACATGAAGACTGATATCTAATTTTTATGGTTAGGAAGTGATGAATTCCTTTATTTTTCAATATTTATTCTGATATTTAGTGATGGACACTCCCAAGACAAATAACCCAATAGGATAAAAATTGCTACCTTACTTCAATTTATCCTTCTTTTTTTCCATTAGTGATGTATTATTTGATGTAAATAAGGGCTTCATACTAAAAAAAGCCAGAGAATAACATCCTAACTGCACTTCATCATCTTTTAGCTCATTGTGTTGGTTTTACAGCCAGGGGATTACCGTTTGGATCTGTTTAGCACGCTTTCAAGATGCAGAGGGACTTAATATTATTTCTTACAATTTGCACAACAATGGCGGCAATTACACAAGCTCCTGTGGAGAACTTTTGGTTTGGCGCCCCCTGTGGACAGAGCAGTTTCTTTTATCTCTTTGTCGATCCTGTCCCGTACATGCAAACGTAGAACTTTCAGACAAATAAAAATCCTCCTGCTTTCTATTAACACTCATTCACAACACTGCAGTAGATGTAAAAATATTTGTCTAGAAATTGTCACAAAAGGCTGATTCGACTGCCTGCTCTAAATCAGTGGTTCTCAACTGGTGGGTCAGGACCCAACAGTGGGTTGCAGAGCCATTTTCAGTGGTTTCGAGAATGTGTGCATGGAAGAAAAATGCAGTCAAAAAGTATATGAAGCGCTTTTTTTTTAACAAGTTTGTGTCATTCAGTTCCTTTGTTCTATCACGCTTTGTAACGGCTGAGGTCCAAACTGTAAAATTTTTATTTAAATAAATCTGATTGATTGAAAAATACAAGATATTATGGTCGCAATTTCTCATGACAGAGTAGTCGGTGGGAACTCTCCACCTGCAGTGGCTACAAGCATTAAAGTTTTCTATAAAGAAATCTTTTGCTTATGTTGTTCATAAAGAGTCATAAATAATAATGTTAGTCTGTTTCATGTCTAGCCAAAAAATCCTCACAGAAGCTTTAGATAGCAAGTATTAAGGAGTAAAAAAAAAAGGCTAATTTTAACGTCAGGAGTGGTGGAAGATGAAATAGAGCTAAAATCCGACTTTCCTACTTCCTACTCTATTAAACCGCTGCAGCAAATTCTGTCACGTGCGTGCAAAAATCAAGTGTCTCCCTCTACCTGACAAATGTGCACACATCATTTAACTTGTGCAGCCTCTCTGTTGGCACCCCATTATCTTAGTGGGTGACTCTTTATCACTGTGGTTAGTGATGCTGCAGCCTGCTGGATCCCTCTTTATTGTTCAGGCAACACTTTGCACCAGCAGCTGGCACCGAGTGCGACAGCTGGCCGTCGGCCCATCAGCCATTGTGTTCAAGCTAAGATTTCCATTCGTCAGCTAACAAGGAAGCTGAAAGATCTTTTGGGTTTGCCTCACTTTGAAGATGTCTCTTCTGGAGTGGTGGTAGAGTAAACGTCTTTTGTTGTATTTTAGGAAGTTACGCTGAATCTAGTCTTCAAAGTAATGTCACTTTTCTTGTTGCTATATATTTCTACATATAATTGCTTTTTAAAAAATATTTTCAGTCTGCATAATTTTTTATTTTATCAGATTCTTTTTTCATCTTTTCCTACTCTTAAATCATTTCTTTCCTCTCTAAGGAAATAACCCATATTTCCCACTGGGATGCCTTACATTCAATACTAAAATCTAATATAATACAAATACAAATATAATAATAATATGTACTGCAATGACGCTTGAAACTAGTGAGGCAGCAGATAGACCATTCCTGAAGGCAGGATATGGTTGCGGTTAATGTAGGAGAGGTGGTGTTTGTTTCTGCTACCTTTAGCTCCCAGCAGTGTGTCCCTGATGAACTGCTCCAGGTCGTCCGCCCGTTTATGAATCCTGTCAGCATCATCCTCCACCTGCTCGCCGTCAGCCGACACCTTAGTGGCCTGCGCACACACAAACAAACACACACATTATAAAATAATAAAAAGGTGTAGAATAAGTGAAAATATTGACTTTTTTGTGTGTAACAAAGGAAGGGAGAAGACGGATGGGGTCTTAGAGGAGATGTAAAAGAATGACAGGCAATGATGCATACACAAGCAATCAAAATGACTAAGTGTGTGCGTGTAGTTCAGTCATTCTGCCTTCTTGTTAACATGTGCACTTACACCGCCCCCCTTCCAACACACACAAACACGGAGATTGATGAATTATTGACATAAAAAGAAAACAACCTCACACACAGACACAGAGGACCAGGAAGGCTAGAGATGGATGCATCCTTGACAGACGTGAAAACAGTTCTACACACTTACTACACTCAATGTAGCGCGCACACACACACACACAGAGAAAAAGAAGGAGTGGGTAATTATTGTTATGACTTGACAGGACCATGCTATCATTTCAGCTGCTGTGTGTGAGTGAGTGCGTGTGTGATGCATTGTGGGTGATAGCATCGCTGTCAACAAATGTCAAGGCCCCGGTTCTCTAAAAGGCTGTAGCTTGACAGTATGAATGTGTGTGTTGTGTTTTTTTTTTTTTTTTACTCTCTCTCCACTTGGCACTTGTAGATTCTCTCTCCTCTCCAAGAAGTGTTTTTTTTTCTACTTCAAGTCAGAGTTGTGACTCCCAAGATTGCAGAGTCAAAAACAGAAAGTTTAGAGTATAGATAGTTGCTTTCTGTACGAGGGCGAAGACAGAAAGAAAAGAAAAAAAACCGCTTATGGGTGTTTACTGAATATGCTTGATGCTTAAACATTAAAATTATGTATCTGAGATGCTTTGAAGCATGAGTGAGTTCCCTAATGGGAAGGAAAGGCAGATCCCCCAAGGTAAAGGGGACCCCTTAGAGTCTTTGTATGAAGTGACTTCTTTAAAATTCTGGTTGGAAATACATAAGACCTAATCACAGACGTTATATGAGAAATGGACGCTGCGTCTGATTTCAAAAGCAAAGTCGATACTAGCGTGGCTTTAACCTACATGCTTTCCAATCGCCAATAGGGGCTGATCAGTTGTGAAAAATGTAGTTGAGAGTTCAAACAAATGGGTGACTTTAAAGCCCCTTGGTAGGAATTTCGGTTTGCATCGATTTCCGCGCCCTTTGTTTAAAAAGCGATGATCTTGTCCTTTAAATGAGGAAAATATTACAAAAAAGCTCATTCTTCAGTTTGCTGTAAATCCTCTTGTCTGACTCGTGCCCCATGTGGGAAAATCAAAGTCATTGATGATTATTATTATAGAGTTATAGGAGTAGTCAGTCTTGTTGCTGATGGCCTTGTTTGCTTTTGTAGGTCATTAAGAGGAATCACAATTCATTTCAGTGTGTTGCATGACCATTAAAAAAATCGTCAAAGGGGCTTTCAGGGAGGCTACGCTCACTTCTATTTTATAGTTTAGGGATCTACAGTAAAGCTAGGGATGACCTGATCAGTGCACTGATGTTCTCGCTGATTCTTACCTTCATCTTGTCAGAATGAGATTCATAAGGAAGAGAAGCCCGAGCCTTTAAAGTTAGCCAGTGCCAGGGTTTCTAACCTACTGACCATAATTAACAACCTAGCTACAAGTAATCAAATCTGACCTCTAGCTGTCATTTCTTTAAACTTGTTTATCGTTACATGTTTCATATTCCTTAATTCAATTGCATTTCATTGAATTACAACACTGTAAGCCTGTGGCCAGGTCGGTATTTCACAGAGAGCAGAAAGAATGGAGGGTAACAGGGTTACTATGCCCCATGGCCGCTTTCAGATTTACCCGAGTATGGTTCCTGGTTGTCAGTTTTCTCTTTCTACAGGCCAAGGTTACTGCTCAGCTGAAGACTTCTGTTTGAAATTGTTTCAAAGAGCGGTCGGACACTTCATCAACGTGTTAGAAATGCAGAGAAATGTGATTTTGATCGGCCTCTATCTCAGTCAGTATGCTGCAGCTAGAATCGTTATGTGTTGTCTAAACTGTTGAAGAAGTAACTAGCTCTGTCTTTGCTTTTCTTTATAGCAAAGACACTTCCCTGCTCTGTATTTGCTTCAGCTTTTTTATAACAGAGACATACAGAGAAAGAGGATATAAGAAGGATGAAGAGAGCAAGGAGGACACAATCACAGGGACTAAAGTGGCGCCCAAAACAAAAACAAAACAGTGTCTGTACCCTGCTGTGTAGTTGGTCCATCTCGACAACCAGTGATCCCAGGTTGGAGTCAGCCAGCTGCAGTAATCTCTCCGGAGCTTTCTGTGGTGACAGCATGTGCTGCGGGAGAGAAACAGAGAGATGAAGGAATTACACAGAGAAATGTCTGACACATTTTGGCCCTGGGCTAAGCTTTTGAACTCCCTGGATGTGCGCTGTAACGCTGTAACGAAGAGGAGGAGGAGGGAGGAACAAAGTTTGAATTAAACCGGAAACATGTCTGATAAAACTCAATATATATTAAAGATAGGTCAAAGTTAACGTAAAAAAAACATGGTTAGATAAAATAGCAATGAAGCCACAGTCAAAACGTCATATCACAATTAATCAGCAGCTTGATCATTGTTTTAGTTTACATATAGTGTGTGTGGGGCATTTCAAACAAATGAACATTTACAATCCTCTGAGGAAGAAGATAGGCCGCACACTTGCTCAAATGCCACAAAAAGCTTTAATTCTTTTAAAAGAAGGTTTCCTCTATAGGTGATCATTTTTTGAAAAAAGGAGAGGAGGTGGGGGGGGACACACCTATCTATATAGATCTCAACACCAATAAGCTGATAGGCATCTATAATGATCATCTTTATGAAAAGTACAAGGCAAACAAACAAAGGCAAAATATATTGTCATACACTTATTTACCGTTCTAATTAAAAAAAACATTATATAAAAAATAATATCAACATCAAAGACAAATCCTAAAACCACACAACAATAATATGTAAAGAGGAGAAAACACATCTGATTTCTTTATTTCATTACAGATGTTTATAATTTACAATCCCCCTCCCCAAAACTGTGATTGTTTAAAATTGTGGACAGAAATGTAAAATGATCATCCACCCAGAGTTATGATGTGTTGGAATGATCTAACTTGTGTTTCAGACACAGCACTGTTTGTTTATTTCTGTCCTGTACATGGATTATCACCTTGTTAGAATACTAAATGTATGCCTCGAAAAAAAAAAAAAAAAAAGAGCCAGTCTAAAGCTAACTGAATACAGTCAAATAGTGTATGCAGCAAAGAAGTGAATTATATAAAAATAAGAGTCGGCTTGACTGTAAGTCTGATGGAAAAATCTAAAAGTTAGTCAGGGATGAGATTCAACAAACAGGCTGGGCTAACATTGGCTTAATTAGCTTGCTAACTCCAAGTCGTTAAATCTGACTTTTCTGCTTCTGTGATCTTCTGACAAGTAAAGGACTAAGAATTTGGAGTGACATGTTCGAACTTTGAGTGGCACTTTCATGCTTTTAACGTCATGTATATACTACATGGTAGCTTTAGCATAACTAAGGGAGTTTGGACTTTGGAATAGGTCAGTTTTAAAACAAAAAAAAAACAAGATAATTCAAAGAAATGATACATTACAAAATTAATTGAAAATGTGTTTCACAACAGCGTAGCGATTCATTTTACCTTGAGTTCCTCGGTCATGTTCTCGAAGCGGTACAACACCTTATAAGGAGGTGGGAGGGGCGAGGTGAGGGTGACTTCAGTGATGATGCGATAGAGGCGGTCCATATCACTGATCAACAGTCCTGAACACTCGTCATCACAGGCTGAAGAGAAAACGAACACAGACACACAGTGAGACACAGAGTGTGTTTGATCATTCATTTAATGATTTGCTTTGAGAGAGTTTTATTTGTGTGTGCATGTTTAAACGTCTGCAGTCTGAATTTGGAATTTGCTGTGATAAATAAAAGAAAGTAAATGAGAGGAGAAGAAAAAAAAGGATTTGTTTTATGTGTTTTGTTTCACCAGTGGAAGTGTGTTTCCCAGCTTTACATGTGAGTCTGTAAACATATCAGTGTGTGATTGTGGTGACTGCTTGTGTGTTTCTGTTTAAGTGACTCTGGCATCAGAAAGACAAGGACTGCCGATGCATGAAATGCAGCTCAGAGTGGCAAAAGCACCTATTATGAGCACACACTGCGGGCTAAAAACACACACATGATCACACCAGGGAATTCACTCAGAAACACACAAACACATTTTTTTTCTGTATCCTGAGCGTGTGTGAGCTGCTTCTTTCCTCTTTTGCCTGAGGCTGATTTATTGCAAAAATTAACATTTCTGACAAGGGAAATCAAAGATGAATAAAATAAAATAAAAAGTGTTTCTGCTCTATCAATCTCTGACAAAACCAGCACACAAATACTCGAACACATGCAGACACACACACACACACACACACGCACACAAACACACAGGTAAGGGACATGTACAGTTCATTGTATGTGGGAGTAAATAGCTGCCAGTCAAATCAGAGCCATTCATGGCATCATCTTTTCATCTCAGTGATGAAGGATTTTATTTATTTACTTCCACACAGCGTGAAAACATCCTGAACAAGGTGTGACTACAGACAAAAAGCCTCACTACCATCAACGTCTCTAAAATGTTTGACAAGACAGGCCGGAGATTATTCAAATTAAACTACCTCCTGACTCCTGTTCTTGGGAGTTCATGCGACATGTGGTGTCTGAATATATTTCAAAATGTCTTGGAGGCTCTTTTTAAAGGTGATTCAGCCTTAAATCAACAACTTTATTCTGTTGAAAATGTCCATGATTACACACATAAGCTTAAAGGTGAATAAATGAAATGAAACAGCTCTGGAATGGATTTGCTCTTCGTATAGCTCAGCTGAATCTTCTGCTGTTTGTGAGATTTTAATGGTTTAGAAGTTTGAAGGAAAACATAAGACTGGTTGAATATCTTCGATTTGGTCTTTGGACTTATGTTTACAGGATGGATTTTCTAAAATATGATTTTTTCTTTAAACGTTACACTGGCAGGTATTGTTTGGGCCACAGAACTCTGATACAATAAATACATATATAATACTGTATATCTTTGTATAAAAAATATACATTTACTGTAATACATAAGCGCTTTTGGCCAGAGCTTTCACACATTAAGCTGTAGCGCCGTTAATGCCAAAATAAGGATGTTTTTTTTATCCAATGATGTACCTTTATTCTTCAAAGCTAATAAAAATATAGCATACTACAAATTCATATCAAAACCACAGAAGCTGGAAGCCCCAGAGTAAAAACACACTCATGCGGCACACTGTAAGTCATACACGTGCAGTAATACACACACCCTTAGATTGCAACTTACCACCGTTCAAAGTTTGGTTAAAAATTCAGATCAGCGCAGAGCTGCAGGGAAAGCGTGCTTTCTGAAGTTATGCGAAATTATGTGTTCATCCAACAAGTTACTTAAATCAGGTCTACAAGATCATAGTGGGTTGGCCCAGCTCCTTTACTTTGACAATGATGTAATGAATCGGCCTTTAAGTTTAGAATCTAAATCACATTTACCAATGCAGACGAACTAAATCACATGAACCCCAAATTTAGATTTGAAATAGCAGCACATGTAAAAAGCAGCTGGTTACAGTTTTCCTCAGTGCTGATGTTTAAACAGACTACTTTTACTGCATCTTGGTTAGATTTAAAACACTGAATATTAAAAAAAAAAAAACAGATTTATGATCTTATTGTGATAAAATAAAAATAATATGAATAAATTAAACTTTAATAGATAGTAACAGATATTTCCTTTTTGTGTTTGCGGCCGATGAAGACAACACTTTTCACCTTAGCTCATTGCTAATGTATTTTCTATTTGATGCTTCTGTAGGTCAGATAAACAAGTTTGATTTAAATTGAGTTCATTTCAGTTTAAAAATCTCCTGATATCCTGTTTAATGTACAAATGTCATGTGGGACACTCTTTCCCCTGAGGTCATATAATTTACCGCACAGCTACTGTAAATTATAGACAACATGTTTGACCATAATTTCAATGATGCAACCAACAACCTCACATATTGAAATTTAGCTCCATTTCAACGCAAATGGTGTTTGGTAAATGATGTGTGGTAAATGGAAGTGCCTCCTGCATTTCCCTCATTTAAGGCTGCCGACTCCCAAAGTGCTCTGTTTCTGCTCATAGAATGGGAGACAGGGAGAGGCAGAGGCAAAAACGCAGAGCACAATCACTCTTCAACAAGTGAACAGCCGTCTGATTGCTCCACTTGTGATTATTGTCTGGACGTACAGGCGACTGGTTTGGTGTCAGGGTGCACCGTGGTGCTCGCACTGCCAATTTCTGAACACACGCTTTGTGTCAGAACACATAAAGAACCTGAGCAAGCCATTTCCTCCCTGACCCGACAGCAAGCAATTTCACATCCGCCTCTGTCTTACAACCTTCTCTCCCACTTTCTCTTACCTCCGTACATGCAAATGGTGCTGAATTGGCCCCGCTATTATGGTCATATTAAGTTTAAATTAGCTGCAAATGACATTGAAATTATACTCTAAATGACTCCAATCTGACTTCTGCCACGAACCTGTCTCCCATGGCAACTGGGGTAGAGGACTTTTGTCTGCTCATTTGCATTTCATCGCCAAAATAAAGCAAAAATCAAAACATCAGGCGACGGTGTCTTGTGGGTGGGTCACCAGAGAGAAAAGGAAAAGAAAAAAAAGCTAAACCGGAAAAAAAAAAGGCAGAAAAATGAGAATGCCAGATATAGGAATAGAAAAATAATAAAGACAAAAAAAAAAAAAAAGAAAAAAAGAATGTAGGTGGAAAAAAAGACATGAAAGGAGCACAAACCACAGATTAAATCAAAACTGTGTGTTAGTCTTACAGATGATCCCAGCAGCTCCACACACATGCCTGTCCATGCACTGGTCACACGACCTCCCCGAGGCCCCGACCCTGCAGCGGCATTGCCCTGTGACAGGGTTGCACGGTCCAGGCAACGCTCCCCACGGGGAACACTTACACTCCTCGCAGCGGCCGCCTGGCATCAGCGGATTACCGTGGTAACCAGTAGCACACCTGGACAGGGGTCATAGGAAGTGGAAAAAGTCGACAACTATTAATGCCTGAAATGAGAAGTGTCTGCTGCCTTTGACGAGGTTTCCTAAAGCGCCTGTGAAAGTCTTTCGGTGGATTTAGGCGCCCCCTGTGGACAGAGTGGTACTTCTTATCTCTTTGCTGATCTTGTGCTTTACATGTGTAAGTAGTGTTCTCAGATGAAACATGTCATCCATCTCTATTAATAATTCTAGTCTGTTTTAAAACCAGCTCACACTCCTCACATGAAAACAGTCCAAACACGTTAACTCCTAAGTGGACACCTCAGATAATTTGTGACCTTCCATCGTTATGTGTGTCTTAATGTTTTTGGGCACTTGAGCGTCATTCTAACGTAAAAAGACAGTATCATGTTTCTCATGTGCATGTCTCACCTCTCACAGTGTTTGCCCTCATATCCCTCGGGACAGGCGGTGCAGCGGTAGTCATCGTATCCCTCCGTTACACAAGTCGGGCTGAAACTAGACGCATAGAATAAATCATTTATCACTTTTACAGTCACATTAACCAAACACACAAGTGATTTAAATGCCTTATTTTGACTATTTAGACTGATTTTAGATGGGTAGAAATACCAACATGGCTGCCGATAGAGGTTATGGAATGAAAACTTGCTGTGGTGCTTATCTAACATCGATTTTTATAAAGACAGATACAATGGGACCATGACAGGATTTAAACATGATACTTTCAAATAAAAGATTTGAATAAACACAGAAAGTTTACTTGTTCTCTGGGTTGGTGAGAGGGCAGGCGCAAGGTTTGCAGTCGTCATGGAAACCACGCACCACACCGTAGAATCCCGGAGCGCAGCGTTCACACCGCTCCCCCTCTGTGTTGTCTTGACAGTTCTGCCCACACACAAACATACACATGTAACTAATGTTTTATACTTGTGAAGACAACCGAACAGACTTTCATTCATTCTCTTATCTGACTTTGACTTCAACCCTGACGTGTAGGAGGTACATTTCCCATCATCCTCCAGCCAGCTTGTGCTTGTGTGGGTGTGTTTTAGTGTGTGTGTGTGTGTGTGTGTGGCTTGTTTTAAATACAGAATTTGATTCTTGCAGCCGTGCTTAAATGACACAAAGAAAAAAACTATAGCTTTTCATCTTTCAAAAAGAGGCAAAGTCATTTTCTAATTAAATTAACAGCAGTTAAGCTACACTTTGATCTGCATGTATTGTATTTGAATATTGCCACTGGCACAATGAAAGCGAGACACCAGAGAGAAAAAAAAAAAAAAGCATTTTCTGAACGGTTTAGAGGCATGTGTAGAATTTAATCAATCTATTTCACTTCACTTATACTTAGATTTAGGCATATTTCTGATCCTTTTTTTATATCAAAATAATAGAAAATTAGCCCAACTCTTAAGCTGTGTACAATCTCCGGTGTTTGCCTGCTTGTCTGAAGTTGACAAAAAGTAATTAAAAAGAAGATAGACTGGGTCACTCACCACCCCCTCCTTGATTGCTGACAAAAGGATTGGTTTGCAATGTGTGAGATAATTATTCTGGCATTGTTTGTTAAATCACACTGACAAAAAAGTGTAAAGAAGATTGTTACATATTGCTGTTATTACCCACGAAGAGTTTAATTCACACTTTTGCACATTATAAGCACTTTGATGAAATATTTTTCATCAACAAGAAGTTGTTTGTTTCTGCAGAGAGAAAAGATGAAAGCAGTACTGCAGTGAGTTTGATTTTTTTTTCCGCCAAATACTTCACTTAGCGTTCTCTGTCATTACATGCATACAGATTTCAAACATCCAAACTGTTACTGGGAAATACCCAGTGTGATCGCAGCTGCTTCTGTGATGCTGAGCCTTTCTGTCGGAGCAGCGGGGGGAAAGTCGTTACTCATTTCTTTTTCTACCACCGGCTGTTTCTGAGCCATTCTAGAGCCATCGCACATACACAGAAATCCAGCCTGGACTATGTCTGACAGGGAAATGCAGCTGTACACAGACTGCAATGAATGGTGTTTGGAGTCGGGTTCCACTCCTGCATGATGAGGAGCTTTGAGAGGCTCCAACAGCAGAGGCTAGCTGTTAGCTGACAGGTGCAAGCTCACACGTCTAAGAGTTTAATAAGCTCCTTTTCTCAAGAGCACGGTATCTAAAATACTCATTTTCTTTGCAGGTATTCACTCACCCGTGTTTATGAGGGTAACCACAAGGGTGAAATGACAGATAGAAGGATAAATCTCAAGTTGTTTGTGTTTATTTTCAGCTTATTTTTGGCTAATGCATGTCAGAATTCACACATATGCTATTTATATATTCATATTGGCATTCTGACAATAAATATGCTGAATTACAGAATATAAATATGAATATACAGTCGGTTCTAATGTATGTACACACTTTCTTATACAAAAACACACACACAAAATGTAAGCTCAGATAAATATGATTCATACTGTACACAAACATACAGCTCTACCCCTCGTCGTAGCCCCGGGGTTCAGTCTTATGTGGTCGCCTTGTTTGTTGAAAATGGGAACTTCAATCAGTGGTACAGGAAGTTGCCTCCTAACGAGGCAAGTCATTTCCATTAACTTCCTGTGTTTCTCGTTACTGCTAATTACCACAGAAACAAACTCGTTTAGCATTTTCAATTTAGCCCGCTCAGTTAGAAAATGCTAATGACGCCTGTTATGGAGTAAGATGGAAATGGGAGAAGGGAACAAAAATGGCTGGGAGGCAGATAGAGAGAGAGAGAGGAAGGAGAGGGAGAGAGAGAGAGAGAGAGAGGGAGAGGAAAAAGAAATCAGAGGGGAGAGGGGGAATGTAAAAAAGACAGAGAAACAAATTGGAAAAAAATAGAGAAATTAAGTAGAGGGAGAGAGAGGAAGAGGGTAGTGTTGTAAAAGAAAAGACATGGGCAAAAGAACTGAAAGAATTACAGGGAAAAAACAGTAAAACTGAGTTATAATGCTTTAGGAGATAAAGGAAATGGAGGTAGAGGAAGGAAGGAAGGAGGGAGGTAGTAGAAACAGTAGAGAGTGTTAAAGCGAATATTTGTGAGGGGCGCTGATGGTGGTTAGAGTGAACCCAAAGTACAGAGACTATAGTCCTCCGAGCAGGCAGCCAGGGTCCTAATCCGACCTGTCGCTCCTTTCCAGCATGTCACTCCAATCTCTATCTCTCCCTGATTTCCTACTCTATCCAGTGTCCAATCATATAAGAGGAAAGAGCCCAACATTTAAATCTAAAAAATAGGAAAGAAAAATAAATGACATCAATATTTTAACTCTCAATATAAGACAGTGAGATTAATCAGGAGGAAAACACAAAAGAAAGTTTGTGTGAGTTACATCATAGTTTCATTTTGAATGAGCTCAATCAGAGTGATGAGTTTTTTTTTTTTGTTTAGACACAACAACAGATCCTTTTTTTTTTTTTTTGTCCTGTTTAAAATGTCTTGGCTGAATAATCAATGTCACACTTGGACAAACACCAAATCCAGCTTTCCAACTCCAAGAAACATCTCGTTAAAAAAAAAGAGATGCATTGAATGCTTGGTGGTGTTACAACTCTGCCTTCTAAAAAGGACATTTAAAACAGTGTGACACTTAATTACGAGGATGAAAGTAAACCACTTTCACTTCCTGCAAAGTTCCTAAAATGATTTGGATATGCAAAAAAAAAAATGCAGCTGCATGTCTGTTTATTACCATTTGTCTCAGGGTATTTGGTACAGTGGTGCTCTAACCACATCAAGCCAAATAACAAAATGACTCCTCATCAGCTGTCCACTGTGAGTCACCGCTGATTGATTTCTCTGCGCTCGTACTTTTATCGTCAAACAGTGACATTCTCTCCGTCTGCCAGGGGTCTTACAGATCAAATGTGAGTGACATCCTCTGGGCAGCATGTGACCAACTGCTCCCCCAGGCCAAAGTCTTCACATGGACCCACTGACTGCAGAACTGAGCAGACGGAGAAAAAAGGCTGGAAGTGACCGACGGCTAACAACTGGTATGTGCAGATTTATCTCACAAAGCCACTTACAGAAAGCTTGCAGGCAAACACACATTATCACCTCGTTGTGAGGTGAAACATTACATGAGAGATGAGGGCCATTTCTCGTTTGTACCGCTTCATCACTTTTCCTCTCGATGACTGAAAACTACCCGCACTTCTTTCTGGACAAGAAGCAAATCAACATACAAGAATGTATTTTGATTCTTTCTTTATAATTGTCACTTTTCAAATACTTCACACCAACTTTTATATCGTAATATTGATGTGAAAGACAACAATACTAGGACACTGAGTTAAACCTCCACAAATCAAAGTGGGAATGCAAAAGTTTTATAAAATGTCAAAGTGCCAGTTTCAAGGTAATAAAAACTTTAAATGTAGGGTATCTGACAAATTGATATCATTTGAGGCATCTAGATTGATCAGTACTTAAAATAAACCAAACAGTGGTAAACTGGACTTTTTTTAAAACATAACCAAGCTGCTAGTTTTGTCAGATAACTGCTAACATTAGCAGTCAGCCACCGACTATAGCAAAACAAATATAACCATTAGCTTGGAAGTGGCAGAAAGCTAACATTAAGTTGGACCAGATAGATAGATAGATAGATAGATAGATACTTTATTGATCCAGAGGGACATTCAAATACAAAAGAATAGGTAATTCCTTGGTAATTTGCACTAGCAAGTGCTAACATTAGCCGTTGTCTATCAAATTAGCTTTTCTTTTTTTTTAAATATTGCCTTATTTACTTTCTGGTGACCATTATGTATTCAAACAACTTAACTGATAAGCTTCTAGTTACTCCAAACAACAGCTAACATTAGTTCTCAGCCACTGATTTGCTAATATTGTTGGCAAGAAAGTGACTGAAGGCTGACCAACTCTCCAACAGGAGAGTTACTTACTCAGTAACTTCCTTCATAACATAAAATAAAGTAGGCCAGCAAGTAGTTAATGCTAACATTAGCTACTGTTACGGGGTTATCAAATAAACACTTTTACTTTGAATGGTCAGTTATCCCTTGGATATCCTCTTTTATTTGTTTGGTGATTATGAAACTGCTTAAGGAAAAAAATGTGTCAAACATCCAACATTCATACCACTAACTCACGCCGGAGTTCAATGAGCTGTCAATATCTGAGGAAAATGTCCGCTGCATACGTTTGAATTATCAGTACTACTAGAAACTAACTGTTGAATTCATTTTCATTCATTCATTTCAAACTGTAAGGTCCATTTCTAAGCCTTAATTATGTTCCACAAGATCAACGCCCCTCTTTCCAAAGGAGGGTTGTAGCTTTGGGTCACATCCAGGGGAGAGGAAATTACACAAAATATGAAAAAAGCCCAGGCTCGTTAATTATTGCAGGGCTAATTACTGGACCTGACATTCCTGCTTGACACACACACACACACACACACACACACACACACACACACACACACACACACACACACACACACACACACACACACACACACACACACACACTACATCCACTTTTTTTTTACCTTACTTACTTTTCCAGAAGCTATCTGGCATATGGCTAACTGAGGCTCTCCAGCGGTAGAGCACACGCACACACACACACGCACGCACGCACGCACGCACGCACGCACGCACGCACACACACACGCACACTCACACGCACACACACACACACTCGTTTACCTGGCATATGGATGTCTCAGGGTCACAGGTGGAAGAGTGCCCACTGCATTGGCACTGAACACAGCTGCCCATGCCGACAGCGGTGGGCACACTGGACGCTGGAACAGATGTCAGGGAGCCAGCTCGAAGACGGTAAAAACCTGCAGCACACTCCTACACAGAGAGACAGACGGACACCGGGGGAGATAAAGAAGGCAGAGATAAATAAAAGGTGGAAACATGTACTTTTTTTTTGGCAGTCAATTTCTCATAGAATCGCTGCAGTATGCAATAATATTTAAATACACAAACACACACTCTCTACACCTGAACACATGGACCCATATCATTATGCTAAGTGTCATTTCTCTGGGCAACCGTTGACCACTCTCCCTTTCACACACATTACCACAATTAAGAGTTACTCCCTTCAGTAACTCCTGAGCACACACAAACTTACATACAAGCACGCACGCGCACCAACATGCAAGGTAACTGTCTCTCCCTCGCTCTCTCTCTCCTGTTCAGTAATAATTAATGGAGTCCATTTAAGGAGCCATCTGTTCCCTCTGCTAGCGCTAAACGCCCGTTTAAAAATACTTTATTAACAACAGCGGCAGCTACAAATAGAATGGCCATCTGCCAGCCAAGGCCTCTACGACCTAAACATTTCAAGCTTAGCTACTGTTTGCTTTTTTGGCTTCCATTTGGCACTTTTTCAGCAGTATCTATAGCTCCTGAATTATGTAAATGGCTATTTTTTCTAGCAATATAAACTGCTGCTCCTTAGAACTCCAAGTAGCAGACGACAAAGTGAAACAGAGGTTGAAAAATATAGTTTAAAGTTTGCAGGCAACTCCCTGTATTCCTTTGAGGTAGACACAATAATACCTAAATGACTCCAGAACTGTTGCCTCTGTGTATCATAAGCTGTCTCCACAAAATCCTCATTAAACTAAAGATTGAGTCACTGCTATATGCTTTCTGTGGCTTAAGAGAAGGATGGACGCAGCTGAAAGTCAATTGCTTAGACAAAATCACAGCTGAGTGGAAGAGACGCTCAGCGAGGCTTAATCCGAGCACAGCAAAGCAAAAAAAGCAGGAGAAGTGTGCTGCCTTTTCAGTGAAACCTGAAAGGCGGCACAAAGGCTTAAAACTCTAAACTAAATGTAAATTGGAAACTTGTGAGATACGATTGAAAGCAGAGTGTGTGACCTCCATGTTTACATTCTCTCACCGTGTTTGAAGGCTTCAGAGAAAAAAAAAGTTTTGATTCCTCTTTTCGCTGACGGTCGGGCTTTCTGTTATTATTACGTCAAAAATGTGAATTTAAAATGTAAGTCTTTTAAATTCATCACACTCAAACCGCAGCCAATGTCCTCTCACAATATGCTCAAGCTGGGACACTGAAATGCTGTTATGACATACAGTACATCTGTGTTCCAGTTTTTAAATCATCAAAGGGAATCTGTCAATGATCTGAAACGTCTCATAGCTTGCTGTCTGCTTATATTATAATTTTACCCCTTCCAAGCTATTTGGCAGACATTGTATCTGAGTACTCTAAACCCCGCTCTTCTCCTCCTCCGCACCAGCCTCTAAATAACAGCTGATCAGGTGAAAAGTCAGAAGGCGAGGAAGGCCATCAGCTCCAGACTCCTGAAGGACTGAGCAGACCAGCTCTGTGAGGAGCTTCTGCACATCTTCTATATTTTTATTTTTCTATTAATTTCATTTTTTTATTATTATGATTGCAGTACTTTTTTATCAGTATTTCTTCTTCCTCTTGTTATTAATTTATTATTAACATTAGTTGCGTTTATCTTTTTAGCTGTTGTAACACGTTTATTTCCCCCAATGAGGGATCAATAAATGGTAAATGGTAAATGGACTTGAGCTTATATAGCGCTTTTCTAGTCTTCCAACTACTCAAAGCGCTTTTACACCACATGTCACACACACCCATTCACACACTGATGGTAGTGATGATCGCTATGTAGTATCATCCATCAGAAGTAATTAATCCCATTCATACACCGCCACCGAAGCAGCGGGAGCAATTTGGGGTTAAGTGTCTTGCCCAAGGACACATCGGACATGTTGCCCAGCTGGGGATCGAAACCTCGACCTTCCGGTTGAGAGGCGACAACTCTACCAACTGAGCCAATAAAGATGATCTTATTGTACTTACCTCACAGGAGAGTCCGGAGTACCCGATTGGACAGTCACACTTTTCTATCTGTTGAGCAGTTTTACTCTTTGTGGTTGGTGTGCCTTCCTCCGCCACTGTAAGGCTGATCTCTGAAATTCTGGGACGGAGACAAGTCATCAATCAAACAATTAAAACAGTCAAATGTGATAACTTCAAAACCACAGACTGTGAAAGAAGTGGAATCGACCACTGTGAAGACACCCAATGCTTTTATGACTCCCATTTTAAAGCTTTGAGTTGGCTGTGTCCTTCTTGTTTTTATGAAAACAACTTTTTGTAGGAGTGACTTGTCCATCACAAAGTAGCCACGCCCTCAAGCATACTCTGCTGTTGTCTATTATTGTATATTTGAAATGCTTTGGGATCCTATTTTTTAAAAGTGAACAGCATGCTGTACCAAATATTTTAAATTGAGATGCACGATCTACTTTATTTCAGTTCTGATCTAATTCTACTTTACATACGTAATAATAATGATACTGATTCGGATATTTTTTTTAAATCATAATTTATAGTGTTGTTGTTGTTGTTGTTGTGGGTGTCATGGTTACACAAAGCTGTACGTAACCCAGCATTGCATTTCGTATTGAAAGAGCAAATCATTCTTTTTTAATACACGTGATTAGATATTACATCTGTGTCACATTAAGCTTTCATCAATAACTGAGCCACTTGTCTGCTTGTTTTTTAAACTTTAAGGCCATATCCTCTAGATAGGATCATACTTTTTAAAGCTGCAAATTCAATAATTCCCAATTTTGATAAACTAGTTGTGCTTAATTGCGTGTTTCTGCTCAGTACTGCATAAAAATGCATAAAAATTAGACTTATTCAAAAGAAATGTATTTGAACTTTGTGCTGGCTTCACATACAAACGTGTAGCAGCAACAACTGTAAGGTTTTTAAATGAAACATTTTAAACTGAAGTGTCACATAGAAGGAGCTGTTCCGTCTCGTCTGAACGTCTCGATGATGCCGACACGTGGGCACTTCAGTCTGAATGTCTTCAGAGTTGTGCGAGTTGAGAATATTTAAAGTGCCCAACGATCTAGCTCGATATCCAGACTCAGTACCGATATTAAATGGGATCTGTCCCATCTTTAATTTCAAACCATGGATTGAGACCATTAAGTTGTTAGGATGTTCACTGAGTTCATAAATGATCATTTACTCATTGGCTTTGATACGATCAAATAACTTGTTGCGATCAGTAGAGTCCTGATGTTCCTACATCCACTTTGTCTCCTTTGGTTTCTAACTGCCTATAATAAAACATTAAAATACCTGCCTCATATCACATCCAGGGGGAAATACATGTTTATTTTGTCGTATCATTTGGGGAAATCCACACAGAAGTATAAAGTTTATAAGCAGCAGGTTGTATTATTTTAATTATGGAAATGGTCTTTTGTAGAGAGAATTGTAATTTTAACTTGATACAAATAAAAACGGAGACTTTTCCCTCAACGGTGATTCTTTAGCTCTCAAATTTAATATTTAACAGTGGACCAGACTGTGAAGAGCTGAATGCCACTGTGTGTGTGTGTGCGTGTGTCTGTGTGTGAGTGTGAGTGTGTGTGTGTGTGTGTGTGTGTGTGTGCGTGTGTGTGTGTGTGTGTGTGTTTGGGTGTGTGTTTTACCGGCTTTGTCTCATCAGGTTGCCGTGTGATGCCTTAATTAGGATGTAGTCCACATAGAACAAAACATCCATGAAGTCCTCTCGAGTCATGGACCGGCCATCTGCGTACTTCCACTCATGCTGCACACACACACACACACACACACACACACACACACACACACACACACACACACAGACACTTAATACACTGACAAATCAATTTGACCACTGCAGTCTATTACAGATGTAGTAGACCCTGTTGGCATGAAGTGACAGAGCTCGTAAATCATTATTCTTTTCAGGTTTATTATTTTTTTAGTTGGCATTTCAAAAACTGATTATTTTTCTTCGACTTGCAACTAAAATATGACCCAGGTTATTTTTTGATTATCTTATAATATTTTCATCCAAAGCACCTCTGTCATGTCGATCTCATGGCGGGTGAGCTGACCAATCTGGAGTCCCGGTTTGTGGCGGGTCATCACGATGTTGCGGTTAGGCCCGCCCTTGATGATGACCTGAGGCTCATAGGAGGAGGGACCCGTTTCTTCTCTGGCCTCGTAGTAGACTGCGTACTTCAACTGACCACCGTATGCTGTGATCTAAAGAAAGAAGTGAAGAAACAGGGGATTAAAAACGGCTCTAAAAATATCAGGGCGAAACCTTAAATATAAATTTTATAACAAAAAAAAAAATGTTTCTCCTACCATGGATCCTTTGAACTGCTCGGGCAGCCTCCAGTAGTACGGCTCAGTGAGAGTCGAGGTGACCAGTTCAGTATGAGCGAGGATCTCAGGGTGCTGAAAGCTCACTCCTCTCCTCGTCTCCACAGTGTTGGACTTGTCCACCAGGGGGAGCACCGTCTGCTCTGGCTTCAGCGTTAACTGGGACACACAACGATGAAAACTTGGTAAATGCTAAACTATGTTGATCCTATCTAAATATTGCCTCTTAAAGATTTAACTACAACCCGTTTACACTATAGATATCATGCGTCCTATACAACTGATTTGGGTGTAGAGCTAGAATTTCTTTAGATGGTGCTATGAGAGAATAAATACGTTTTTAAACTTCTAATATTGGTCTGTGGATTAAGGCATTATAGATTTTGGTGAGGTGCCATTAGAACAGTCTGTTCATGCTGCATTATTTCTCCATGTTTAACTCACCACAAGCTGAGCCAGATACAACATATGAGATTATGAGAAGGTAGAATCACACAGAAATATTCAACCACATAAACTTGTGTTGCATAACAAAACACTGACTTGTAAACCAGATGTCCAGGTGTATTGATATCTGTCTTTCTGTCTTTCTGTCTCCTTCAATCACAGTGTTCTCCTCTCCTCACCTCCTAATGACACCGACTCAAACTATTCTTCACCTTCATTTAGTGTTCTATAACTTTGCCAAACATCGATTTCGGTTGGATTTTGTCAGTGGCTACTATCTTGTTAGAAAAAAAGCTTGATCATCTTTTGTCTCGTTGCTTGGTGTCCTGTGTTATCTGAGGGCTCAGAGGATTTAGAATTAATGAGGATGGGTCTCAAAACTGGCTGAATGAAAGCACCTCTTATGCAAACATATGATTGGAACATGATTAGATAAGCTTTCTTCTCGTCTCTACAATTCGTTTAGCAGACGCTTTTATCCAAAGCGACAAACATCAGAGAGTAAGTACAACACAAGCAAGGATCTAAAGAGGAGAGAAAGTAAGTGCAAACAAACAGGATTCACATACCAGAAAGGAAGAACAGCCTGAAGAAAATCTAACCCTCTCTTTCTCATTCTCCCCATTGTCTACTTTGTGTGTTGATATCTCAATGTTGCTTGAATAACATCAGGCTTTATTGTTGAGTGTGGGTTGTGCTCGAGTGGACTGATTTAAATACAGGTTCATCTGCTCCACTCTGGATCTCTTCCCCTGTTTGTCAATGAGGTCCAGCAGTATTGATGTGTTTATTTTGTGTGAATAATTTTCAAGGCATTAAGCAAGAGTGCGTCTTGATCAGGTGGACTCAATCAGAAATCTATGAAGACACTATAGCTTGAATGAATGAATAAAAGAGGGGCAGCCACACAGGGCAAAGAGCATCGCTAATATTTTCCTCCAAATTATTTTTTAATGATTTTAACTCTAAACGTTTAAACACTAGGGTAACTGGAACTTTTTTTTTTTTTTTTACAATTATGAACTCAAATCATTGACAGGAGCAACATTGCAAAGTAAAGCAGTGATAAAAAAATCCAGACTTGAGATGAGTAAGTTAGTAAATGGACTTGAGATGGTAGAGCACTTTTCTAGTCTTAAGACTAGTCAAAGCGCTTTTACACCCCCTAACTACACCCAAAGTTTCAAAAGGAGAAAAATCTTCTGGATATTATTTTATGTTTTTTCTGTATCTTATTAATGACATGAGTCGGGGTTAGCGCAGCAATGTTTTATAGGCAAAAAAAAATAGCAAAATAACATCACATACTCGCGCATAGTTTTGATCAGACAGAAAACAACAAATAATGCAGCATGTGTGCAAGCACAATGTGTGTGTGTGTGTGTGTGTGTGTGTGTGTGTGTGTGTGTGTGTGTGTGTGTGTGTGTGTGTGTGTGTGTGTGTGTGTATCCCTCTCCTCTAAACTCCATGTAATCCAGTGCAGCGTGAGTTTGTGTATGTATGTTTGTATATGTGTGAATGCATATGTTCCTTGTATAGTGTATGTGTATGGTGTCTAGATACAAGGCGTGTGTGCTTGGTAGTGTGTGTATCTCCCACTCCACTCAGTGTAATCTCACGATTCAGTGGTTCGGAGAAAATCTCCCTCTTTCCAATAAACTCTCCATTTTTTCTGTCCCTCTCTTTCTCTCTCTCCGTCCAGATCCCATTCCCCTCTCTCTCTCTCTCCCTCGCTCTCTGTCAACAATAAATGAAGTGAATGTTTGTCGTCCAAATGAAGCCTCTCGCCACACTTCATCAGAAGAAACTCTACGGTTGCCACGGAAACACCAGTTTATTGCAGATGGCTACTGTTTCTGAGACGAGGGGCCTTTATAAAGAACAGGCATCCGCACAACAATAGATGGCTAACTTCCAGTCTGACTGTCTGGTGGTGTCTAGTACGCATCATTACCTCACATGGTGTCTACAATGTCCACATTACTGTTCCTATGTTGATGCAGAGATATCAGCGGTCATATAAGACTAGTTAGCAGGGTCATTTTACAAGTTTTACTTCAGTCGGGGCTAACAAATGCCAAGCTTCTAGAAAAGCTCTGCCATCCAAAAAGTCAAGGTAAAGCTTTGAAGAAGCCTCTGATATCGACGGATGATGATTAATGGAGAACAATACGGTTTTAACATTGGCATCAAACAGAGCCATTTGTCTGAATGTGTTGTCTCAGCAAGGTGTGTTGAACAAGTACGGGAAACTACTCCATGGAAAACACAACCGAGGGAAGAAAGAAACCAGAGCTAAGCGGAACCGGGGAAAAAAAAAAATACTTACACAATATTTCCATCCCTAAAGTAAATATCAATATGTCTCAATAAAGTTTACCTAGAGTTCTTGTGCAGCAATCTCTGAGTTTCAGTCCCAAGTTTTTCAATGCTGCACAAGGGTAATCTAATTCCTTAAAAGTTTGCTGTTGATTCAGAATGAATCTATGTTCTATGACTTCAAACCCCAAATGGTTGGACTTAAACTTTTATAAAACATGTACACTATCTCAGTGACATCACTCATTGGTTTCTGAAGAGGTGTTATGAAGCCTAAAGATGGAGGTCACCATATTGGAAATGTTGACTCCAACTAGCGGCTAATGGAGAAGCAGACATTGAATTTGGAGGTGAGGCGGGCCCAATAAACAACTTGGCAGCTGAAACATACCCATATAGCAAATCTAGCTAGCATACTGCAAACGATAAAAACAATGTGAATGAAGCTAAGTGTTGAAGGTCAGCAATAGGATTAACAGTAGTTATGGTAAAGCCTAGCTTGCTGGCAAACAACAAGAGGTACAACGAGGACCGGCTGGTGAACAGACCGGACAATTTTCAGCCTGTTCGTCTGTTAGTTTTAGTTCTTTTAATAAAGAAAATTGGAATCAGCAGAAATCAGAATCACCAGGTCAGTCTTTAAAAAACAGAATCAGGCAAAGGAATTTCAAACAGTGCATCGCTACAAATCAAGCCTGTCAAGTCAGATCAGCCTTGTTCCTTATTATGAAAAACTCTAAGCTTTTGTGTTATCAAAACGGATGAGTTATAGAACAATGACCCCCACATCCCACCCTGCTACAGTTTTTACGGATAAAGAAATGGGCTATGGAGACCAAAATCGTTTTAAGAACCAGGCTGTTTACAAGTTTATTTCTGCTGTAATATGGGCATTTTCATGTGGCTTCTGTTTCTGCAGCCAGCCTTAAGTGGACACTTGAGGAACTGCAGTTTTGTTTTTTTTTCACTCCTGTATTGTCTTCATTTTCGAAAACCGGAGGTTGCTGCTTTTACCTTCATGCTCGTAACTGTGACAGGAACACATTTAAAACAAAAAGGCTACTCACCCACATCCTGATGAGTCCTTTAGCCTCGGTGCAGTAGGGTGTCAGTCCGTAGCAGTAACACTTGCTGCAGCCGAGCGGGTTTCGTACTGACAACCCAAACGTGTCGGGCTTACAGCGGTCACAGTTGTCGCCTTCCACGTTTGCCTGATGACAAAGACGACACAATTATAATTGTTGTTTTGTGATTATAACCATATCTCAGCATCAATGGATGGAATACTATTTTACCAACATGTTCAAAATGATTAACAATGTGAAACTTTACTGTGTCACATATTTCAGCTGGCCGACTTACACTGAACAGAAAATGCTTGCAATGACTACAGTGCTGTAGAAATAGGTCCATCACTGCCTTGAATTGTTTACATTTGGAGTAAATAAGCTGCGAGCTGACTGGTCTCAAATGGCATGGTGGACAGGTCTGTATATTAAGCCTTCGCTATGTCAACAAATCGTCATCCAATTAATGCTGAGTTCTGTCAAAATGTCCTGCAGGTTAGTGAGCAAGGAGCACGAAAAACAGAGGAAAGTGAAGGCATATAGTGAAGGGAAGCACTTTAAATATCAACTTAATGATCTCCATGATTAGTCTGTGTCATGTCAAACGGAGGTCGTCATGCTATGCTTAGCAACTAAAGAGCATACCTAAATATTTATCTAGTTTAATGAAATGTAATGTGCAAAGAATAAGATAAAAATCCTTCTTTCTAAGACTCACACACAGCAGGCTAACTTGTGTATCAATTGTCTTCCTCCTAAAAAAAGTTGAACAAATTAAAAGTTAATTATAATAAACAAGAAAACTGTTTGATCACTTGAATGGCTGTGCTGATAAATACATGCTGCTGCTTTCATGAATTGTTCTTACACCCTGGCGATCTTTACATTTACATTGTAAGTTTATAAATGTTGTACTTAATAAATAACTTCAAAATAATGGAGGAAAAAATCAGTAAGCAAGTGATTACATTATATATGATACCTGAATGTAAAAAAAGAACCATAAATATCGCAGTTGTATTTATGAAACTTCTGAGAAGCCTGAAAGATACACAGGTTCATTCGATTTTTTACAGGCAGAGAGACAGACAGGCAGACAGGTGAGCAGAAAGACAAACAGGCAGACAAACAGGCAGGCAGGAAGGCAGACAGGTAACCAGTCTGACACGTCACAGAGAGCAGGATAAACAAATCTAAAGAGTGACAAGTGACAGATTGCATAACTGTTTGATTGACAGGCAGTCAGCCTCCTCCCTGTTAAGAGTGAAGATGACACTTGGTGATCTGAGGCCTTATCACAGGCCATGGATCTGTGTGTGTGTGTGTGTGTGTGTGTGTGTGTGTGTGTGTGTGTGTGTGTGTGTGTTTGTGTGCGTGTGTATTTCACACAAGTTTATGTTTTTGCATGTTTCACTGTTTATGAGAATCATTTCATCAGCAGGTGACAAAAGGGATGAAAGATGTCTCCAGTTAGGGAGTGCAGTGTGTGTGTGTGTGTGTGTGTGTGTGTGTGTGTGTGTGTGTGTGTGTGTGTGTGTGTGTGTGTGTGTGTGTGTGTGTGTTTGAAACAATTCATGATATTAACACCTTTACATATGTGCTAATGAAATATAACTGACCTGTTCCTAGACAAGCGTGATAAAGATAATCATAGATAGTGTAAGTGTATGTGTGCATTTATCTTTGTGTTATCTTTGTCTCAGTCTGTGACTCTCTCTAAAAGTTAAAGTACGGTTGCTTGGCAGAGTGTCAGTGGTGTTTGTATATTGTTTCCACTGAAATGTAAAACCAACAGCTTTACTTACAGCTCGCTTTGCAAGAATGACAATAAAAGCAGCCACTGACGATGTACTGATCCGGATCAGATCATCTTCGTGTTAGACAAACAATGTGGAGTCTGAAGATGAATATGTGACGATCTAAACTCTATAAAGAACTGTGATTCTATAACTGCGTTGCCTCTTTCTGAGGGAACGTTTTGCAGAAATGTTTTAATGTATGTAGAACAGCTGCTGTTTGATACAATGAAATACCTTTGATTTTTGACTTGCAGGCTACGTGTGTCATCTCCACTCTCTGGTTTGTGTTTGGATGCAAACATTAGCCAGCTGGAATTTTCACAGAAGTTTAAACAACACCTGAGACTAATAAAAAATGGCCTTTGTAAGAGTCAAAGTCTAGTAAATGTAGTATAACTGCAATACCAAATAGCACCACAAGGCTGGGACGCCTTTTGTTTTGGTCTTGTGTTAGAGACTGCACTAGTCTGATTATGATTGTGAAAATGAATGAGCAGACTTTAGCACAATGACCTGTCATTGTACGGTCCATGTTAGTATCCTAGAGAATAAGATTCACATGTGGAAATCTACTTTGCTGTCTATCAACTCTCTGAGCTAACCAGCTTATGCCAACTGGCGCTAGCCCTCTCCACCTACACCAACCACAGCTTCCAGCTTCCTCAAGTCCTTCTATACAAGTATGCCATCTTTTCTCAAAACCTTAGGCTGCAAGAAAAGTTGGACTAGACTCTGATTGTCCACAGATAATGATTAATGGAGCACATTAGGGTAAAACATCGGCAGAATGCAGAGCCAGTTGTAGAATGAAGCTGATAAAGTGTGTAGAGGAGGTACTGTTTGGATGTACATAAGCAGTGGATACATCCACAAAAAAAAAACACAACGGCGGTGAGAGATGGAGGAGAAGAAGACAAAAAAAGACATAAAAGACAAAGCTGAAGACAAAGACAAATATGATAATGAGGACGAGGCAGAAAAAGATCTATACCCCGTGCACAGCCAACCTACTTTCTCAGGTGTGGGATTGTTGCAGGAACATATAATGAAAAAAATGATGAACCATGACACACTGAAAGTGACTTGACTTTCACTTAATTGTGAGTGAAAAATGCAAATAAAAAAAAAAGATCTACTATATTAATTCCCAAGTTAAATTTAATATGTCGGGATACATTCCAAGAAACAGTTTTTCATCCATCTTAATGGATATATCTATTAGACCATTTTTTGCCTTTGTGAAGTCTGAAAGTTTTGCATTTGTTGCTGCGTTGTCTTGTTTTGAGTTAGCAAAAATGTTCAACTGTTTGTAGCACAGCCGTTGAATGCTTATCGTTATGAAGCTAAAAGGCAGTGACAGCTATTTGCATGTTTGCTATTTGCATGTGTTTTAAATCAATCTTTCACACACTTGTGTCCCTATTCTTTAAACTTGCTTATTCATTGTATATTAATTGGTCAACTGTAGGTATCTTGACAGAAAAGGAGACAAATAACGCTTAAATTCACCTTTGAAACTAAGACACAAATGGACATGGATAAAGTGTGTGTATTTCTGTGAGAGTATGTTGTACCTTGCAGCTACACTTTCCCGTCCTGTCAGCGCAGGCACACGCTCCTCTCTCCAGGTCGCAGGTCTGGCTGTCCGATCCTGCGGCGTTACACTCACACTGGGTGCACTGTGGGAAACACGGACGCACACAACGCCAAGCTTCTCTTATCAACAACACAACAGGCCGAGAGGGGAGCTAGCAGAGTGTGTCCTAGCTTTATGCTTCACCAAACCATTCAAATGTACTCCAAAATGAAAATGTTGCCATTATCTTTTCACTCCCGTGTCAGCTGTGACATCAGTGAAGTCCAGACCAACACCAAACACAGAGATGTCCAGTTGTTTTTTTCCATTTGACTGAAGATACCATGTCGAAAAATTCATTTTTAAGTGACGTGAAATTTCTCTGAATACTGACTTCCCAACGGGATCAATGAATTCTTTTCATTCGGGTGCTTTTCATAGAAAATATTCACCATACCTCTACCTTGAATACAGCCGTACAATGAAGCAAATATCTAATGTGGATGGCGATTGAAATTGAAAAAATGTTTCCTGAAAGAATGTCCGCTGCATTCACATTGAATAGATTTGACAGAGATTGAAAATTTGTCAGGGAAGTCAATTTCAATAAAGTTTCGACTTAACTGGTGTGATAAGACTTTAATTACATCAATAGGATTCTGTAGAAATGTCAGTGTAATATTAAGAAAAAAAATATTTTCTTGTCTTGTTCCAATCATCTCTAGTATCTCTATAAAGTTAAAGCAGACTCTATTTTTATTACCGCGATATTAGAAGTGATGATACGGATCATTTACCTGAGGAAAGTCTCTGTATCCGATTTGACATTCGTTGCATTTCTCTCCTCTGAACGAGTCGCGGCAGGAGCAGCAGCCGGTGTTGATGTTACACTGCTGGGTCATCGAGCCGACCACGCTGCAACCACAGTCCTGCGTACACAAAAACAATGATAAATGTCACTATTGTGTCTGTAACCAGTACGTCACTCACATACGAACATAAGAGATCGGAGCTTTAATGTCAACATTTAACTACCTTAACCTTTAGAGGGCTTTCTGGGTTTACAAAGGAATGTAACAAACTGGTGGACAGTATTTTACTGTAATCATAAAAGGCAAACTTCTTTTGTCAGACACTATAACACAGGAAGCCACTGGACAATATGTATCACTGCAATGAACGATATCACTAATAACATGACCTATTCACATCACCATGTTGTGGCAGAGTTACTTTTTTACTGACAACAATGTGCCGAAGAACATTGGATTAGAGGCCAACTGATGCCTCATTTTGCTGATATGGGCCTATAACACACATAACAGCATTACTGTTTACATTACTTTATGGAAATACTCATTTTTTACAGGTCATATAATGCTTAAACCCATGCTTAGAGGGATTTCAAAATGATGTCATCACTTGAAAAAAAGGTGTGTTTATCACTTGAGTGACAGAAATCCTCTGAAGAGTAAAGTAGGCAAACACAAAAAAAGAAAAATTGGTGTCATCATGTATTTTATCCAGGAGAGTACACTCTGACTAACTGTTCACTCTGAACTTTCTGCAATACAACCAGCGACCAGCTTAGCAGACCATGGTCTGCTCTAGAACTAGATGAACATGTATATTACTGTAATTCTTTAAATAAAGTTCTCTGTTTCAGAAAGTAGCCTTCCAAACAGACCTTTGAATAATAATATATGAGTCTATGTTAATTTCTGCACAAACATTTGCTATATCACGGAGGGGGGGGGATCTCAATCCGTCCTCTGGACACATCGGGGTGCGTTCACACCTAGCATTAAAGCTATCCACTATCAGATCGCCCAGGTCGGATGTTAAAGCAAGGTGTAAACAGCCTCTCTCTGGGATGATATTACGTTTTTTTCTCCATTTAAACAACGTGAAGATCGATAACTTAATCTGAACTTTGAGGCAAAAGCTGTGTGAAACTGAACTGTTAATGCTAATCCACTGAAATCAAAAACAGCTGTGGTAGAATTTAAGAGTTTCAGTGTTGAAATAACTCTGCAGGTGTAGCTTTTAATAGACAAGAACAATAGTGTTAGCATTTACATGTGATTTTGAACTCTTGACCTAGAGCAATAGTCTTTCACTGTAAATGATTGCTGATTTTTATCACTCAGTATGCTCATTTTTGTTCATATCTGCAGATGAATAGCTTTTTGTCAAAGGGGAAAACATTATCTCTATGTGATCTTTAAAAAAAAAAAAAGAATTTGTGGTGTATCCATTTTGCACAGTGCATGCTTGTTATCTCTGTACTTGCTGACACAGTCTTTTCTTTGCTGTGTTTCACTTTGTTCCTTTGGTTTAGTTAGGCACCACTTATTGTAGATCTGTTGCATCCCTCTTTGTTCTACTGTTGTACTCTTTTGGATCAATCTGTTGTTAAACTGAGTCTTACAGTACTTTCATGTTCAAGCCTCTAATTGCTAATAGTCTCGTGCTACGTCTAATAGTTTTCTGTTATTGCTGCCTCGCGGCTCTTTGGTGAGATGGTTTCAGTGCAGAACAATTACTTTCAAACGCTTTGAACCAAGACGCGGTTACATAACGGAGAAGTCGACAAAATGGGAGCGATTCACAGGAAGACAGGTGATAAAGAGGAAGGGAAACAGAGAATAGGCTGTGTAAACAAGCTCAGGGATAATCAGAGAACACAGTATGGCAAGAAAAGAAAGGGAGAACAAAGATAAGAGTGGAGGAAGGGAAGAGAAGATGAAATATGTCTTTGAAGAGGAGATCTATTGAGAGAGGGATGGAAGCAGAAAAGTGGTACTGTGAGTGTTTTTACGTTACTTGAGCCTCTAACCAGAGGTAATTTTCTGTCACTATGTGATAGACAATAATGTTTTTTAATCTTGAATCTTAACCAGCTGGAACAGAAAAGTGCTAAATAGGTAATTTATTTAATATGAATTGAGATTAAAGTGGAATAAATGGTTATTCTGTTGATGTTTTACCTTTAAAGGTCACATATTATGCAAAAACACTTGTACCATCATTTTCTGACACTAATGTGTTCCTAGTCGGTCTACAAAACCCCCCAGTTATGAGAAAAGTCCATCCTCTCTGTCTTTTGCCTTTCACTACTTTTTAGAAAAAAGTGTGTTCAAACAGGCCGTTTGGAGATTTTCCCTTCATGACATCACAGAGGGCAGTAACCCCTCCCCCAGCTGGGTGACACTCCCACAGCTAGGTGTTTGTTCTGCCCTCTGAGTCTGACTTCTCACCGTAAACAATAGGGCATGGAGCGAGAAAGCCAGAGGCAGCCAAGCCCTTCCGGAGAGGGGGCGTGGTCAGACACAGCTCATTTGCATTTAAAGCTACAGACACAGAAACAGCCTGTTCTGAGCAGGGCTGAAATAGAGGGGTTTATAGGCATGATCAAATACAGGATCAGAGTGGATTTAGAACAAGAAACTTCAGACATGTTTTGGTTAGCTGTGAGACTTATTTAAACTTGTTTAAAAGGAGAATAATATGTGACCTTTAAACTTTGCACTTATTGGGGATAAGGAAGTAAGAAAAATGTGTTTACATGGCGATTTATTATTTTAAATAATACACTTATCATGCACAAACACAGTCCATACTCACTAATGTATATATTAGAGTATTTTACCTCTAGCATTTCATTAGAAATTAGACAAATTTAGCATTTCTCATCATAACCAGGACGTACCTTTGACTTCCCCCCCCCCCTTTAGTTTTCTGGTGAAAACAATCTTTTAAAAGCCCTTCAGACCAGCTGTTAATCTGCCTTGGTCATTCTTTCCCTACGTTTTGTGCCAGTGTGTTTGATGATCCCTGTGTTATTACAAGTACTGTCCGTTAGACGAATGTGAGTGACTGCTCTTTGCTAAAACAGATCGGGCCTACCTTGCACCCGTTCATGATGTCATGGCCCCAGTGGTTTGGAGCACAGCGGTCACACCTCTCACCAATGGTGTTTGGAGGACAATGCACTGACCTGTGTTAGCGTCACAGTTGTTCCCCAAATGAGTGCACTGACAGGCTGTAAAAGAAGAGAGGAGAGGAAGTATAGTTTGAAACACTCTTAAGATATATCAGTAGCTAGCAGCTGGACAGGTTAAAAATATGAACGTTAACGATCACAAAACTGAATCTTAGCATATTTTTTTTCTAGTTCTGAACAATGACACTGTTTTTTTTGGTCGCAACACGTCATGATGAATGGTCAATTCAATTTAAACAATCAAAATTATGTGGGATTGAGAACAGAATCAGAAGCAGCTTCATTGGAGAGGTATGTGTACACACAAGGAATTTGACTTTGGTGAACTGTGCTCTCTATATAGAAAAAATCAACAATAAACACAAAATATGTATATAAAAATGAGTGTAATAAAACAATAATGCAGGGGTGAGCACAAAAATGCTGAAATAAACATGATAATAGAATATTGGAAGAACAGGGAAGGTTGCCAAATTTTGTTTGAAAAGTAAACCTCAGGGGAAACACGTCAGGTACAGAAACACTGTCTCTGTCTAACTGATATTTAACACTGATGTGGAAGTAAAAGAGAAATAATAAGGTTAACAAAAAGTGCACATTTAATCACATGGACCCGACACAATGCCGTTATACTTTTTTTTTTTTAAAATGTTTTGATTATAAGAATTTTAAAGGCTAATTTATCCAGCGATTGCATAAAGATGCGTTGTTTATTAAAAACCCAACAATCCCCCAGTGTCATTCATTTTTAATTTATTCACTACCAATTAACTCACTCAATCACCACCTGTCATTCAGTGTCAACACCACAGGACTCTATGCCTTCCTAACTACGCTGGCTGCATGAAATGTAAATGCTAATGAAGTCACCTTTACAAGGGAGGACTTTTATCGTTTAACTAATATTTTAATCAATTCAAATATGTGAAGTTTGTAATAGAATAGCACTTATGTTATTGTTGATAAAGTTCTCTGTTAGCTGCCTGTTCACATTTTAGAAACAACAGACTGATTCATTTCTGTGTTGTGACTTGTCTGAAGGACATTTTCTTGCTCTTTAAACACAAACTTCTTGTTTCTGTAACCGGCAGCTGCTGATGGAAGTGATGTTAAGATAAATGTAAGCCAATAATCCCCTGTCATATCATGTCTTTGTGTTTTATTACCGGGGTTTTTTGGTTAAGTTATAACTTCCCCTTCTTGGCTGTAGACAGTGTTTGGCATCGATAATACGTTGCATAAGGAGATAAGTTGGAAAAATCTATTTATATTTGTACTCGGGGTGCGTGGAGGCTTAATCCTCATTTTGGGCAGCAAAAGTTTGCTGCACCTGCTGCCTGAGTTGCCATGTTTTCAGGGCATATGGTTTCATAATTTGAACATATTCCCTTTAAAAAAAAAAAAAGAAAGACTGGTTTGGAATAAACATTAAAAAAGAAACAAGTTTTTCAGATAGCACAGCACACCCTCAGGCAAAGATATTAAAAATCCTCAGCCCTTGTGATGGAAAGAACATTTCTTACAGATGTAGATTTTCTGGTCAGTAAAATAAACACTATCACTCTGTAAAAACAATTAGCTGTTCATTGTAGAGGATATGATATCTATTAAAAGCTAACTTTTTTTGTGGGCTTTACTCAGAGATAGGTCGGTGGATAGAGTCAGATATCGGGGAGGGAGGTGTAAATACAGACATGTGTTTGGTGTTAATCCAAGCTGATTGGTACTGAGATTACATTTGTGTACGGGGTGCCGGTAGCCTAGTGGTCAGTGGTAAGTGTGCGTGCCCCCATGTGGGGAGGCTGTGGTCCTGGCCAGGGTTTGAATCCAACTTGTGGCTTCTTTTTTCACATGCCACTCCCCACTCTCTCTCTCTCTCTACCCAGTTTCTGAATTGAATTTGTTTATTTTAATAGGGACAATGCAATTTAACATAATTTCAATACATCAAACTGATGTGCTGCATAAAGAGTACTGACTTCTGACTCTGTCCACTGTCCTGTCTCTATCAAAAAAAGGCATAAAAAGCCTGAGAATAAAAAGAAAGTCATTGGCTGGAGCTTTCACAGTTGTATGTATAGCCTTGATCTTAATTACAGGATGGAAAAAGTTATGAAAAGGTAGATCATGGTCTTTTCCACCAAGTCATTTCTGATCCTCCTTTTATGTACAAAGTTATTTTATAGAAGAAATCCCACTTATCATCACAGATCTGTAGAGCTTTTATATGAAACCAACACATATAGCTTAGATGTAAGACAGTGTTTGTTGTATTTGATGTAGGTTTGAAGGTTTAGTGCCTAATCTTTTTCAGGTTACTCGTTGATTATTAGAGGAGAGAATACACGATTGTTGTCATTCCCTTTTCATTTCAAGAAAGCCTTTCTGAAACATTATTCATGCATCACAATCACCAGCTGCAATGCTCGCTCAACAGCCAAGCAATATAAAAACATCTTTAAGCTCTATTATTTATTCATATGTTGTATCATTATAACTCTGCATGTTCAACCTTCAAAGATGTTCAAATCAAACAGCAGCTAGTTTCTCTTGGCAGCTTTCATCCGTCTTCTTCTTATAGACACACTTCTCAGTCTTAACGCTCTAATCTTCTTCATTGCCAAACTTCTGTCATTTTTTATTTTATTTGTACCTTCCTTCCTTTATTTACATTTGCATGCATGGAGATTAGTAGTAGCTATTGCTTTTGCTGTTATTAGTATTTCTGTGAACAGCTTAATACCCGGACATTAAAAAGAAAGTGACTCCTAAAAGAAGTTCTGCTGGTAAAGAAATTACAAGTTATTTAATATTTCGTCTTTCTTTCTTGACGTTTATAAGGGAGGAAGTTTGTGGTGTCTGATATTGTAGGAAAGAAATGATGCAGTGAAGTCTAGTCATACAGAAACTCACTTTAGAAAAGCATTGTGAAACATTTTCAATGTTTTTGCAGCAATTTTCTCTGATGATAAACTTTTATCCTGCCTGTTAGTAAAACCTAATTGCTTTGCAAAAGTTTTAAAACTCAAACTACAGCATGTTGCAAAAAAATCCTTTTTAATATAACAGTTTATAAGTGTTGTAGTACTTGAAATCGGTCTTGGTCTCAAGGAAGGTCTCGTCTCGGAACCGAAAGCATTTTTACTCGGTCTTGCCTCGGTCCCAGACTTGGCGGACTCTGGATTTTAAAGCAAGACCAGTCAAGACCTCCGTTGACAGGCTATTTTTCCTTGTTATTACTGCGATTAGAAGGAAAACACATCTTTCTTAAACAATGAATAACTTTAATTATTTTGTAGTTTGATTTGTATCCCCAGGTTATGGCTGCAACCTTCCCAGTGTTACAGTCTAAATGAGTACACTACACACTATATGAGGATTTTTCATCAATATTTATGGTCTTGTCTCTGTCTCAATCCCTTTATGTCTTGGTCAAGGAGCACTCTGGTCTCTGGTTTGTCTTGGTCTCGGTTAGTGTGGTCTTGACTACAACACTACCTTTTATAGGATGGAATTTCTCTGCAGACATTTTTTGTAAAATTGAAATTCAAAAGACAGAACACACGAGTACTTTACTGACGACAGTGTTCTGTTATTGCTAATTAAAGTAGTGTAAATACAGTATAAACATACCTGTTCTAATTCTGTAAGACTATAACTCAGCGTTTGTTTCTTTGACTGATGTCTTGGAAAAACTTGTTCTACCTCACTGTGTGTGCTTACGTGTGCAGCCGCCCTCCTGGAAGTTGAAGAACCCTCGGGAGCAGCGGTCACATTTGGGTCCGTTGACGCCCGGCTGACAGCGACACTGACCGGACTCATCGCAGTCAAACGACTTGGAGCCGAACGAGTTGCAGTGACACGGGACGCACACTCCTCCCGTGGTGATGCCGTGAGTCTGAGGCTGGAGGAAGACGGGAACAGACAAGGTCAGAGGGGGTTGTGAATGGAGCCGAGAAAAGAGGGGGGTAGGGAGGGATCGGGGGAACGACACACAACAAGCAGCTTCAAGAGAAGGAGGTTATACAGACATATACTGTAATGCAGGACTTGTTTCTGAAGATGGAATGGCATGATGAGGAAACAAAGAGGCATTAAGCATACTGTATCGGATAGATATCTTGGATTGTTCAGTTTTAAAAAAAATATATAACTCTGGGATAAAAAATGGCTTATAGGGTTGGGAATCTTTCGGCGTCTCGCGATTCGATTTCAATTCTTGAGGCCACGGTTTGATTCAGAATCTATTTTCGATTCAAACCGATTCTGGAGTCATGATTCAAAGTCTATTTTTGAATGAGTTCATACTTCAGGATCTACTCCAGTCATCTGTGAGACTGGATGAATATCTTGTTGCTCCATTTGGCATAATACTGAGTGAAAGAGCTCGCCTAAGCACTTAGCAAGGAGTGATTTTTTGGAATTTTTGAATTGATTTAAAATCTCAGAAGACAAGAATCTCGATTTTTACATAAATCTTTTTTTTTGATTTGTGTAAATGTATCTTGAGTTACAAACGAAAACTGTCTTAGAGTCCAGAGTACGGTACTTCCTGTTGCTACCATGAAAGATGAAGATCAATGCCCTGCATGTTGTTCATCAGACTGGACCCTGACGTTAACAAAGTACCCCTATAGCTAAACCAGAACAGCCAAGACAACTCTTTGGAAATGTCAAACTATATATTATTATGTATAACACTATTACTACTACATAACAAAAGCAGATCAACCTCCTGAATACAGAATGTGGATATTTCAGATAATCATGGTTATCTTTTTTTCTTTAAAAGACATGATAACATTTTAGGCACCAAAACAACAAACATCTTTAGTTACTTCAAGAGAAACACATTTGTTAAGATTGCTCGTTTTATGTGTGACTCTCAGCATGACACACGCTGGACTTTGTATTACTGCTCACCAAAAGCAGCATCTTCAAACAGAAACGTATTGAAATAAAATAAAAACTAAACACATCCATGCTAAGGAGAC